GGTGGTGGCATCCTGGTTCCCCATCCTCAAACCAAGGAGATCCCACCTTTTGAAACCAGTCCTGCCTCCTGGGCCTGTGGTAGGAGTGGCAGCCCTGCCATCTCTGAATCAGCTTTGCAGTTAAGCTTCCCTTTTCTTGAAGGATATCTCTTGTTTGTGCTAGGTAACTAGCTACCATCTTTAGAATCCTAGAAGTCTTGACCGCCCTTTTTTTTCCTATTTCCTTTAGTCCCAGCTGGAAGTGTTTCTGTTGATATAATACCGTCTTTATTCCTGGCTTCTGCTGAGGTGATTAAGTTGATGGCTCACATCCATACTAATCTTATCAAATAGTTTTTCAGCCACACCTTTAGTGTTCAGAATAAACTTTGTCTTTTTGTAGTATAAATAGGCTGAGCATTTTCCAAATCTTCAAGTTCTGTGTCTCTTTCCTCTCTCATTTTACTAAAAGTAGTAAGGAGAAAACAATTCTTTGATACTTTGCTTAGAAATATCCTTAGTTAAATATTCAATTTAATCACGCAAAGGTTCAGCCCAGTCCTTAGCCACTTTTTAACAAGGATCTCCTCTTCTCCAGTTTCCAATAACATAGTCCTCATTTCTGTCTGAGATCTCCCCAGAATGGCTTTTGATGGCCATATTTCTACCAATAGGCTTTTCACAGCAATATAGGCCTTTTCTGGCATGCACCTCAAAACTCCAATCTATACCCATTACACAGTCCAAAGCCACATTCACATTTTTAGGTATTGGTTATAGCAGCAACCATTTCTCAGTACCAAACTTGATATTAGCTTGGGCTGCCACACAAAATACCAAAGCCTGGGTGATTTAAACAACAAAACTTATTTCCTCACAGTTCTGGAAGCTAGCAAGTCTAAGATCAAGATTCTGTCAGAGTTTGGTTTCTGGTGAGAACTCTTGGCTTGAAGATGTTTGCTTTTTTTTCTGGATTCTTACATGGCCTTTCTTTTCTTCTCTGTGCATGTGGAGAGGTAGAGATGGGGGACAGTGCAAGCTCTCTGGTGTTTCTTATATGGACACATGACTGTCAGCCCCACTCATATAACCTCATTTTTTCACAACTCCAAATGCAGCCACACTGGGAGGTAAGGCTTCACCATATGAATTTTGGGAGTGACACATTTAATCCATATCAGACATGTAAATACAAAATATTCAAATTCTCCTATAGACTTTATCTTCATCAGTGACACAGATTACACCTTAGAACCAAGCAGACATCTGGAAATCATAGATCCTTTTTTCTTTATTGTTCTTTCCCAGCTAATTATTTATCGAACCATTCAGTCAACGTTACTATCTCTTAAATCTGCCTTACTTTACCTCTGTTGTTTCTTTCTTTCTTTTTTTTAAAATATATTTTATTGATTTTTTACAGAGAGGAAGGGAGAGAGATAGAGAGTCAGAAACATCGATGAGAGAGAAACATTGATCAGCTGCCTCCTACTGGGGATATGCCTGCAACCCAGGTACATGCCCTTGACCGGAATCGAACCCGGGACCCTTGAGTCCGCAGGCCGACGCTCTATCCACTGAGCCAAACCGGCTTCGGCATTCTGTTGTTTTTTTTAAAAAAATATTTTTATTGATTTCAGAGAGGAAGGGAAAGGGAGAGAGAGAAGCATCAATTATGAGAGAAGAATCAGAGAACTTGGCTGGAGATCCTGGCTAGGCTGCTGATCAACTGAACGCTGTCTCCGTGTCATTCCTTCTTCGCCAACTCCGTCCACACCTTTGGGAACCCCTGGACCTGCTGGGACTGGACCCCAACACAAAATTAAGAGAGAACTCAAAAAGTATCTCGAGACAAATAAAATGGAAACACACACACACACACACACACACACACACACACACACGCAAAAGAAGAATCATTGATCAGCTGCCTCCTGTATACCCCCTACTAGGGATTGAGCCTGCAACCCGGGCATGTGCCCTTGCCTGGAATTGAACCCAGAACCCTTCAGTCCGCAGTCTCTATTCACTGAAAAAGCTCTATCCCAGCTAGGGCTTTACCTCCGTTTTTAGTTTAGGCCTTCATCTCTTGTCTTAACTAATGCAGTAGTTGCTCAACCAGACTTTCTGCTGCCTATGTCTTTTCAACACAAAACCATGCATGTAAGTAAGCATAAACCTGATAACGCTCAGGAATAGTGTAGTGTCTGTCCATATACTTGTACCTTCTTTCATCAGGATTGTTTCAATAACTTAAATTGAACAGAAAATAATTTAAATAATATACAGGGTTTTATGTTTCTCACACACAAATCTGAAGATAGGATATGCAGAGGTTATATGGCAATTCCATGGTAATCTAAGCTTTTCTGTCTTTTTATTGACTTTAGAGAGAGGGAGGGAGAGAGAAAGGAACATCAGTTTGTTGTTCCAATTATTTATGCACCTATTGGTTGATTCTTGTATGTGCTCTGCCTGGGGTTTGAACTCATAACCTTAGTGTATAGGTACGACACTCTAACCAACTGAACTACCGGCCAGGGCTAATTTTTATTCTATTTTCCATCTTGCTCAAATTTTTATTTTTAAAGTTTTCAAAGTTTCACTTGTACAATTAACACTTTTATGTTCTCCTTGTCTACATATTCACCAAGTGTTAGTCTGTTTATTTTGAATAAATAAAAAAGACTGTTTATTTTCAGTAAATATGGATTGTGGCAATATTTCAGTGTCTGATATTCTATTTTGAGCAAAACAATAACTTATTCAATTTATACTCTTGATGGACATTGTTTCCTTCTTATAAATGCTTTAAAAAGCTTATTGTACATTTTCCGCCCTGGTCGGTGTGGCTCAGGGGTTAGACTGTCGGCCCGTGCCCTGCAGGGTCGCAGGTTCAACGCCCCAGTTACAGCTTTGCTCCCCACCCCCTGTTGGGGGTGTGTGGGAGGCAACCAGTTGATGTGTCTCTCTCACATTGATGTTTCTCTCTCTATGTCTCTCTCTCCCCATCTCCCCCCTATCTTTCTCCCTTCCACTCTCTCTGAAAAAATAATGGGAAAAAATATCCTCAGGTGAGGATTAACAAAAAACAAACAAAAAAGCTTATTGTACATTTTCTTGTTATAAATGAATAACAAAACATTACAAAACAGTTTTTCAAATAATTTGTAACCAACAGTGTATGTGATTATTATTTTATACCTCAGTGATTGATTTACTTGTCTCCTCCACTAGACTGTGAGTATCCTAATTTGTTAATGAAGCCATTAATGAAAATTAGCCATCTTGAAGAAATAGGTATATTCTAGTAGCTAAAGTAATTTCTTCTCTATTACTTTAATTTATGAGATGAGTTTTGTTTTTCATTTTTATGTTCTAACAAGGAAAAAAGTATATTAGTGTATAGGGAATGTTAATATTATGAGTCCAATTTTTAATGAATTAAGCATCTAATTCACACTTTGGCTACTTATTCAAGCAATAGCTCTTATTGTACTATCATTGCTCAACCTGTTGTTGAACCCATGACCTTCCCCTCCCTACCACAGACACTTATTGAATGATAGATAATCTATGTGCCAGGCACTCTTCAGTCTTTATCTTGCTGTTCCTTTCTGCTTTACTTGAGACTGTAGACCAGTCCCTTCTTCCTTTTGTTTGGAGACCACACTCCACTCTTGTTTTTCCTGTTGTAACTATTCCTATCAACTTTCTTTAAGTACTTTTTTCCATACACTCTAAGAATTGATCTCTTCCAGTTTCTTCCTATATTTGATGTGTCCTTACCAGAATGTATCATCTTTTCTTGATCACATCCTCATTTTCTTATATTCCCTTTCTACATGATAATGCTATCTTCCAAACTTCTCAATATAGAATCCTGAGTATTATTATAGATTGCTTTTACGTTCAAGCAAGGTCCAAGTTCTACTGACTTTTCTTTCTAGATATTTCCCAGATTTAGCGCCTCCTTTTCTTCTTGAAGTAGCAGTCTACTTTTTGCTTCCAGGTTTGTTCAGTTCTCTACATTACTGGTAGAGTGAACTATCTGAATTTTATGTGTGTCCTGTTTTATGTTTGCCTGGAGTTTCTATCTGAATTGTATCTGACTGTATCCCTTCCTTATTATGACAGAACAGAATTTCTATCACTTGGTCAATGATTGTCTCTCTAAACTTATTATTTACTATTCCCTGCCTTGTTTATTTTATTATAGTACTATCAAGTCTCCATAAGTTCTATATGTATAGAAACAAACTGTTATCTCTGCTTGGTATGACCTTGTCCCCTTTGCTTGAATTAATCTTTAAAATAGTATGTAATCATCTTTTCTGGCCAGAAGTCTTTCTTTTCTTCTAGCATGGACTAAAAATATCATTTCTGTGTCTCCTTTGTGATCATTGTACTGACTGCATAGCATTAAAGAGTGTTTATTTTTCTGTCTTTGTAGACAGAGATTGATTGTTCTATTTAATGAAAAAAGTCTTGCAATGCCTAAAAGGAAGTAATGGCTCAGTAATCATTTTTTGATAGTATCTAAAAATTTTAGGTTGTTAGAATCATCTATTAATAGGTTACATTATCTGTAAATGATGACAAAAATTTAAGCGAATCTTGGGGTTATTTTTCACTTGGATAGGTGCACGCTTAAGGACTACAAACAATATAATTTTTATCTCAAAGGAATGAGTACATTGCTGCTGAAAACATATTAATGCCAGAATCTAATTCCATTTAATTTACCTGCTAATTTGAAATACTTGTTGCCTCTTCCTTGCCCCTGCTTGGAATTTGTATATATAATCTGTTGTTTGAAAATAGTGGGTCAAGAATTTTCATATTTATTTTCTAGATTAGATTTGTAAATATTAGAATTATGTCTAAATATCTTTGGGTTTGTTTTACTTATCTGGGGAGAGAAGTAATATTTGCCAAATTTTATTAGGAACTGGGTTGAAAAAAATGAAGATTTCTTTTCTCTTCTGGTTTCTTATCCATCTTCTATTTCTGAATTGCAGTTACAGATGTAGAGCTGAAACGACTGAAAGATGCCTTCAAGAGGACCTGTGGACTCTCATATTACATGGGCCAGCACTGCTTTATCAAGGAAGTGCTTGGGGAAGGAGTGCCTCCAAAAGTTGCTGAGGTAATCTCTGTGTTCTAGGTGTTCCTTTGAGATAGTTACCCACCAGCCTGAATTTTTGTGGGGCCTTTTGGTCTTAACAAACTTAAATCCCCCTTTATTTTTCTTGCTGAGTAGGTAAGTTTTAGATGTCAATATGGCTATGTTCTTAGAGGCTAAATGGAAGTACTGCAGAGCTGCAATTCTGCTTCTTTTGTATTTCTGAGCTTTACTACCCACTGATTTATGATCATGAAACCATTTGTATGACTGGCGTCTCATTCTTGTAAACCTCATCACTCTGGCATATTTTTATGTTGGGGTTATGTTTTATAAATTTTGTGTTAAAACCTTTTCATATAAAAAAATTAAATTCTATAAAATTAAATGTTGTAGATGAAACACTAGCTTTTTGGAACTTGTAAAGGCTTATTTAAATTCTACTGAAGTTTTTAGATAGAGATAAAATGTGCTGAGTTGATAAAAATATTCCCTTTCTAAAAATAATAAGTTTACTATTTTATAGGTAGTCACAGATATGCATGTCATTCTTTTTATTTAAATTTTAATTGAATCTTTATTGTTCAGATTATTACATTGGTTCCTCTTTTTCCCCACCATAACTCCCCTCCACCCAGTTCCTACCCCACCCTCCGCCCTCACTCCCCACCCACTGTCCTCATCCATAGGTGCACAATTATTGTCCAATCTCTTCCCGCACCCCCCACACCTCTTTTCCCCCCACCCCCAAGAATAGTCAGTCCATTCCCTTTCTATGTCCCTGATTCTATTACAATCACCAGTTCATACTGTTCATCAGATTATTTATTCACTTAGTTTTTAGATTCACTTGTTGATAGATGTGTATTTGTTGTTCATAATTTGTATCTTTACCTTTTTCTTCTTCTACCTTTTCTTAAAGGATACCTTTCAGCATTTCATATAATGCTGGTTTGGTGGTGATGAACTCCTTTAGCTTTTTCTTATCTGTGAAGCTCTTTATCTGGCCTTCACTTCCGAATGATAGCTTTGCTGGATAAAGTAGTCTTGGTTGTAGGTTCTTGGTATTCATCACTTTGAATATTTCTTGCCACTCCCTTCTGGTCTGCAAAGTTTCTGTTGAGAAATCAGCTGACATTCATATGGGTACTCCCTTGTAGGTAACTGATTTTCTTTCTCTTGCTGCTTTTAGGATTCTCTCTTTGTCTTTTGCTCTTGGCATTTTAATTATGATGTGTCTTGGTGTGGTCCTTTTTGGATTCCTTTTGTTTGGGGTTCTCTGCGCTTCCTGGACTTGTGAGTCTATTTCTTTCACCAGGTAGGGGAAGTTTTCTGTCATTATTTCTTCAAATAGGTTTTCAATATCTTACTCTCTCTCATCTTCTGGCACCCCTATAATTCTGATGTTGGTACGCTTGAAGCTGTTCCAGAGGCTCCTTACACTATCTTCCTATTTTTGGATTCTTTTTTCATTTTGCTTTTCTGGTTGGGTGTTTTTTGTTTCTTCGTATTTCAAATCTTTGAGTTGGTTCTTGTGATCCTCTGGTCTGCTGTTGGGAGTCTGTATAATATTCTTTATTTCAGTCAGTGTATGCTTAATTTCTAGTTGGTTCTTTATCACAACATCGAGGGTTTCACTAGATTTCTTGAAAATCTCACTACATTTATTGGCGGTCTCACCAGTCTTTTCTAGGGCCTTATTAAATTTATCGGCGGCTTCTAGACAGTTCTTTAAAGACCTTAAAAGTGTGGTTTTGAATTCTATATCCAGCAGTTTGCTTTCCTCCATTTCTGTCGTTTGTGTCCTGTTTCTTTGTCTCGGCATTTTTTATGCTTCGCTGTGGTCAATAGAGTGCCTTTCTGTGCTAAGTGTCCCAATTACCTGAGGTAGACACTCTTGGTGCACCCCCTTGTGGGCTTTGTGCACAGTCTTGTTGTAATTAAGCCTTGATTGTTGTAGTTATCACTGGGAGGAATTGACCTCCAGGCCAATTGGCTGTGAGAATCAGCTGTGTCTGCAGTGGGAGAACTTCTGTGCTGGAGACATCCCTCTGGGGCAAGACTTGCTTCAGTGGGGCTTTGGTGCTCACTGAGTCTGCCCCCTGAGTGTGTCTTTTATGGTTCCACGGAGCTGCCAACTGGATGGTCCCACTCTGACCTCTGGGCTTCCTGGCTCCTGGTTCCCTAGGGAGGTGCTAATATAGCCTTTGCCTGAGGCTATCCAGCAAAAGCCTCCCAGCAGGGCTTGGGTGGGGCGGGTCCCACGGGATCAACAGGGCGGGGCTAGCAGTTATGGCTGCTCTCAGTCTTGCCCTCAGAGGCTCTGCTTCTCAGTGTCCCGGTAATCACTGCAAGCCCCTTGGAGAGAAAGCTGCTCTAGGGTTCTGACCGATGCCAGACAGTCCCGCTTCTCCCGTATGAGTCTGGATCCCTAGAGACTCGCCTGGAACTGGAGCTCAGAGCCTGAGACTCCCTCCCAATTGAAAACGACAACCACGCCCTCAGCCGCCAGCCCCCTCCGCATGCACTCCGCACCTTAGTATTTTACTCCCATACTGCACCTCCTCTGAGTCTCGGTATGCTTTTCTCTTTCCTTATAGTTGTAGAATTTCCACTCAGCCAGCCTTCCTGTGGTTCTGGATGATGTCCGTTCCGTCTTTTAGTTGTATTTTTGAAGTGGTTGTTCGAGGCAGCAATCTCCGGTGTTTACCTATGCCGCCATCTTGGTTTCTCCACATATGTCATTCTAAATGTACAAAGAGAATAAGATTAATAAAACAGGGAAAGTTATAATAGGAATTTTTTATTTTTTTATTTTTATTGATTTCAGAGAGGAAGGGAGAGAGAGATAGAAATATCAATGATGAGAGAGTATCACCGATTGTCTGCCTCCTGCACACCCCCCACTGGGGGGGATCGAGCCCACACTCAGGCATATGCCCTTGGCCAGAATTGAACCTGGGACCCTTTAGTCTGCAGGTTGACGCTCTATCCACTATAGCTAGGGCTATAATAGGAATTTTAAACTTGGTATATTATATAGAACCATAATTCACCATTCCTAATTTAATTAGAGACAGTTTCTATTCTGACCTGACTTGTGTGCTTTTGAATCTTGTGGTTTACATGATACAGAGATTACATTTTTGTGTGTGTATGTTTGTGTTTTAATTTTTTTTTTGGTGGGGATATATGTTGCATTAATTCTCTTATATGTATTGTGTAAAATTGTGTAGTTCTTGTTCTGTCATTATTTCAGATTTATGACAGTTAGCTTTTTCCTAATATGACTTACTGGGTTCTCTGTTTCAGTATGAATTCACCTATTGCTTCAGTATGAATTCGCCTATTTATTGATTTAAGAGAGAGAGAAACGCTGATTTATTGTTCCACTTATTTATGCATTCATTGGTTGCTTCTTACATGTGCCCTGATGGAACATGCAGGGATGGAACCTGCAACGTTGGCGTTATTGGAATGACCCTCTAACCAACTGAACTACCTGCTCAGGGCTGAAATCTTTCTTGATTACTAGAAATAAGTTTATATAATTTTGCGTTCTTTGTTGTTTACATCTTAGTTTGAGATTTTCAATAGTGATTACTCTCCAAAAATTTACTATGTAGATGATATTGTTCTAGTGATGGTATTAAAGATATTTATAACCTCTTTTGTTTTATGATGAGTATTCTATTTGACCTTGTGATTTAATAAACATAAATTCAGCTGTTGACACAATGTTTGTCACACACTGATACAAATAGTTGAGTTAAGTTTTGATTTTCCCATTTCTTATCGAGTTATATAGTGTTTATGTAATAGTTGAGTAGTATAATGTTTAGGTCAGTTATAAGCTACCGGTGGCTGTAGGTAAAGGCACCAACTGGCATGAATTTAGGAAGAGCTTGCCCTGAGCATGCTTGGCTCTTAGTTTGAAAGATAAGGTCAAATTAATCATGGTATTTTACTGTAGTTTGCCTAGGTGAGACAATTTTTGACTGTCATGGAAGTTCTCAGAAATGCCTTGCTTACTACAACTTTTACATTTGAGAAATAGGAATGATATGCCACTATATCAAATTTTTCTCCATCTGAAAGGACTTCTAAACCTAAGAAAATAAGTATTTATTTTTAAAATATATTTCTTTATTGATTTCATAGAGGAAGGGAGAAGGAGAGAAAGATAGAAACATCAATGATGTGAGAGAATCATTGATTGGCTGCCTCCTGCACGCCCTCTACTGGGGATTGAGCCCACAACCCAGGCATGTGCCCTTGGCTGGAATTGAACCTGGGACCCTTCAGTCTGCAGTCTGACGCTCTATCCAAAGCGGCTAGGGCAGGATTATTTTTTAAATAATCTTTAGGAACCACATTAAGCCCACATGAGCCTATTTATTTGAAAGATAATAGAATGTTTACTTAATATTCTTGAATTCCAAGGAGATACTGCCTGAACTGTTTAATTATCATTAGTCTGTTCCTCATTAGGTCATTTCAGAGCATCATGCTATAATGGTCAAGGTTGTTATTTTTATCCTCCGATGAATAATTTCAGCTGAACCCAAAACTGGCAATAACATAGTTATCTCTATATATAAAAGACTAAATGACCGACCGTCTGACTGGCTGATACATATGACTTGCACTGGCAATTTAAAAATAAACATTGACTCACGCATGTGTGATACATATAAAGCTCTCACTGGCACCAATTGCACATGTGCATTTCGATCTGTCATTGTCGATTGTGAATTTGGTTGACACTTCTATTATAGAGAAAGGGCGAATAGCAATAATAAAATATTTCTTCTAATTAATTTCCTTTCAATGTGCACAAATCCGTGCACCAGGCCACTAGTATATAATAACATAGTTTGCAAATGTTACAAGAGGTACAATTTGGTTATTTGAAACCAAATTTTCCCTCAGAGATACTATGTCACTGTGATAGACTTTGATTGTTGTTTATTAATATTATATGCTAGTTACTTTATTAGCTGCTTTGCAAGTATATCAGTTAGTACTTTGAACAACCACATGTAGCTGGTTTATCTATTAATTGGGATATTAACTTTGAACACTTAGATAAATTATATTTGCCTAATGAATTCACAAATTTTTATCTGACAACTTAAGTTATATGACATTTGTCATTATGTAAGTATTGATGTTACTGTCATTTGATCAGTGAGGAAAAGATACTGAGGCTTAAGGAAGTTAGGTTACTTGCTCAAGTATTAAAGCTAATGAGCAAGTCCATGTATCCAAATCCATTTTAGCTACTGTTCTATGTTGCTTCCCACTGATGATGATAATAACTAACATTTATGGAGTTATTTGCCAGTTATCTGGAGCTATGATAAACATTTTATGTAACTTATCTCATGTAATTCTCACCACACCATGTGAAGTGTAGATGCTATTCTTATTAATCCTCATTTTCTGGCTTTAGAAATGGGGGTGGAACTAGAAGCCACAGAGGATTTTGGCACAGTTTCATGATCCCAAATTTTTGTTGTCTCTACTGGAGCCCCCATAGGAAATCTGATACCTCCCAGAGATGGAATTCAGCTATTTGAATTGAGAAACTGGAACCTTCCCTTATAGGCATTTAAATAACTTCTTTTCCCCTGCTGCTCCTTAACCATAGTTAATATGCATACTGGTTAATCCCATGCTGTTCTCTAGATTGAATTAGATTAGTGAACAGTAGGAGAATACTTTATTCTTGTGTCATTACCATGCAGCATAAAATTCAGTTAACTTATGTAAAAAGGTTATAGCTTTGTTGCCTAAAATTTCCAAGCTCAATTCTGTTCTTCTATATTTATATAAACTAAATTGTTAAGAAACTCTAAATACATTACATTTAATCTTATTACCTTTAGCCAAGTGTCCGTCTTGATGAGTTTGATTCTGTATTGTTACCTATTTTATTAGCCATCCCTCCCAACTTTGTTATTTACAAAATTAATACATATGCCTTCTATATCATAACCCTACTCATTGATTTAAAATGCTTAGGACGAGGTGCTATTTGTAAGTAACAGTCGTACCTTGGCCATAATGTTGTGCTGGCTGGGGGTATGGAACCCTAGGAAGAGACAGGTGGTGTGGCAGTCTCAGAGGTGTATAAAGAGGAAGGAATCAGGGGAAGTTATGCTGACTCCTGGGCATTTTTAAACAGAACCAAGATTGAAAGCACAGAATATACATGCTAAAATTCTGAGGGTTAGGGAGATTAGGTTATCATTGGGTGGAAGTGAGGAAGATTCAACAAAGTAGATGCGGTCAAGGCTCTCCAGTGCTACAAGCCGGCCTTTGCATGCTGAATATCTGGAAAAACTAAAGCTAGGTGGTTCTTCAACCCAGCTTTGTTTGTATAAAACATTTAACTTTGTGGTTGAAAGATGGATGTTTTATATAGGACAGCAGAGACTGAACTAAATAGTGTTTTTTTCTGGAGCTGAACACAACTAAGGCTTAGATGTTATCTCTAGTCTGACTGAAACTCTGTCTCTAGTCAACAGACCTGAGTCTGTTCCTGAGATTATTTGATGCAGACCAGAATGTCATTGTCCCAAGGATTTAATGATTGAGGGAGTGAATGTGCAACGAAGAAGGCATGTGGGTCTGGTTGCTAGATGAGGCCAGTTTGAATGAAATGGACAGAAAAAAAAGTCATATTAAAGAAATGAAGTTGCTGCATGGTTACACATTCAGTTAGAGAATGTCAGTCTTTCAAATCAAAATATGTATACATTTTATAGAAGTTGAAGGAAGTTCTGTAATACCACAGAATCCTTATCACATTATTAGGGCTGTTAAAGGACCTTATCTTTCTGGACCTTGCTAAGGAATCCAAAGAAACAGAATAAATATTTAGTGTGTGAGCCAGTGGTATATGTATTTGAGAATACATACAGTATATTCTTGGCTCAGTGCGATAACAAGGTGTTAAAGAGGAAGAAGGGGAAGAAACTTAATATAATTTCACTAAAGTTTACCAGGGGCCTTGTTTGGAGATGGAGACAAGATTTGTTTAAGGTGTTATCAGCCTCAGATTCCTCAACATCTAAGATTGGCTTTATCATTTTCTCCTAGGTGATTTACTGTTCTTTTGGTGGAACATCAAAGGGACTACACTTCAATAATTTAATAGTTGGACTTGTTCTTCTTACAAGAGGCAAAGATGAAGAGAAAGCAAAATGTAAGTACTTTTTTTTTTAATCTCAATATGATAATATAGATGGGCACAGAACTATTTTACCTCATTTTTTTTATATTGATTTGAGAGAGAGAGAAATTGCTTTGTTGTTTCATTTACTTATGTATCCACTGGTTATTTCTTGTATGTGCCCTGACCAGGGAGCGAACCCACAAACTTGGCATATCAGGATTATGCTGTAACCGAGTGAGCTAGCCAGTTAGGGCCTTACCTCAAATTTCTGATGATAAGAAAAGGATTTAAATTGATATTTATCTGAAGAAAATAACAAGTGTCCAAAAAGCACTTGAAAAAATGCTCAACAGCCCGGCCAGTGTGGGTCAGTGGTTGAGCACCGACTATGCACCAGGAGGTCATGGTTCCATTCCTGGTCAGGGCACATGCTCTGGTTGTAGGCTCCATCCCCAGCTTGGGGCATGCAGGAGGCAGCCAGTCAATGATTCTCTTTCATCATTGATACTGATGTTTCTATCTCTCTCTCCCTCTCCCTTCCTTTCTGAAATCAATAAAAATATTTTTTTTAAAAGAAAAATGCTCAACATTATTAGTTTTTAGAGAAATGTAATAAAAAATTACAATGACACAACAAGTCACACCCACGAGAACGGTTAAAATTAAAAAGAAACATAGCCCTGGCCAATATTTTCAGTGGTTAGAGCAGCCGTGGGCAAACTACGGCCCGCGCGCCTGATCCGGCCCGTTTGAAATGAATAAAACTAAAAAAAAAAAAGACCGTACCCTTTTATGTAATGATGTTTACTTTGAATTTATATTAGTTCACACAAACACTCCATCCATGCTTTTGTTCCGGCCCTCCGGTCCAGTTTAAGAACCCATTGTGGCCCTCGAGTCAAAAGGTTTGCCCACCCCTGGGTTAGAGCATCGGCCAGAGCATTGAGGGATTGCAGGTTCAATCTCTGGCTCCAGTTGGGGCACATTTGGGAGGCAACCAATCAATATGTCTCTTTCACATCGATGTTTCTCTCTCCCGTCTCCCTTCCTCTGTTTGCACTCTCTCTAAAAATTAAAGGAAAACTATCCTCTGGTGAGGATAACAAAGAAACAAACTGAAGAAAAAAAAAAGAAACAAACTGAAGAAACATAATAATTAGTGTTAGTGAGGATGTGGGAAAATTGCAATCCTCATACATTGCTTATAGTGTAGCCACTTGAGAAAACAATTGGGCAGTTCCTCAGACTTTTGTTAAAAATCAAGTTTTTACCCTGGCCTGTTGTGGCTCGGTTGGGTGTAGTCCTACCGTCGCCGGTTGGATTCCCAGTCAGGGCACGTGCCCAGGTTGCAGGCTTGATTCCTGTTAGGGGGCATATAGGAGGCAGTCGATCAATGTTTTGGTCTCACATCGATGTGCTTTTTTTTCTCTCTCTCAAAAATCAATAAAAACAAAATTTTTAAAATCAAGTTATCATATGATCCAGCAATTCCCCTTCTAGTTACATACCCAAGAAAATTGAAAATGGATAGTTGACCCTGGAACAATGCAGGAATTAGGAGCACCAACTCCTGTACAGTTGAAAATTCAGATATAATTTTTGACCCATTCAAAACTTAGCTATCCCTTGGTATCTAGGAGGAATTGGTTTCAGGACCTCCTGGGAATACCATAATCTGAAGATGCTCAAGGTGTCCTATATAAAATGGCATAGATCAATGCATACAGTCAGTCTTCTGTATCTGTAGGCTCCCAATTGTGAATTGAAAAACAGTAGAGGTGTTTATTGGGGGGGAAAATATCTGTGTATAAGTGGACCCCCATGGTTCAAATCTGTGTGGTTCAAGGGGCAACTGTATTCATTTTTTTAAAAAGTACACAAATGTTCATAGCAGCAGTGGTTGCAGTAATTCATACTCTAATTAACAATGTATAAGAGTTTCTGTTTTTTCCACATTATTACTAACTCTTTGTATTGTCACACCTAAACATTTTTGCAAATTTGGTATGTTTAAAAGTATATCACATTGCTGGATGGGTTGTTTTTTTTGTTGTTTTTTTAATCCTCACCCAAGGATATTTTTCCATTGATTTTTAGAGACTGCTACAGGGAGGGGAAAGAGACAGAGAGAGAGAAACATTGATGTGAGAGAGACACATCGATTGGTTTACTCCCACAAGTGCCCTGACCAGGGCTGGGGATGCAGCATGCAACAGAGGTACCTGCCCTTGACTGGAATCAAACCCGGGACTCTTCATACTGTGGGCCGACACTCTATCCACTAAGCCAAACTGGTTAGGGCTCACATTTCTGTTTTAATTTGCATTGCTGGGTTGTTCTGAGGAATAAATAAATTTATGTGTTCATAAAGTACTTGGCACTAGTAATCACTGAGTAATTGTTACCTTTCTCTTTCCTCCCTACTTCCACCAAGGGGTATATTTGATCTGTGATAAGATTAATTTATTTTTCCTTTATCCTAGACATTTTTAGTCTTTTTGCAAGTGAATCCGGCAGCTATGTTACACGGGAAGAAATGGAAAGAATGCTCCATGTTGTGGATGGTAAAGTCCCAGATACACTCAGGAAATGTTTCTCAGAGGTATATTTAAAGATTTACATTTTATCCCTACCTATTGACTATGAGTATTAATTCTTAGTTTAGCTATGATGAATAAATATTTATGTGCAGCATATTCTTAACATTTTTTTAATTTAACAGTTGATGTTTTAACCATGTTTTGTGCTCAAAGATCCATAGTACTTATTTCTGCTACATATGTGAATCTGAAACCCAATTCTACTGTAAAGGCAGCTGTCTATAATGAAATACACTCCCATATTCTCACACCAACACACACATTCTCACACTGTGATCCTGCAGGAACCTGGGCATTGCTCGCATTGTAGTGCCATTGCTTTTCATCATGGACATATAGGTAAAGCACTCATTTGCCTTGATCCAGTCTTATATCTCTTTGACCCATCAGGGCCCGTTTTACTATTTATTTTATTACTCAGTTGATTTGCATTGTGAAATATTTGGATTTACAAAATTTATCATTTTTTCTCTTTCCATAATTTTTTTATTTTCATTGTATAAAAGTTAAACATTACAAAATGTGTATCTTTCAGAGAAAATTCCCATTTTTCTTTTCCGAGGTCTGCTGATATGGGAAAAGTTCCTAGAGATGGTGGAGTAAAAAAAAACCCTTTTAGAAGTTTCTGAATCTTTCCTGCAGCACTCATGCTGTATGATTTCTTATGGGTGGCTCTTTGACACACTTTCATTTCACAGAAATGACAATCCTTCACTGCTCTTGGTTTTATTCAGGGAGTTTTTATTCAGTTTAGTTTAGTCACCCTTCCTAACTATATAGACATTGGTTGTCAATACTGCAGGTATATATATCTCTTTGGACTCTTTATCTTAAGATTTCACCACTCTGACTTTGAGCTTCCTCTGTGTTGATATCACTTGGAGATTTCCCTTTCTTGCTTTTGAGCTTGGCAGTGCAGTTTTTGGTAGTGGTTATGGTGTTATATTTTACTCAGTATTTCTATATATTTGGTGCAGAGGATTAGCCTCTTGCATTTTTGGTTCTGACATATTGACTGGAAGTTGCTGTGATAGTCTTTTAATATTTCAAGACAAACTGGCTAGCTATGTGTTTTTTCCCCCTCCAATAACAAACATTTGCTAGTCAGAAAAAAATGTAATCTAACCTTTTCAGGCTTGATTTAATTGGATTTTTTTCCCCCCAGAGATGTCAAATGTGTTAATACTCTGCTCATTTGGGGGAAAAATGTGTATGTTTTTTATTTTAATAAGGTTTATAAAGACATTCCCGTTTTATAGATGGGAATTAAATGTGGTTATCACCCAGTTCTCTAATTTAGGCACAAAAGCAGGTATATATATTAGATGATAATTAGTGCTATAGGAAAATATAAAATAGCCCTGGCCAGTTTGGCTTGGTGATTAGAGCATCAGCCCTTGGACCAAAGAGTCAAGGGGTTTGATTCCAGGTCAAGGGCAGGTACCTCAGTTGCAGGCTCTATCTCTGGCAACCAATCAATGTCTCTCCAACATAGATGTTTCTCTCTCTGTCTCTCCCTCCCTCCCTCCTTTCTTCCTTTCCCTTCTCCCCCTTCCTCTCTCCTTCCCACTTCCTCTCTTCTTCCCTCCCTCCCTCCTTCTCTTCCTTCTTCCCTCTCCCTCCTTTCCCCTCCCTTCCTCCTCTCTTCCTTCCACTCTCAAAAAAAAAAAAAAAAAAAAGAATCAATGGAAAAATATCCTTGAGTGAGGAAAAAAAAAGATTTAGGTGGTGATAAGGAGGAGGTAGCTGAGTGTCAGTATTTTGTATAGACTAGTTAGGAAAGGCTTGTTAGATAAAATGACATTTGAACAAAAAATTTAAAGGAAGTGAGAAATAAAACCAGATATCTGGGGAAAGCACTTTCCACTAAGAGAATATAGCTAAGGCCCTGAAGTGGGAGTGTACTTGACATGATTAAGGAGCAACAAAGAGGCCAGTTTAGCTGGAATGTAGTGAGCAGGCTATATTGTAGGAAATGAAGTTGCAGAGGTTGGGGGAGGGGTGGGATAGAGTTAGGGGTACTATATATATGACCCTGTGTGAGTTCTTTGACTTCACCCTTAGTGAGATGGAAACCATTAGAGAATTTTGAGCAGACGACTACATGAGTTGTGTTTTTGTTTTTTTAAATATGATCGTTTTAGCTTTTATCTGTAGGGTAGGCTGGACAGAGTCCAATTGAGGTATCTGAATGACCCAAGTAAGAGGTAATGGCCATTTAGATCATGTGTGGCAGGCAGTGAGGTGATAAGTTTTTAGATTTAGATTCTATATTTATTTTGAAGGTAGAGTTGACAGGATCTTTTCTTGTATTGATTATGGGCTGTGACAGAAAGAGAAGAGAATGACTAAGGTGTTTGGCCTGATTTAGTAAATGAGTTGCCATTAACTAAGATGGCTAAGACCACTAGAGAGGGAGGTTTGGGGCATAATTAAATTTGAGAATCATATTAGACATTCAAGTGGAGTTGTCAGCTATCCTTTTTGACATAATAAGTTGGAGTTCAAGGGAAAGGCTTTATTGGCTTATAGATAGAAAACAAAAGGATTTATTGGCTTATAGATAGAGAGTGGCAAGATGAAGAGGAATCCAAAACAGGTGTCCAATGAGTAGCCTGTGAGGAGACCCAAGAGTGAATAGTGTCCTGGAAGCCAAGTGATAAAAGTGTTTTAAGAGGAAGGAGTGTTTAAGTCAAATAAACTGAAAGGTCAATTGACTTGACCTCTGATCACAGAGAAATGATCATTAGATTTGAAGGGTAGCTCATTGTTGTAGGTCCTGAGGAATAAAAAATCACTGGAGTTGGGTTACTAGAAGGAATGTGCTTATGAGAGGAAATTGTGATGGGGAGAGGCTTAAAATTGCATTTTTGGGAAGAGCAATGGTTATTTTAAGAAAATGATCATAAGACTTTGGTAGAAAATATCTGGGGTAGTGTTTTATGAAGGACACGAGCTTTGGAAGGGGGAAGATCAAAGAAATGAGAGGTCAAGGTATTACAACATTCATATGTAAGGCTATGAAAATCATTAGATACTTAATGGGTGATATAAACTCAACATTATAAATGGGCTAATTTTACCTGATTCAGCTATTTGATGTATTTACCTGCTGTAATTTCTGAGTAATGTATCTGATGATTGAGCTTTTCCAAGAATTGGTAATTTTCCAAATTACCAAGACTCGAGCTTTTCAAATTACCATGTTTCAGTATCAGTTTTCTTAGAATAGGCTTATTTTTTAGATCTTCCATAATGTTTTGTGTGTTTTGCACTCCTAAAATACCCCCCAAAACTAAAAAGAAGCACTATAGCTAAAAGATAATGGACCTAGCACCTAGATTTAAGAGACATGGAATGGGGTCTCTACTTTTTCTGTCTTGGCTTTATTAGCCTTGATAAATGATGTTTGTTATAAAGGAAATCCACATAGGAGTAGTATTGTTTTTTTTTTTCTTACTGTATATATATATTTTAAAATAGAAATTCATATTTTTTGTTTGTTTGGTTTTTACTTATTTAATTTTTTTTGTTAATCCTAACTCAAGGATATTTTCCCATTGATTTTTTTGAGAGAGTAGAAGGGAGTGGGGGAGAGATAGAGAGAAAAACATCGATGTGAGAGAGACACATCTATTGGTTGTCTCGGGCACGCATCCCAATCAGGGCCAGGGAAACTGCAACCGAGGTATGTGCCCTTGACCAGAATCGAACCCGGGACCTTGAACCCAGGACCCTTCAGTCCACAGGCCAAGGGTCTATCCACTGAGCCAAACCTGCTAGGGCTCCACCATATCTCTTTTAGGTTATAAGTTATTTGTATCCCTTAATATCTACTGAGTGTCATTCCTAATTGTATTTCCTGGGTGAGTTGCGTCTCCCTTTTTCTCACAGTAACATCTGGCCCTCACTCAGCGTAAGTCCTGTTGTCTTCCAAAGAGATTGATTTGCATAGCCATGTGATGTTCTGTCCCAGCCTGGGTACTATTTTTCTCCAGAGATTTAACAAGGCAAAGAAGTCTTAGTAAGGAAAGAAAGCAAAGAAATAGAAATATACTTGTTTCTTTTTTGTATTCTAGTTGACTTGTGAATACTAGTACATGTTTTCATTGATGCCTTCTGGTTGAGGACTCTAGGAAAGTTGTTTTTTTTTAAAATATATATTTTATTGATTTTTTACAGAGAGGAAGGGAGAGGGATAGAGAGTTAGAAACATCGATCAGCTGCCTCCTGCACACCCCCTACTGGGGATGTGCCCACAACCACGGTACATGCCCTTGACTGGAATTGAACCTGGGACCCTTCAGTCCGCAGGGCGATGCTCTATCCACTGAGCCAAACCAGCTAAGGCAGGGAAAGTTGTTTTTAATTTGCCAATGAAACTTAAAAGAGCACTTAAGTTTCATACGTGTTTAATTAAAATATGCTAATTTCTCAAATATATGCTAATTTAGATTGAGGTGCTAAAGAAGAGGGATAAGTGAAAATTGGGTTTATTAAATATTAAAAGAAATGCAGTTTACTGATTTCAGGATATACCTTAGCAAATAAAATATGACTTATTAGTAGCAATGTACTACTTTCATGAATTGATGAAATATGTTGTAATTTGCATATAGATTTTGAGCAAATGGAAGTTCTGAAATACAATTGTTTTTGAAAACACCTTGATTTCCAAGATTACAAGATAATTTATTTAGATAATTCTTCCTTTGTAGATTAATGTCAACTAATTGCAGATTTCAAGTTGTGCATGATCCAAGTAAAATACTTTAAATTTTGACTAAACTATGCTTTTTCTTTCCTAATCATAGGGTGAAAAGGTAAACTATGAAAAGTTTAGAAATTGGCTTCTTCTAAACAAAGAAGCTTTTACCTTTTCTCGTTGGCTACTGTCTGGAGGTGTATATGTGACCCTCACTGATGATAGTGATACTCCCACTTTCTACCAAACTCTGGCTGGAGTCACACATTGTAAGTAATGACATTTCATTGTTTCCTGTTCACTTTTTAATGCAATTGCCTATAAAGAAGAAATTTATATTGTCAGTAGTTTTTTTTCTTCTAGAGTGTAATAAAATGAAATGCTTTGCTGAAAGGGAAAACTCTTTTTTGTCTACTTTACGGGTATATTCCAAATGTGTGGGTTTTTTCCCCACAGCAAGCAATTCTCCAGCACTCTACAAACACCATTTGAGAGTCCTGCAATTCATTTCAATTTTGATACTATCTACCTAGGGTTAGCATAGACACCACTAGGTTTAGGGCTCAGTGCCACAAGGCTGCCCCTCTGGTTGAGGACTCTGTCCCCCACTTCAGATACCAATCACAAGTCCAGGTTGTCACCGTACTTCTGACCAATCATCTGTAAATTAGAGGTTCCTATGAGTCCCTCCTTGGGTTTGATAATTTGCTAAAATAGCTCACAGGATTCAGGGAAATGGGTATGAGTACTGATTTATTATATAATACAGGATATGTGAAAGGATACAGATGAACAGCCAGATGAAGAGATACATAGGGCAAGATCTGAAAGAGAGCTTCTGTCCCTGTGGAGCTGGGATAAACTAGACCTGCTAGCATGTGGATGTGTTCATCAGTCTTGAAACTCTCTGAACCCCATACTTTGGGGATTTTTATGGAGGCTTCATTTCCAGGTCCTTTTCCTCTCCAGATTGGGAAGTGGGACTGAAAGTTACAGTTTCTAATTATGGCTTGGTCTTTCTGGTAATCAGCCCCCATCCAGGAACCCACCAAGAGTCACCTTATGCAATAAAACAAAAGGCTTCTACTACCCAAGAAATTCCAAGGAATTTAAGAGCTCAGATGCTGCTGCTTTTGTCATGTGGTCTCCATTTTTCTACAGTTTGAATTAATTTTTCATTTGCATTTCTGCATACTTCACATTTAATTTTTAATTTATTTTTTAATATATTTTATTGATTTTTTTTACAGAGAGGAAGGGAGAGGGATAGAGAGTTAGAAACATCAATGGGAGAGAAACATCGATCAGCTGCCTCCTGCACCCCCCCCCACTGGGGATGTGCCCGCAACCAAGATACATGCCCTTGACTGGAATCGAACCTGGGACCCTTGAGTCAGCAGGCTGACACTCCATCCACTGAGCCAAACCGGCCAGGGCATACTTCACATTTTAATTGAAGCAATTAAGATGCATTTTGCCTTACCTTAGAGCAGGGGTCCTCAAACTTTTTAAACAGGGGTCCAGTTCACTGTCCCTCAGACCGTTGGAGGGCCGGACTATAGTTTAAAAAAAAAACTATGAACAAATTCCTATGCACACTGCACATATCTTATTTTGAAGTAAAAAAACAAAATGGGAAAAAATACAATATTTGTATTTGCATGTGGCCCGTGGGCCGTAGTGTGAGGACCCGTGCCTTAGAGTCTTGGAAATGGCTTGGTTTCTCCTTAGAAGTTACAAGTCCCTTGAGTACAATACTTATGGTCTGTTTATCTTGGGGTTTTTCTTAGTGCAGTGGACTAAATGCATGTTATTGGCCTTAACTGTGTCAAAAAGTTTTCAGCCATTAAAAGTCTACATTGTAAATACTGATTTATACATTTGATTTTCCCAGCAGTGAGCAGTAGGTATATGTTATTTTAGGATTGTAGGGTTAAACTTATACCAAAGAGAAGGACCAAGGTAATTATATTTGAATAAGTTTTAACAACTTCATAGTATGTGAGGGCTTTTATAAAGACATATCATGTTTTAGGGGGAAATTAATTATGATATTTTACAAATTTAATGAACTTCTAAAGGTCAAAAGTTAGTTCTAAGATCTTCCTTTCTAAACCTTTTGCTTAAATAAATGATGTGAGATACAGAAAACTGATTAGTATTAAATTAAGGCACATGGAAGGTCAGCTTCCATTAAATATAAGGGAATTATGTAATTATTTTATCTACTCCCGTAATGCACATATTGGCCGTAGAAATAAGCCAATAATAGTGTGTGGTAAAAACCTGAAGAAATAATATGCTTTTAATTTTCTATTATTTATAAAATTAAATTTAAAAATTTAAAGTTCAAATTGCTGGCATCATAGTTGATTTTTGTCATATTCTTGTTTCTTATAAGAGAGCTACCTCAAAATTAAAAAAACTAATCAATTCCCTAGCCAGTTTGGCTCAGTGGATAGAGCATCGTCCTGAGGACTGAAGGGTCCCAGGTTCAATTCCGGTCAAGGGCACATGCCCGCGTTGCAGGCTCGATCCTCTGTAGGGAGCATGCAAGAAGCAGCCAATCAGTGATTCTCTCTCATAATTAATGTTTCTATCTCTCTCTCCCTCATCTTTCTTCTCTGAAATCAATAAAAATAAATTTTAAAAAATTAATCAACTATAAGGCCGCTATAATATATTAGTAGTTACCAGCCTTTATTGAGCATTAGAATTATTTGGGAAGGGTATTTATTAAAAGTGCAACTTACTGATTCTAATACCAAAGATACTTATTCAGTGCGCCCTAGGACTCTACTTTCCTAGATTTCCAGGGTAATCTGATGTTCATGGACCCTGGACTACATTTTGAGAAATACTGATATGATGTTGAGTTCTTCAGACTTTGGGTGAACACTCTGGCCCTGCCACTTATTATTTATGTAACTCTGGGAAATTTATTTAATCTCTTTGAACTTTTTTCCTTCTCTGAAGAACAGGGCTAATGATACAACTTACCTCATAGGTATGTTATAAGGAGTGTAGATGAGGAAAATTTTTTTCCTTATCCATATTGGGTTCATTGGCTGGGTCTTTTAAATTAGACTGAAAAAAGACAGATAGGAAGAAAATGAAAGTTTATTAACATCCTGCATGGGAGCATTCATTGATGTATAACTCCAAGGAGTGGTTAGAATTTGAGCTTATATATCATTCTAGCAAAAAAATACATACAATAATTTTGTAGAGAAGTGAGGAGAAAAAGAGAAAAGGGCTTTGAACTTCTATGGATGGCAAAATGTGGGAAGGCTAAAATATGGAGAAACTAATAACAGATAGGGTTGTTAATGAAGTTTGTTATACAGATTCCTTCCTCTGGTGATAAGGATCTAGGGTTGTCTCTGATGAGTAACTTCTGTTCTTCCTGGTAGAGGGGCAGGGAAGATACCTTTACAAATTAGGCAGATAGGGGAGGACAGAGAGCTTTTCTTGTATTTGCTTCTCAATTGCCCTCAACTCAAAATAATCCTTATGCCAAATAATCCTTTATGCCAAAGTGCCATATTTGGGGTGGCATATTGTGCTATCCTTTATGAGTACATGAAATGATACTTTTGGCTTTTACAGGACTCAGCTCTATGCCTGGTATAGAATAGGTGCTTTACAATGAATATGCATCCTCTTGTATTATTGAAAACATACATGGCTTGTGAATATCAGTGAGTTTCACCCACTGTTTCCAGAGACTAATTGTTTTGGGAGCAGGCAATTTTCTAACAAAGGGCTATAGACCAGTGCAAAAATGAACTCCTCCACATCTGTGGAAAGTTTTTCTTGCTAGTTGGTTTTCTTTTATAATTTATAAAAATAAGGAACCAGAATAAACAAGTTCAGCAGAAACTCAATTTGCTACTAGCTTCAGCAAATCGCCACTGTCTTAGTGGGCCTCACTATTAGAGCATTTTCACAAAATCAGAATTACTGTTAAACATCTTACAGAAATTCTGACATGGGCAGGTTTACATTCTGATGACTGATTTATCATTTATAAATTCTCAGTTTCTGTCTAAGCAATTCACTACTGACATCTTTGTAGGCTCTTCGACTCAAAGCATATATGCTACTTTATACTTTTCAAATAATATTTCAGGAAAGTGGAAACTTGTGATAAAAATAGAGACTGTTATTAACTAATTTATAAGTAGACAGAAAATATTTATTTTACAGCATCAATAACTATTTAAATTTGTGTAATGAGCCAAGTTATCCAGGAAACATAAAGGAATTACAATATTTCACTTGTAAGTAATATTTATATTAGAATGCAGATGCCTTTAATTACTTTCTCACATACAATTATAAAGTGAAATTTGAAGTCATAGTCAGTTGAACATACTGCCATATTTAATCAAATTTTTTTCTCTTTTATATAAATCACAAATGAAACTGAGGAGCTGTTTGTATTCAATACAGTTAGAGTAATTAACTGATTTGACTTATACAAGATTTTAGATTTTGTCATGGCAAGTACATTTTCAGAACTGCAAATTTCAAACTATTGTTACCTTACCTCTTATTTAAATTTAAGATATTGAATTAGAACTTTAGCCCAAAGTTCTAGTTTTTATGCTTGAATAGATCTTAACCAAATGTTTATCAAGATGCTTATATTTATCTCTCATAGTTTGCTATTTAAATACCTAAGATTAATTTTATAAGAAATTTTTTTGGTCAAGTATAAACAATGTTCTTAATGACAAATTAATTTTTAAAGCCATTTATAGTGAAGAGAGACATAGACAGTGTTTGCAATAATGCTGAACATATTTTTAAAAAATATTTTAAAATTGATTTCAGAGAGCAAGATAGAGGGAGAAAGATAGAAACATCAATGATTAGAGAGAATCATTAATTGGCTGCCTCCTGCCCACCCATTCCTGGGGATCAAGCCTGCAACCCTGTCATATGCCCTGAGCAGGAATCAAACTGTGATCTTCTATTTCATAGGTTGATGCTCTACCACTGAGCCACACCTGCCAGGCAGTGCTGAACATCTTGGTGATGATGTTCAGAGTCATGAGAACATATAGATAGAGCGTAAATGTGTTCTATATAACTAAATGTTTGAAATAGGTTGGAACAGCTGTTAATTCATTCTCTTTTTTTCATATCTGAGAGAATAGTCTAAGACTAAACCCTGGTCTTTTGGCTTTTTCTTGAAATACCCTTTCCCCATCTGTTTTTTCACAGTTATTTAGCTCCACATAGTGTTAGAGTTTGGAGACACAGACTATAAACTCAAAATGTAATTCATTTTACATACTTAGATCAGTGTATCTATCCTCTACTACTGAACATGCATAGTCCTAGCCAAAAACAATCTGGCAGCTCTCTTCTTGAGTTTGAAGGCTCATCCTTTAGATGCTAACCTTTGAAATGCCTACATTCTGTCTAACTGCCTTCTAGTTCTAGGTTGAAATGTCTGTCATCTTTAACATTCTTTTTTTGTTACTCCCTGAAAAGTAAAGTTTTTTTTTGTTTTTTGTCTTTTATCTTGGGTCCATGATACAGGTCCTTGTATAAGTTATTCTTGTGTTTGAATTATAAGAGAACACAACAGTTTTTTTGTTTGTGTTTCTGTCCTGTTATTACCTGTCTTGCCTACAGACTTTTTGTAAATACTCTTTTGCCTCTGCAAGACCTCCAGGGCCTAGCTGCTCACATGCTCCCTAAAAACCCTGTGTCTGTTGCCTCATTGTACTTTCCACATTAGATTAAAATGACCAATTTTTACTTTTATTAGAATCTAAACATAGTTGTTTGTTCACAATCATATCTATAGTTTTTGTCAGACACATAATATTATACTTTTATTACATATTTGCAGAATATTAAATGATTTTTCATTATAGTTCCTGTACTTTTCCTCCCTCCCTTCCCTCCACTTCCCGTCACCCCCCCCCCCCCCCCCCCCCCCCCAATACTTTGCTCTGTGGAAGGTTCAAATTTACCACATGCAGATTGGGTACTTTCTAGAGGAGGCACTATACTCTGTGTACATTATTTCATTTAATCCTTGTGCCATCTCTGTGTACATTATCTCATTTAATCCTTCATTTCATCTCCATTCTGAAAAGAGGCAGCCAAGACTGTGAGAAGTTAAAGAAATTTTCTCAAGATCAAATGACTAATAGGTGTCAAAGGTGGGATGTTTGAATCCCAGAGTGCATGCTTATTTCCATTTTAGGACCTGAAGACAGTTGATTGACACAGTCATTTTATTCTTTAATCCTTTATGAGTAGCTTGTAATTGCAGATAAAAGGATTTGGTCATGTGGCAGTTGTGGTGGTTGTGAGCCATCTTCTTCAGACTGCAGAGAATCTTGCAGATTCATTTTTCTAGTTTCTTTTTCCCTTGGGATACTCACAAATGATTATTTTTTATTTCTCTTCAATAATTAATTTCATTTGATCCAGGCAAGATCATTGAATGATTGTCCTTTACCTACAGTGAAATAAATAATAAAATAACTATGATTTTTAAGAACTATGTTTTAATAACTGAGAGTGAATTTTCCTTAATGTTGATCATATTTTTCATAGAATTTAGAAAGAGTTTTTGAAGTTTCCCTAAAATGTATCATAAGAGTCAATAAGCTTGCTACCTCAGTGATTCCTTGTAGTAATAGAATCTGGATTCTCAGGTAATTAATACAGTATTTTGGGCTAATTTTAGGGCCATATAACTAATTTTGATTATTTTTCTTTTCATATCTAATTCAAATTTACATTGTCTCTATTTTAGCATTTATTATCTCAACTAAAAATATGTATATTATTGTATTCCCTTGCCACAGTTTAGTTTGTAGTGTTAAAAACTTTGAATACAAAAACGTACTTTAGTGATTCTTAGACCATAAGCCGCTAGTAGATCTGCATGTCCCTCCTTGTTCATCCTCTTGTCTTGTAAATTATGTAAGGCTTACAGCCATTTTAATTACATCTTAGAAAGTCATTGCTTTTGAGAAGGTTGCATCCTCAAAAATGTTGAGGAACTTTGTGACTGTTTGAAAACACTTGGACATTTTGCCTGGCTTTTTAAAAAATTAGAATATGCCGAAACCGGTTTGGCTCAGTGGATAGAGCGTCGGCCTGCGGACTGAGGGGTCCCAGGCTCGATTCCGGTCAAGGGCATGTACCTGGGTTGCGGGCACATCCCCAGTGGGAGATGTGCAGGAGGCAGCTGATCGATGTTTCTCTCCCATCGATGTTTCTAACTCTCTATCTCTCTCCCTCTCTGTAAAAAATCAATAAAATATATTTTAAAAAAAATTAGAATAAAATTATGGCATTAAAGAGTTTTTTCTGCAGCTGGAGCCTCTGACAAGGTGGGACTTGAGTAGGATTGCCCATTGTGCAGGACAAGAACTATTTAGAATGTTAGGAATATTGTATGCTGCTATTGTGAACCAGAAAAAAAATATCTATAGATGGGTAATAAATTAATTTCTATATAGTTTATAAAGTATATGTTTTAGGTGTTGGTTTATGAATTGCAAATAGAACAACTACTGCAATTATTACCTCTTTAAGGGAAAATAAGGTTAGCTGCCTTCCCTCTTCTCAGAAGTGTTTAGCTGTCAATTCATTCAAAGTGTTTGAGTAATAATAATATAATACATATAATTTACTATAGTTTGTTTTGGCAAATATTTAATTAATGAATTGCAGTCTGTAACCCCCAAATGAATAGTTAACGTGAGCTTAAAAGGAAGCTCTAAAGCATGTTTTTAATTGGTAACCAGGACCAATCCGATCATTATTTTCCTCTAAATATGTTCTACTTGTCTTTCCACATTTCTACTTCAGTAAAGAAATTGTGTTTTTTAAGGAGATTAAGGTAAAAAAATTGGGATGCAATTGGTGTGATTTTTCTGTGTTCTAATTTAGTGTATTATGTAAACATCAATCAGAAATACTTTAGTACCTTAAAGAGGGGGGAAAGCACATATAAAATATAACTATGATTAGCGTATCTGTGGTTTTAAAAATATATACCTTCTGATGAATGAGGAAAGAAAAATGTTCATGTTTTCATGATGCTCCTATAACCTTTCACATCGTAAATCCTCTAACTCTGCTATCATTATTGAGTTTGTTACTTATATCTTTTATCGTACTCTTTTTCATTTACTTAATAAATATTGAATTTGTAAGTAGTAACCATATTGATAGGATGAATCAGACATAGATTCTGCTCTTAGAATGTTTATAGTAGAGAGAATATGTATATAGAATCTTTAAACCCCAGATAGAGATTGAAACTGATAAAAAATAAGTACAGATAAAAATGGTGTGGGATACCAAAAAGAAATGTTTCAGTTGTTTATTCTACATACTGGATTTAAGCAGTCTACTAAATGGGCAGTTGCAAAAGTAATTTTTTATTTTAAAATCTTTTTTATGTTAACTTGAATTTACTTTTCATGCTAGTTTAGATATAATGTATTCGTGTTTCAGAATTTTGTTTTAGATAGATTATGTGGTTTTTTTTAGCAATTAAATTGGGAAATTAAAATATATCCTTAAAAGTTATATTATTAGGATAAACAGCCCGGAAGAGGAGGCTGAGAGGTTTTATAATTTTGTTTGATATGACTCTTAGTGGAGGAATCAGACATCATTGATCTGGAGAAACGTTACTGGTTGCTGAAGGCTCAATCCCGGACTGGACGATTTGATTTAGAGACATTTGGCCCCTTGGTTTCACCACCTATTCGCCCATCTCTAAGTGAAGGTAGGAATTATTCTCTTTTCTTCAAGTGTTTTTTGGTAAACAGATTTGAGCCCATCTCTTATTACTAACCAATATATCTTAACTCTAAAGGCCATAATATTACAGGTTTGCAAGTTTCTTGCAAATAGCAGAGTTTAGTGGAAAAAAACTAAAATGGGAATTAAGATTGTAGTTTTGAGCATCCTGTTCTACCTATGTGACCTTGCATAAATTAGTTTGACCAAGTCAATGGCTATGAAGCTGTACTCCAAAGAGTTACCTTAGTAGCTGGTGCCAGGGATTAGGATGATGGCCACTGAATGGGCAGAGCTCCAGGTTTTTGCTTTGTTTTATTTGGGTTTATTTTTTGTTAATCCTCACATGAGGATACTTTTTTCATTGCTTTTCAGAGACTGGAAAGGAGGGAGGGAAGGCGGATAGAGAGAGAGAGAGAGAGAGAGAAACATAGATTCAAGAGAGACACATCAACTGGTTGCCTCCTGCACACGCTCCAACTGGAGCCTGGGTGCGAACCCAGGTATGTGCCCTTGACCTGAATTGAACTCATGATCCCTCAGTGGGCAGGGCTGATACTGTAACCACTGAACCACATCAACCAGGACCAAGGTTTTTTTTAGCCCCATTTCTTCCTCAATTTGAGTGCCTCTACTTTTTTTTCTTTTACGTAAGAAGTTTCCATTGCTATATTCTCCCCCCACCCCAACTACCAAAAGAAATTAAGAAACTACTGGACCATCTCTGAGGTCCCTGCTGGCTCTAAACTTTCCATTGCTATGACTTTCTAAAAAATATCTATGTTTTTATTGGAAGGGAGAAGGAGAGAGAGATAGAAACATCAATAGATTGGCTGCCTCCTGCATGCCCCCCACTAGGGATTGAGTCCACAATATGAGCATAAGCTCTGACCAGGAATGAAACTGGCAACCTCTTGGTGCATGGGTCGATGCTCAACCACTGAACCACACCAGCCAGGCGTGCTATGACTTTTTTAAAACATTAGGGATACAAAGAGTAATTGTAGGTGATATCACACAAAAACATATTTGGAATCTGAATATTTGGGTTCTGCTTCCTCTGATCTTTTTAAACTTCTTCCTTTTGGGAACCCCCTTCTGAGTTTTTAGTTTTCTACTCTTTAAACTGAGGGTATGGAATTACATTCTTGGAATATATAATCTGTATTCTTCAGATTTTTAGGGTACTTCAGAAGTACTTGTTAGGGGAGCCAGAACTGATAAGGCCCTGGACTTTCACCCACTTCAACAGGACAGCTGTGTTTTTACCTTTTCTGAGTTGGAGAATTTGATAAATCATTTTAAATCAAAATAATTTTATTTCTACCTTTTACAAAATATTTGAAAACCACAGGATTGGATTATAAATCCCTTTTCTTTCTGAAATTTAAATACTCATTTAAAAAAGACTAGAGGCCCAGTGCATGACATTCGTCATGGCGGTGTGTGTGTGTGTATCCCTAGCCCTGCCTGCACCCTCTCCAATCTGGATCCCTCTCACAATCCAGCACTGCTGGCTCCCAACCGCTTGCTTGCCTGCCTGCCTGCCTGCCTGATTGCTCCTAACCACTTCTGCCTGCCAGCCTGATTACCCCCTAACCATTCCCCTGCCAGCCTGATCGACGCTTAACTGCTCCCCTGTTGGCCCGATTGCCCCCAACTGCCCTCCCTTGCCAGCCTGGTCGCCCCTAACTGCCCTCCCCTGCAGGCCTGGTCGCCCCCAACTGCCCTCCCCTGCCAGCCTGGTCGTCCCCAACTGCTCTCCCCTGCAGGCCTGGTCACACCTAACTGCCCTCCCCTGCAGGCCTGATCGCCCCCAACTGCCTTCCCTTGCAGGCCTGGTCCTTCCCAACTGTCCTCTCCTGCTGGCCATCTTGTGGTGGCCATCTTTGACCACATGGGGGTGGCCATCTTATTTGTTGGAGTGATGGTCAATTTGCATATTACCTCTTTATTTTATAGGATTATGTAGTACAAAGAAGAGTGCAGTATAGAACTTCTCTTAATATAATGTGTTATTTTTCTTCATGTCATGGAAGAGCTTTATAGGAGCTTATTAATAACAGCAGGTTAAAATCAAAATAAATGTACAAGGAATCTAATGAACAAAATAAACTAATGAGTAAAATAGAACCAAAGGCGTAAAAACATGGAACAGAATGAAGAATCTCAGAGGGCGGGAAGAGATTAACCAAAGAATTTATATGCATATATGCATTACCTATGGACATAGACAATAGGGTGGTGAAGGCCTGGGGCAGGGTGGGAACTGGGTAGAGGGGAAGAATACAGGAGGAGAAGGGAGAAATCTGTAATACTCTCAATAATAAAGATAAAAAGATAAAAATAATAGTATGTTATATCTTTGAGTGTGCAGTTAAACTTTTCCTTTTTCCTTTTTTTTTGTTAATCCTCACCTGAGGATATTTTTCCATTTATTTTTTGGGAGAATGGAAGAGAGAGGGAATGACAGAGAGAAATATTGATGTGGGAGAAACACATTGATTGGTTGCCTCCTGCACAAGCCCTGACTAGGGCCTGAGCCGGGGAGGAGCCTGCAACTGAGGTACGTGCCCTTGACCATAATTGAACCTGGGACCCTTTGGTCTGCAGTCTGACACTCTATCCAATGTGTCAAACTGGCTAGGGCATCCTTTTACTTCTCAATCTTTCTAAATAATTTCTGATTTTGAATTAAATTTTATTTTGTACACTATAGCCATTTTAGTGGTTAAAACTGATACAAAATAGAGAGAGGCAGACATAACCAAACACTAAATGATAGTAATGTATTTCTGCTAGGATCTTAAGTTTTAGTTATACTTATACCAAAAGAAAAAAAAAAATAACTTCCTGAAACTACTGATAAACTCTTTTTTAAAAAATATTTGGCCAGTTTATGGGAGTCATGCCTGCTTTTATAAATATGTTATTATAACAGTAGGAAGTTTGGTTGCTTTGGTTTATGGTGTCTTTTCCGATTTTACAGGTTTGTTTAATGCTTTTGATGAAAATCGTGACAATCACATAGATTTTAAGGAGATATCCTGTGGGTTATCAGCCTGTTGCAGGGGACCCCTGGCTGAAAGACAAAAATGTAAGTTAAACATTGTCACAAAATTTGCAAAGTATACAGTGACAAAATTAGTATTCATCTAAAATCGTCTGTGGATTAAGGCTTGAATTTTCATCACTTTGTCAGATTAGCATATAGCAGTCTCATGTTGATATTTTATTGAAGCCATTCTAAGGATTCAATCATCTATTCTTTGCACTGTGGAGCAGTTTGGTATCTTTGTGATTAATAACTAGTGGCCCTGGTGCACAGATTCGTGCACATTGAAAGGAAATTAATTAGAATTTCTGGGGCGGTACCGTGACTTGAATGGCATCTGTGGAGTGTAAGGGGAGGGCAGGGGGAGACAGATCTTCTGGCTCACAGCACTGGTTCCCGTGCAGGGACTGATGGAGGTGGTCCCAGGAGGTGGCTAGCAGTGCAGGACTGGGTGGCACCACCGGCGTCTGCAGAGTGAGTGGGGTCCCTCTGGCAGGTGGGGTCCCTTGGCCTGGCCTGTGGGGATTGGGCTGAAACCAGCTCTCTGACATCCCCCGAGGGATCCCCGAGTGCAAGAGGGCACCCTACAAAGTTGCTTTTGTACAGGGTGTGGAACACAAATGCAAGTGTGCAATAAACCAGATTCAGGGCCGACAGTGCCCCAGGAGCAACATAACCCACAGCGGAAGGTGGAATCGTGGAATCGCGTGGCCCTGTGAGGAATCGGGCTCCCTCCTCTCTGGTTCCGGGGTGCGTCACCCAAGAACCGCTGCTGCCAAGTCACCGCAGCTCCTGTGTTGAGTATCTGCCCCTTGGTGGTCAGTGTGTGTCATAGATACTGGCTGGATGGTCGGACAGTCATACGGTCACCTATATATATAGGTGGGGTTGAGTGTCCTGATGAATTTACAGTTCATGATAAAGAAACTATTTCAGCCATAATATATTTGAAAATGTTAAACATTTAAAAACTATTTTCTTTTTTCCCCCCCTAGAAAATATTTTCTAGTAGTCTATATAGAGAATTCAGTGCCTTGCATAATTGGAAGTACAACTCATTTTCTATGATTTGTATAAATATTTTAATAGCAAAGTGAAATTTATGATCAAAACACAGTTTTATTAAATACTAAATTGGTCATTTAAATCTAGCTAAAATGTTATAGCATAATTTATAAGCATGTTACATATTAAATCTTAACCATAATTCACAAAATGCTGTTTACATTTAATTGGTACCTAATACTGATATATTTACTAAGGTTATTATCTGTCTTTCTAAAATACAGATCATAAATGTTGTCTGTTTTGAGTGTGCTATTTGAATATTTTGACCTTCAGTAATATTACAATAATGCACTTTAACAGCATAATTATTTTGGGTGTGTATGAAATAGATTATTACTTAATATTAAAAACTTAGATTTCTTCTTTTTTTTCATGATGATATACCATTAGTTTGACCTGGATTTATGATAGACTAGAGGCCCCATGCATGAAATTTGTGCAAGGGGCTCGGCCCTCACAGCCCCTCACAGCCCTTACTTCGTCTGGAAGGATGTCTGGAAGGTCGTTTGGCTGTTCAGTCTAATTAGCATATTAGCTCTTTATTATATAGGATTATTTGTTCCCATTAAAGTGCTAATATTGCCCTAGTCAGTTTTGCTCAGTGAGTAGAGCATCTGCCTGTGGACCAAAGGGTCACGGGTTTGATTCTGTCAAGGGCATATACCTTGGTTTCAGACTCTATCCCCAGCCCTGGTTGAGGAGCGTGCGGGAGGCAGCCAATCAATGTGTCTCTCTCACATTGATGTTTCTCTCACTGTCTCTCCTCCTCCCTTCCACTCTAAAAATCAGTGGAAAAGTATCCTCGGGTGAAGGTTAACAAAAAAATAAAGTGTTAATATTAAAAAGAGAGGCTGAAATTTTTGCTTCTCACTTGATCTTAATTATGGAGTTAAAAACTTTTTAAAATTATTTGCTGATGGACCAATGAAAGTTAAAAAACTAGTGATTCATTTGGAGTTAATTAGCAAAGTGCTTATATTTCTAATTCTTACAATCTATAATAATAAGAGGGTAACATGCTAATTAGACCAGACGTCATTCTGGACATTCTTCCTGATGAAGCCAGGGCCAGAGGGAAGCCAGCCGGGTCCCGGGTGCCAGCAGCCAGGGAAAGGAAGGCCTACTCTTGCACAAATTTTTGTGCATCGGCCCTCTAGTATTATATATAAATTTCATTGAAGAGTTGAAATTCTTCTTTGGCAAAACTTTGAGTGTATATTAGTTTAATTGGAGAGGCAAAATGGAAGTAGACTATCTTAATACCAGCTTGTCATTGATTCTTAATGTAGATTGAATATTTTCATCATTAGAAGAATCAACTCTTCAGTGATCAGTTTTAAATATTAGAAATTAATTTAAGGGCTTGAATTACCTCCTTAAAACCTGTGAGGTATGGTAATATTTATTGGCCCCCTTTTTTGTTTTCAAATTTGAGAGAGACAGTCCTAACCAGTTTGGCTCAGTGGATAGAGCTTCAGCCTGCAGACTGAAGGGTCCCAGGTTTGATTCCGGTCAAGGGCATGTACCTTGGTTGCGGACACATCCCCAGTAGGGGGTGTGCAGGAGGCAGCTGATTGATGTTTCTAACTCTCTATCTCTCTCCCTTCCTCTCTGTAAAAGATCAATAAAATATATTTTAAAAAAAATTTTGAGAGAGACAGATTAGTGAAGTGTGCAGTTAGTCCTACATGTTCAGGGGACTTTAATGACATATTTCTATGTCTGCTCTAGATGAGAACTTAATCCAGAATATATTTGTTTGAGAAATTCAGTAATTTTACTAGGGCAGCTTCTAGTGAAATGTATTGTACTTCTAAACATAAAACTAATTCCCCTTCATAAGAGTTTTTTTTTTTTTTTTTTAGTTTGCTTCAAGGTATTTGATGTTGACCGAGATGGAGTTCTCTCTAGGGTTGAACTGAGAGACATGGTGGTTGCACTTTTAGAGGTCTGGAAGGACAACCGCACTGATGATATCCCAGTAAGTTCTGATTTTAAACATCTTATTGTATGTAACTTCCAATAGGAAAATGGAGTGGAGAATTTTTTTAAAGTCAGCGAATGAAAAGGATTTTTTATTACTGTTAGTTGCTGAATTATGCTACTCAAAATATTCATTGCTGAAGATGCAAAACTGGGTAGAGAATTTGCCTTAGAAAATTTAATAAGCTGTATAAAGTAAGAATGAAACTACAGGATAATTGTAATTTTTAAAAGCAAATATAAAATTCTATTTATGGTAATAAAAAATACTTGGTCAAAATATAGTATATTTTGGCCACTGAATAATAAAAATGGTATCAACTCTTTCCTAATTACTCCTTTGAATTTCTCTTTTTAAAGGAATTACATACTGATCTATCTGATATTGTAGAAGGCATATTGAGTGCACATGACACAACAAAGGTGAGTTTAGCCAGGACTAACTTATCCTTTTCTAAAAATATCATGTACCAAAAATTGGGATATATAGTATATAATATTTTAATCTGTTCTGGATCATCTGTACCAACTGCTTATTTGGATCTGTGGTAACAGTACCTCCAGGTTGACTCTAAAGACAGTCCATTCCATGTGTTTTATGTATAAAAACATTTATTATAAGCTAGGCATTTTATAAAAATTAAGTAGACACAGCCCTTGTCAAAATAGTTTATAATTTTTATTTCTTCCATTTTAATAAGTTATGGTAAGGCTAACCTTATATTGAGCAAAAGAAGCCCCATAAAAAGAATATACTGTATGATTCCATTTATATGAAGTCAGGAACAGGGGCAAAACTAACAGATGATGGTAGGCATTAGAATAATGATTTTTTAATACTAATCTGGGTGGTCCATGTATTCCTAAAAGAGTTTGTTTTTTTGTTGTTGTTTTTTTAAATAGTACTGGTAAGGCCCGCTCAAGTTCTTGAGTACTAGCCAAAATAAGCATGTACTTTATAAAGAATAAATCCTTTAATTTTTTAATTTGATAATATTTATTACTAAGACTATTATAATAGGTTTACTCCTATAGTTTGATTTATTGGGATATATGTGTGTGTCCCTGTGAAACTGAAAATAAGCTACATATTGTGAGGCATATTTGAGTTAATTTGAGCCTTTCCACTCAAACACTGACGTACCAAGTAGCAGATTGGTTATAAAAGTTTAGATTTAAAAAGTAACATCAGTGTTTTTTTCTTTCTTCAATCATAATTCCAGAAGGAATCATCATAGTCTTATTAACTGGTGCTCAATAGAAAGTTAATAGAAATGAATTTTATAGGGCTTGAGCTTTGTTTGGCATTTCAGTCATCTTGCCTTCATTTACCTTTTTTTTTTTTTTTTTTGCCAAAAACTATGGCATCTACTTCTATTTGGAGTGTATAGAAAACCTGGGAGAGTTTCTGTTAGAAAATGCCTTATGTACAGATATAATTGCTAACACTTTTTTTTCTGAGTGTTTAATAAGTATGTAGGTATTATTGCTGTCTATTTTTATGTAAGATAGAGTTGCTACTTCTGGCTCTGCTGTGAACATTAAAAAGATAATTTAGCTTTTCAACTCCATGTAACCATGATAATGAATGGTTAGCGTTTGATTTGATTTTTTTATTATTGATTATTTACAGAGAGGAAGGGAGAGGGATAGAGAGTTAGAAATGAGAGAGAAACATAGATCAGTTGCCTCCTGCACACCCCCTATTGGGGATGTGCCTGCAACCAAGGTATGTGCCCTTGACCAGAATCGAACCTGGGACCCTTCAGTCCCCAGGCCGACGCTCTATCCACTGAGCCAAACCAGTTAGGTCTAATTTTTCACTTTTTAATATTTTTTGTTGATTTTTTAGAGAGAGAGTAAGGGAGAAGGATAGAGAGATAGAAGCATTGATAAGAGAGAAACATCATTGATAGGTTGCCTCCTGTACACCCCCTACCTGTCATATGCCCCCACAGGGAATTGAACCAGTGACCTTTTGGTTCCTGGGTCGATTCTCAGCCACTGAGCCACACCAGCCAGGGTGGTTAGAATTTTAGAATGGAACTTGGACCTTTCAACCAAAGCTATTAACCATACCCATTTGTGACTAGATTGTGCCTATATTACCCATTATTTTGTACCTTTAGATTGGTATTAACATACTTAATAGAAATTGTATCCTGAAAGTAAGTAATTATAGTGCTTTAAGATCTTTCCTTATTACATACTAGAGGCCTGGTGCACAAAAATTTGTGCACTCGGGGGGAAGAGGGGGTCCCTCAGCCCGGCCTGTGCCCTCTCGCAGTCTGGGACCCCTTGGGAGATAACGACCTGCTGGCTTAGGCCTGCTCCCGTGTGGCAGAGGGCAGGCCCAATTCCTAGGTGCAGCCCCTGGTCGGGCTCAGAGCAGGGCCGATTGGGGAGTTGGGGCGCCGCCCCATCATGCACAGAGCAGGGCAGATTGGGAGGTTGTGATGCCACCTTCAGTCACGCTCAGGGTAGGGCCAATTGGGGGGTTGGGGCACCATCCCCTGTCACACTCAAGGCAGGGTCGATGGGGAGGTTGCGGCGCCACCCCCTGTCACGTACAGAGCAGGGCCAATCAGGGGGTTGGGGCGCTGCCCCCGTCACACACAGAGCAGGGCCCATCAGGGGGTTGGGGCACCGCCCTCTATCACCACAGAGCAGGGCCGATCAGGGGGTTGGGGCGCCGCCACTCTCACACTCAGGGCAGGGCCAATGGGGAGTTTATGGCTCTACCCCATCACACACGGAGCAGGGCCCGTGGGGGGGGGGGGGGTTGGGGAGCTCCCCCCTATCAGGCACAGAGCAGGGCTGCTCAGGGGGTTGGGGCCCCGCCCCCTGTCACACACAGAGCCGCAAGGTGATCAGGGGGTTTGGGCGCTGCCCCCTGTCAACGCTGATCCCGGTGCTGGGAGGCATATTACCCTTTTACTATATAGGGTAGAGGCCTGGTGCATGGGTGGGGCCGGCTGGTTTGCCCTGAAGGGTGTCCTGGATCAGGGTGGGGGTCCCCACTGGGGTGCCTGGCCAGTCTGGGTGAGGGGCTGAGGGCTGTTTTCAGGCTGGGGGTGACTGAAGTTCCCAACCGCTCCTTTTTACTTTTTTTTTTTTTTTTTTATTCTGGCCCAGCTTTACCTTGAGGCTTGGCTCCAGCTCTTAGGCCTCCCTCCGGTGCTGAAAGTAGGTTTCTGGCCTTTGCTTATAATGTTGCGAATCTGCTGGCTGAAGTCCGGTGGTATTTGTTACAATGTTTCTTAAACTGCCCGCTCAGAGGCCTGCAGTCGCAAGCAAGCCTCATGTTAGTTTCAAGCTGCCTGGCTGCCCGCCACCATCTTGGCTGCCAGTTAATTTGCATATCTCGCTGATTAGCCAATGGGAAGGGTAGTGGTCGTACGCCAATTACCATGTTTCTCTTTTATTAGTGTAGATGGTTATTTTATATTGAGAAGAGAATATATCAATATCATTAAATAATAAAAGCTAAAACATTTTTTAGCTAGGGTTATTAGGTAATTGTTGAATACATGAAATATGAAATATTTGGTTATATTTTTGCCAGATAAGAAAAAATATATATCATCTTCTACATGGTATATGTAATTTTTGGTGCTCTTTGGCAACACAAAAATGTTGCTTTCCCAACTTATAAAAATGTAATGTTAAACTGCATTTTGGAGAAATGTTAAGTAGACATTAAATCTTTAAGAAGTCTGATAATATTGCTCTTTGTTACTAAGAAGGTCTTAGAATGTTGTTAGAATGAAAGGACTGGGTTATACTCAGACTCTTCGACCAGGAGTTAAACTGATCCAGTCAGCTTTAGTCAATGGAAAGAGCATCAATGCTGGAGGTCACAAGGTTGGGTTGGGATTTGAACTAGAAGTTTAATGCGGATTTGAATAAAGCATCAGATTTCTCCTTGAAGGTGAAGAGAAATGAACCCACTATGTTTTGACCTTAAAATTCTCTGAAATTGGCATTTCAAAAGTGAGAACTTTTTATTCTTCCAAGAATTGTAATCCTCCCCACACTGAAGCCTAGAGATTGCAAGTCCTAAGGGAGGTGCTTGAAGGCATGCCTGGAAGTTGTTATTTTTGTACCACATTTCATTTCAGTTTCACAGTGTTAATTTAAGTGTGTTCCTTAGCGACATGTACTGTCGTTTTATAAAGGAAATAACCCAGTCCTCCAGTTTATACATCATATCCGGCATTCCCACACCATTTTTTCATGACCTATTAATATATTGGTCTCTGTGCTATAGTGGAATCTTAGGTTTTGCATAAAAAAGAAAAAAGAAAAAAAAAAGAATACTCCATTTTCCTTACCCAGAGCTTTTTGTAGTTTTCCATAGGTAACCATTGAAACAGAAGATACTGTTATTTTCCAGGTCTTGCTGAAACAAAATTGTTGATGATAGATTGTCCTCATTACCATTGACTGTTTCAACAGATTTTTGTTACTTTTAAACTTATTCTAGTTAGCTGGACTACTTGTCATATGAACATATAGAATTTATTTTATTTTAAATATATTTTTTTTAAATTTAACTCAGATAGAGGAAGGGGGAGGGAAAGAGTCATAGAAACATCATTGATGAGAGAGAATCATTGATTAGCAGCCTCCTTCATGTCCCCTACGGGGGATCGAGCCTTTAACCCTGGCATGTGCCCTCCTGGTTCATGGGTCAATGCTCAGCCACTGAGCCACACGGGCCAGGCTAGAATCTACTTTAAATTATTGGTTTGTTTTCAGACAAATGACCGATATAAGTTTAATAAACCAGATTTTATTCAAATGCTATAAAAAATGACATTCTTAGCATGAGATCTTTTTAAATATTGTTTCTCTTTCAGATGGGCCATCTTACTCTAGAAGACTATCAGATCTGGAGTGTGAAAAATGTACTTGCCAATGAATTTTTGAATCTCCTTTTCCAGGTACGTTTAATGTAAATGACAGTTTCAGAGGGTAGTGGTAGCAGTAATTCTATATATTTTCTATTATGTAATAGTTAATGCAACTGGACTGCAAAACCACATATGATAAATAGAACTATATTATCCTAGACATGCTTGAAAGATGGTAAGATAGAGCATGAGTGCCTATTGAACCTTCTCAAAATCATGATGTGGGAGGTAGGAAAGCAGAATATAGGTGATATTGTTTATTTATCTTATCACACCTCATGATAGAGAAGCATGTAGACTTACAGAGAATCATAAAAGCCATCATAATTTACTTTTTCTTCGCTGTTATAGAAAAAAAAGGGCTTCACTTTTTTAAAAGCCCTTCCTAACAAGTGAGATAGTGTGAACAGAGAGTTGGATCATTAGTAGGCAACTATAATTTTTTCAAAGTATACAGTCTCTTTAGTTAGATTATCTTAGTTTCAAGGTGTCTCTTAATTTTTTTTTAGTTTTTATTTATTTATATTTTTATTCTTTATAAGGTCCAAGAAAGATTGAGGGACAAAGAGAGAAGAAAAGTTACCAGGAGTGAAAAGTCATAGAACTTGCTAGATTTTAACTATTTTCCTGAAGTAGTTCTCTTGCCCCAATTTATATAAATACTTTATGGTGTCCTGGCCAGTGTGCCTCAGTTGGTTGGGCATCGTTGCATGCACAGAAAGGTTGCCAGTTCAATTCCCAGTCAGGGAACATGCTTGGGTTGTGGGCTTGATCTCCTGTAGGGGGTCATGTAGGAGGCAGCCTATCAGTGTTTCACTCTCACATTGATGTTTCTCTCTCGTTCTCTCCCTTTCCCGTATTTTCTCTAAAAATCAATTAAAAAAAAAAAGAATAGCTAAAATTTAAAGTTCAAATTTGCTCAAGTAACTCATTAATAGTTCATTAATTGAAAACTCTGCAGAGACTGTGAAAAATACAATCTAGTTATTAGCACCAGTCAATGAAGATTAATTTACCACTTTTTCTTTAGGTATGTCACATAGTTCTGGGATTAAGACCAGCTACTCCAGAAGAGGAAGGACAAATTATTAGGTAAGTTTGTAGTTTCAGTCTGTGTATTTTTCATTATATAGTTGAAATTGCTAACACCCAAAATATATCATTACTAAGTAATATTATGTCCCACTTTAATGTAATCATTATAGTAACACCCTGTTTCTCCAAAACAATTACATATCGAGATATTTTTAAGTAATTTTCTAACCAATGTATTGGATTAATTTAGAAATCAAATTCCATTTCACATTAAAATTGCATTGGTACTAAATTTAATTTTTTGAAATAAGACATTTTATAAGTTAACAGATAGTTCCCAGCCAGCATGGCTCAGTGTTTGAGTGTCGACCTATGAACCAGGAGGTCATGGTTCGATTCCTGGTCAGGGCAAATGCACAGGTTGCAGGCTGGTTCCCCAGTGTGGGGTGTGTAGGAGGCAGCCGATCATTGATTCTCTCTCATTATTGATGTTTCTCTCTTTTCCTCTCCTTTCCTCTTTGAAATCAATTATATATATATATATATATATATATATATATATATATATATATATGTATTTTAATATATATATTTCTTTATTGAGTTCAGAGAGGAAGGAAGAGGGAGAGAGAGATAGAAACATCAATGATGAGAGAGAATCCTTGATCGGCTGCCTCCTGCACGCCCCCTACTGAGGATCGAGCCCACAGCCATAGCATGTGCCCTTGACCAGAATCGAATCTGGGACCCTTCAGTCTGCAGGCCGATGTTCTATCCACTAAGCCAAACTGACTAGGGCTAAAAATATATTTTAAAAAATTAAGATAACAGGTAGCAATTTTTTCTTACTACAAAATAGTTCACATTTATTGTAGAAAGATTAGAAAGTAGACCTAAGCAAAAAGAATAAAAAATGCCCACCATCTCTGTATTTAGATAATTTCTGTTGGCATTTTTATTTATTGAGGTATAATTGACAACTAAAATGATAAGATATTCAAAATATACAATGTGATGATTTCATAAATGTACGTCTTATAAAAGGATTCTCCCCATTGAGTTAAGTAACACTTCTATTACCATCTTTAGCTTTTTTGGGGGGTGGGGGGGAAGGACATTTAAGTTATACTCTCTTAGCAAATTTCAATTATACAAGTGTTATCTACTATAGTCACTATATTATACATTAGATCCACAAACCTTATTCATCTTATAATGAAAATTTGTACCCTTTTAGCAACCTCTTTCTATTTCCCCCAGCCCCAGCAACCATTTCTCTACTCTGTTTCTGATTTGACTTTTTTTTTTTTTTTAAAGATTCCACACATAAGATGATACTGTGCAATATTTATCCTTTTCTGTTTGGCTTATTTCACTTAGCATAACACCCTCCAGCTTCATCCATGTTCTTGTAAATGACAGGATTTCCTTCTTGTTTAAGGCTGAATAATATTCCTGAGAGAGAGAGGTTTTCTTTATCCATTAATTTGTTGTTGACACTTAGGTTGTTTCCATACTTTGGTTATTGTAAATAATATTGCAGTGGAAATGGGAGTACAGCTATCTTTTCAAGATAATGATTTTGTTTTATTTGGACATATACGCAGAAGTAGGACTGCTGGATCATATGGTAGTTCTATTTTTAATTTCTTGAGAAACCTCAATAATGTTTTTCATAGTGGTTAGCCCAGTTTTCATTCCCATCAGGAGTGTACAAGGGTTTCTTTTTCTACACATCCTTACCAGAATTTGTTATACTTTGTTTTTTTGGTAATAGCCTAACAAATGTGAGGTGATATTGTGGTTTTGATTTGTATTTCCCTGATGATTAGTGATGTTGAGCACCTTCGCATGTTCCTGTTCACTATTTGTATGTCTTTTTTGTAAAAATATCCTTTGCCCATTTTTTAAATTGGGTTGTTTTTTGTTTGTTTTGCTATTGAGTTACATGAGTTCCTTGTATATTTTGCATATTAGCCCTTTATCAGTTATGTAGTTTGCAATATTTCCTCCCATTCATTAGGTTTCCTTTCCTTTTTGTTGATGGTTGCATGTTAGCACTTTTTACATTCATATAACCACATATGTTTATGCCTCTGATGGAATTTATAAATTTTTTTATAAAAAAAGAATATTCTGAAATATTGTTTTATTTTCTGCGTGCATTTTCAATGCATATCTTATATATAAGTTATACTTTTACATATTAATAAAGGCTTCTTATAATTTAAATGATTAACTAATAGTTCCTATTCGTCCCCTATTTATATTTCTTTAATGTATGTATATGGGAAAATTTAGTAATAAAGTATGTACATCTTTGGTTAAGGATTTACTTAGGCAAAATTACTTGAGGTAAAATACCTGAATTGGTTAGGCCTGCACATTTTTATATTTATAACTCAATTTTTAATACCTTGATTATTTTTCATTGCTTTAGAGCAGGGGTAGGGAACCTTTTTTCTGCCAAGGGCCATTTGGATATTTATAACATCATTAGAGCCCAGTGCATGAATTCGTGCATGGGTAGAGTCCCTAGGCCTGGCCCGCAATGAGGGTCGATCCGTGGGGTGACCTGCGGGGTAGTCAGGGGGCCCCTTCCTGCATCTGCATTGGCTGGCCTGGGGCCTGCGGGCTGGGGACAACTCCTGCATTGAGTGTCTGCCCCCTGGCGGTCAGTGCATGTCATAGCAACCAATCGTTCCACCCGTCATTCTGCTGTTTGGTCTATTTGCATATTAGGCTTCTATTATATAGGACTAGAGGCCCGGTGCACAAAAATTTGTGCACTCGGGGGGAAGAGGGGGTCCCTCAGCCTGGCCTGTGCCCTCTCGCAGTCTGGGACCCCTCGGGAGATAACGGCCTGCTGGCTTAGGCCTGCTCCCGTGTGGCAGAGGGCAGGCCCAATCCCTAGGTGCAGCCCCTGGTCAGAGCAGGGCCTATTGGGGAATTGGGGCGCCGCCCCCTGTCATGCACAGAGCAGGTCGGATCGGGAGGTTGCGATGCCACCCCCAGTCACGCTCAGGGTAGGGCCGATTGGGGGGTTGGGGCACCGCCCCCTGTCACACTCAAGGCAGGGTCGATGGGGAGGTTGCGGCGCCACCCCATCACGCACAGAGCAGGGCCAATCCGGGAGTTGGGGCACCGCCCCCTGTCACACACAGAGCAGGGCGGATCAGGGGGTTGGGGCGCCGCCACTCTCACACTCAGGGCAGGGCCGATGGGGAGGTTATGGTTCTACCCTGTCACACATAGAGCAGGGCCCGTGGGGGGTGGGGCGTTGGGGCGCCGCACCCTGTCACACACAGAGCAGGGCCGATCAGGGGGTTGGGGTGCTGCATCCTGTCACACACAGAGCTGCAGGGCGATCAGAGGTTGGGGCGCTCCCCCGTATCAGGCACAGAGCAGGGCTGATCAGGAGGTTGGGACGCCTTCCCCTGTCACGAACAGAGTAGGGTGGATAGGGAGGTTGTGGCCCCACCCCCTGTCACACACAGAGCCGCAGGGCGATCAGGGGGTTTGGGCGCTGCCCCCTGTCACACTGATCCCGGTGCCGGGAGGCCTCTCGGCTCCGCTGATCCCGGTGCTGGGAGGCATATTACCCTTTTACTATATAGGATAGAGGCCTGGTGCATGGGTGGGGCTGGCTGGTTTGCCCTGAAGGGTGTCCTGGATCAGGGTGGGGGGTCCCCACTGGGGTGCCTGGCCAGCCTGGGTGAGGGGATGATGGCTGTTTGCAGCTGGTCACACACCCTTCAGGGTTGGGGTCCCCACTGGGGTGCCTGGCCAGCCTGGGTGAGGGGCTGAGGGCTGTTTGCAGCTGGTCACACACCCTTCAGGGTGGGGGTCCCCACTGGGGTGCCTGGCCAGTCTGGGTGAAGGGCTGAGGGCTGTTTTCAGGCTGGCGGGTGATGGAAGCTCCCAACCGCTCCTTTTTTTCTTTTTTTTTTCTTTTTTTAATTCTGGGCCAGCTTTAGCTCTGAGGCTCCAGCTCTTAGGCCTCGGCTGCTGAAAGTAGGTAATCGAAACAATGTATAACTCCAGCTCTGACTCCAGCTCTGAGGTCCCAGCTCGCTGAAAGCTGGTTTCTGGGTGTTTTTTTTTTTAGCTTTTATATTTGTTAAAATGTTTCAAACTGCAGGCTCAGAGGCCTACAAAGCAGGTGGGGAACGTTGGTTTCCTCCGTCACTGAAGCAAGCAAGCCTCATGTTAGTTTCAAGTTGCCTGGCTGCCGGCCGCCATCTTGGCTGACGGTTAATTTGCATATCTCCCTGATTAGCCAATGGGAAGGGTAGCGGTCATACGCCAATTACCATGTTTCTCTTTTATTAGATTAGATTCTCAGGCTATACAAAATTATCATCTTAAAAATTAACCTGCTGTATTTGGTCAAACATTTAATTAACATACCCCTGATGCCTTGCCAGGGCCAGAAGAAATGATTTTGCTGGCCTTTAATGGCCCCGGGCCAGACATTCCCCACTCCTGCTTTAGGGTTACCATTATATAATGTTAATGTCTAGAAAGTTTCAGAAACAGGACTAAATCTCAACTAAACTTTGCCTTTAGAATAAACTCTCAATATATAGCTTATAACTCATATATTTCTTAAAAGCAGTGTGTACACAAATTTTTCAGTAGTTTTTTTTTTGGCTTTGGACTACTTGATAAAAGAGTTTACTGAAGTAGAGTTGTTTGGAATACTTGAGAACAGGATTATATGGTCAAAATTTAAACAGGCAATGCCACCTGGCCTGTGTGGCTCAGTGGTTGAGCATCAACCCATGAACTAGGAGATCACAGTTCGATTCCCAGTCAGGGCATATGCCTGGGTTGTGGGCTTCATCCCCATTAGGAGGATAGGGGGCACAGGGCGGCCAGTTGATTATTCTCTCTCATCATTGATGTTTCTCTCTCTCTCTCCTTCCCTCTCTCTGAAATCAATAAAAACATTTTTTTTAAAAAAGGAAAAAAAGATTTTATGAGGATGTGGAGAAATTGGGACCTTCATACATTGCTGGTGGAAATGTAAAATGGTGTAGCTGTTGTGGAAAACAATTTGGTCATTCCTCAACATGGTATTACTACATAACTCAGCAGTTCCAATTTTAAGTGTATAATTAAAACATTTTTAAACAGGATGTACATAGATGTTCATAACAGTGCTATTCAAAATAGCTAAAAGGCAGAATCAGTCCAAATAGCTACCAATGAATGAATGGATAAACCAAATGTGGTTTATAGGTACCGTGGAATATTATTCAGCATAAAACAGAAAAATGTTGTGATACATGCTACAACATGAATGGACCTCACAAATGAAAGAAGCTATTCACAGTAGGTCACATACTGTATGATTCCATTTGTATGAAATATCCAGAATATGTAAATCCATAGGTACAGAAAACAGATGGATGATTGTCAAGGGATGGGGGAAGGGAATAATAGGGGAAAACTGCTTAATGTATAACTGCTTCATTGGGGTGTATGAAAATGTTTGGGAGAAATTGACATAACATAAAGTGAACCATTTTAAAGCATATAATTCAGTGACATTTAGTACACCATTTCACATCCACTAGAACATTTATGATAGAAAAGGCAGATGCGTTGGTGAGAATCTGGAGAAACAAGAATAGAACCCTCATATGTTGCTAATGGAAATGTTAGGTGGTACTTTGCAAAAACACTTCACCAGTTTCAAATTATTAGATGTTAGATGGAGAAACAAAATGTGGTGTATATGTACTTTTGGAATATTATTCAGTAATAAAAAAAGCACAAACTAAGGATACCTGCTATAATATAGATGAACCTCAAAAACATTATGCTAAATAAAAGAGGCCAGATATAAAAGACCTTTGTGTTATATCATTCCATTTATATGAAATGTTCACATAATGGAAGTTTATAAGAGATAGTAAATAGACTAGTGGTTTTCTAGGTCTAAAGGTGGTAACACAGATTGACTAAAAATAGATATATTTTTGGGGTAATTGAAATATTCTAAAATTCTACTGTGGTGCTGGTTGCACATGTCTGCAAATTTATCAAAATCATTGAGTTGTGTACTTAATCCAGGTAAATTGTATGATATGTAAAATATTCCTCAATAAAGCTGTTTTTAAAACATCATCAGGCCCTAGCTGGTTTGGCTCAATGGATAGAGTGTCAGCCTACGGACTGAAGGGTCCCAGGTTCGATTCCAGTGGGTACATGCCCAGGTTGCAGGCTCTATCCCAGGGGTGGGCAACCCCTGGCACACGTGCCAAACATGGCACGCCAGTAACTTTTGCTGGTGCATGAAACCCTCTCTTATAATCTTCCATTTACAATTTTTGTGAACATTTGAATGAGTTAAATGTTAAATTACAAGGAACTGGCAAGACACTTGATGTTATGTTTGGTTACATAAAGGCTTTTGAAAAGAAACTGGGCCCTGACTGGTTTGGCTCAGCGGGTAGAGCGTCGGCCTGCGGACTGAAGGGTCCCAGGTTCGATTCCGGTCGGGGGCATGTATCTTGGTTGCGGGCACATCCCCAGTGGGGGGTGTGTGGGAGGCAGCTGATCGATGTTTCTCTCTCATCGATGTTTCTAACTATCCCTCTCCATTCCTCTCTGTAAAAAAATCAATAAAATATATTAAAAAAAAAAAGAAAAGAAACTGGAAGTCTTTAAGAGGGATGTGGATGGTGAGAGATTTAGATATTTCCCAAACCTCAAGAGGCACATCAAAGACCTCCCAAAAGATGACAGAACAGACTGTCAAAGCCTTCAAAAGCTGTTTTTAAACATCATCGAGTCAACTATTGAGCAGTTCTTCTCAAGATTTGCGAAATTCAGAGAACTGGAAGAGACAGCAAAATTCATGAGGTTTCCAGATAGCATGAAACTGGAGGAACTAAACTTACAAATGTTTTCATGGATAGACATGGCTGACTTTGAAATGCAGTTGATTGAATTTCAGTGTAGCTCAATTTGGAAGCAGAAATTTATTGACCTTAAAGTTGACTTGGAAAACATTGAAATAAAGCCATTAGAGACAGGAGTACCAGAGAGAAATGTTGAAAACAAACTATTGAGGACTTGGAATGCCATTCCAGAAAATTTTTTCTGTTTTAAAAACTTTACAGCAGCGTTACTCTCCATGTTTTCATCCACATACGCTTGTGAATCTTTGTTCTCAGTGATGAATTTTGTTAAGTCTCGTAATAGGAGTAGCCTGACGGATAAAAGTATATCTCTGAAGGTCACGAAATATAAACCTGATGTAAAATCTCTGTCATCAGTGATGCAGCAGCAAAAGTCCCACTGATAATATCAAACAGAGTCATAAAGTTTTCTGTCGGACTATCAGTGTACATGTATACATTAAAAAATAAATGTATTTTTCATCATCATATACTGTGTTTTTGTCGCTCGAATGAATTTTATTTCTTCAAGGTTCTTCACATACGTACACCTTAAGAGATATCAAGTAGGCGTAACATGTTCTCAAAAAATTAGGGTTGGCACGCAGAAGAATTTTGAGTCAGAGATTTTGCTGGTTTTGGCATGCACTCACAAAAAGGTTGCCCACCCCTGCTCTATCCCCAGTAGGAGACATGTAGGAGGCAACTGATCAGTGATCCTCTCTCATCATTGATGTTTCTCTCTCCCCCTCTCCCTTCCTCTCTGAAATCAATAAAAATTAAAAAATAAAAACATCATCAGTATGAGTGATACTTGACAGTGGTATTGTGACTCCCTGAAATTGGCTTATCAGTATTTCACTAATCGAAATTATAGTCATTTCCCAAGTATATCTATTTATTTCATGTTTTTCCCTTGTAAAAATTGCTAATGATAATTTGTGGGTGTGTGGTCATCTGTTTCACACACCATTTGATGTACTAAATTTCTTTTGTATGTGTAGAGGATGGTTAGAACGGGAGAGCAGGTATGGTCTGCAACCAGGACACAATTGGTTTATCATCTCCATGCAGTGGTGGCAGCAGTGGAAGGACTATGTCAAATATGTGAGTAAGATTTCTGTTTACCTACCTTTTTCATAGGATTTTCAATTCTACAGACTTTGGGTGACTACTGGCTAATAATAAAATGCTCCAACTTAAAGATTTGAAGGGTATAGAAATGATTTCCCATAAAATACTTGCTATGTACCAGGCTCTATGCTTACAGATTTCCTCCCTGCAACAACTCTGTGAGGAAGGTAATATTGGGCATGCAGGTGCATGTATATACACCATATACACCTTACATATCTCATTTAGTCCTCACAATCTCTGTGAGGAAGGTGGTATTATATCTATTTTACCTGTGAGGAACCTGAGACTGGGACTAGAGGTAACCTGAATTTCTTGCTCAGAGTGGAAGTTCTGGAATCAAATATAAGGACTGACTTTAAATCCAGGGGCATGTCAACCACATTATACTTCATTATTTCACCTTTTTTATCAAAAAGTTGAAGATTCCTGGGTGATTTTCTATTCAAGAAAGTTAATTTCAGAGGTAATATTAGAACCCAATTTCTAAACGATAACCTGACATTGTTCCATACAGAGTTAGAGAAGAAATTATTAGTGAATATTCTACTCTTATTTAAAACATACAAGGGATTTTTTTTCGGAAAACTGAAAACAGTAATTCCAGTAATCAAATTCTCCATTTTCGAGAGTCAGTTGATACATTTTGTTGACTCGTTGTCAGTTGCCAAATGATTACTAACCAAAAATCTAATAATTTTATTCATATTTTTCCTATATGCCCTTTTCTATCATTGTTTATCAGAAAATATTGGTAGATTGTTTACATTATTTTTCTTATCTTTCTACCTGGTTCTTTTTTCCTTTTGCCGAGGTTAGTAGTTTGTTTTCACACATAAAATATGTTAATTGGAAAAGGTAGACTTTAAATATCACTGAAGGAGTGAAAGTAGGCAAATGACTTCAAAGACCTTATAGATAATGATAGTGATTGTAGGTAGAAAATGAGAGTATTAGGTAACATGTCACAGTCTATTTTGAAATTATTTTTGTCTTTACGTTCTTACTTTGACCTTAGAATAAATGGTTATTAATGTCTTACTAGCTACAGACTCAAAGAATAACCTAGCTTTGTACTTGAGGTATTACTTTTTGCTTCTTGTAGGAACATGATAGAGGTCTTGCTCTTAGCAGCATATCTCTTATGAAACGGAAGTGCAGCCCTGGCCAGGTGGCTTAGTTGGTTGGGGCATCGTTCCATGTACTAAAGAGTTGTGGGTTTGATCCCTGGTTGGGGCATGTGTGAAAGGCAGCTGATATTCTCTCTCTCTCTCATTCTCTCTCTCTCTCTCTCCCCCTCCCCCTCCCTCCCTCCCTCCCTCCCGCCTTCCACTTTCTCAAAAAAAATATCCTCAGATGAGGATTAACTAAAAAAAAAAAATTGTAGTATACAGGGTGGGGCAAAAGTAGGTTTACAGTTCATATGGAAAATAATACAGTAATTAATAAATAATAAACTATGCTTTGTGTACTCAACACTGTAGACCTACTTTGCCCCACCCTGTACATATGTATAAAGCATAAAAAGAAATTGTATCATCACTGACAGAGAAGAAAGTGAATCCTGAAGTTTGATATATCATAAGCCATTTATACAACTTAAAAGAAATCATAAAATTCTCAAAATAGAATTATATTCAAGTTCCACATAGGCTTTTTAGGAGTAATTGACTCACATAAAAATAAGGAAATTGTTCAACATGGGTGAAACTTTATCTATTTAGAGACCTATCTTTCTAAAAACACAGTCTTCTAGGATAATTTCTGATAGTTACAGACCAAGAAGTAAGTAAAAACAAAAAGATCCTTTGATGTTTGCGGGGATGGGCAGGGCTTCCCAGAGCAACTGGAAATAACATACTCAAAAAGTAGCCCATGACTACAATATATAACCATTATTGGTTTGTTCAACGTACTGGTATAGAAGGAAAGTGATAACATTAGTTGTCTGAAAATGTTGATAATTGCACTGGAAGCCAAGAAGAATGGAAGCAATGACAAGAATTATAGGACAGAGAAGGGGAAAGAACAAAAAACCTGAGTAATGGTGTCAGTTTTAGGCAGTGCCAGACACTGAGAGCAGTAGATTCCTAGAATAGAAAAAAAAAAGGCCAAAGACAGACCACTGTAGTTTGGTACATTGGAAAACAAGTGAAGAAAAGCACTATTCTCCAAGTCTACAGGGTGCATCATTCACTGTGCCATGTTAAAGGACATACGGTGCCCTAACCGGTTTGGCTCAATGGATAGAGCGTTGGCCTGCGGAATCAAGAGTCCCGGGCTCGATTCTGGTCAAGGGCATGTACCTTGGTTGCGGGCACACCCCCAGTAGGGAGTGTGTAGGAGGCAGCTGATCGATGTTTCTCTCTTATCGATGTTTCTTTTTTTTTTTTTTTTTTTAAATATATTTTATTGATTTTTTACAGAGAGGAAGGGAGAGAGATAGAGAGTTAGAAACATCGATGAGAGAGAAACATCGATCAGCTGCCTCCTGCACATCTCCCACTGGAGATATGCCCGCAACCCAGGTACATGCCCTCGACCGGAATCGAACCCGGGACCCTTCAGTCCGCAGGCCGACGCTCTATCCACTGAGCCAAACCGGTTTCGGCGATGTTTCTAACTCTCTATTCCTCTCTGTAAAAAATCAATAATATATATATATTTTTTTTTTTTTTAAATATATTTTATTGATTTTTTACAGAGAGGAAGGGAGAGAGATAGTTAGAAACATCGATGAGAGAGAAACATCGATCAGTTGCCTCCTGCACATCTCCCACTGGGGATGTGCCCGCAACCCAGGTACATGCCCTTGACCGGAATCGAACCTGGGACCTTTCAGTCCGCAGGCCGACGCTCTATCCACTGAGCCAAACCGGTTCCGGCAATAAAATATATTTTTAAAAAAGACACATGGTATGCTCTGGCTAGTGTGACTTGGTTGGGTGTGTCTCATGCACCCAAAGTTGCCAGTTTGATTCCTGGGCAGGGCAGGCTTGATTCCTTCCCAGGTTGCAGGCTTCATACCCAGCAGGGGGCACTGATTGATGTTTCCCTCTGGCACTGATGTTTCCCTTTCTCCCTTTCTCTCTCTCTCTAAAATAGATAAAAACGTTTTTTTAAATTTACCTCCTAATATCTGACTTCATGATTTTTAGGATGCTAGCCCTGTTGTGATTGAGCCATCATCTGTTCTGAATGGAGGAAAATATTCATTTGGAACAGTACATTCTATAGAGCAGAGTGAAGATAGAATTGGAGGAGGCAGCCTCAGTTATGTGAATACCACAGAAGAGAAATTTTCAGACAATATTTCTACTGCATCTGAAGCCTCAGAAACTGCTGGCAGTGGTAAGTCTGACTTGTTTCCCATGGGGTTTAGTCAGGGTCAGTTCTTAAAGGAGTATACTTTGTCAGAGTGTGCTTAGTAGAATATTGGGCATCAGGTTTCCAGTCACAGAAACAAGTTTTGAATGAAATGGTTATTTATGAGATTCTTGAAAATATTTTCACTGATTAAGCCACATTTCCCTGTATTGCTACTAAATTATTTTGTCAGTAAGTTTAAAGTTGGTAAATAAAAATCTAAATTTCTTTCTTCGGGACTTTGTAACTATAAGCATACCTTTACTGGATTAAATACATTTTCATATCAAATTCTACAGATATGTTAGACTGGAATCTGGGGGATTGTTTTAAATTTTGAGAAACAATTCATAATGCTTCCCATAATTCCCTTCGTCCCTTGATACCTAAAACTCAGTGGTTCTACTCTAAGTTGGGACTCATGAGGAAGATGCTTTGGTGTTTTTATGCCTCAACTGAATTGAGTTGATCCCTATTATTCTGCTGACATAAAAGGAGGACTTTCAGTCTTATTCTGTTGTTATTTCATCTTTGAGATCTTTTTTTTTCTTCTTCTTCTATTAAAGGAGTAGCCAAAATGGACAGAGCTAGCATTTTAGGAAACTGTTGAATTTACTGCTTCTCTTTCCCCATCTGACATTACAAAGATCAGTTAGCAGTCCTAGCTCTCCCTTCACACCAAATTATTTCTTAACCCTTCTTTTATATATATTCTTATTAAAAAGAAAAAAATATATTTTTATTGATTTCAGAGAGGAAGGGAGAGGGAAAGAGAGATAGAAACATCAATGATGAGAGAGAATCATTGATTGGTTGCCTCCTGCACTCCCTACAATGGGGATTGAGCCTGCAACCTGGGCATGTGCCCTGTATGGGAATTCAACTGTGACCTCCTGTTTCATATGTCGATGCTCAACCAGTGAGACACGCTAGTCAATCGGGTTAACCCTCCATTTGACATATACTCACTTTATAACCTGTGTTATTATAAGCTGAGCAGTGCCACACTTAGAAGGTTTAAAGTGACTAATGGCTAGAATGTTTACCTCAGATTAACATGTAGTTAGTTAAGAATTAAAATTTCTTAAAATATCATTGAAGTTCAGCCCTAGCGGGTTTGGCTCCGAGAATAGAGCTTTGGCCTGTGGACTGAAGGGTCTCAGGTTCGATTCAGGTCAAGGGCACATGCCTGGGTTGTGGGCTCGATCCCCAGTGGGTGGCATACAGGAGGCAGCCGATTAATGATTCTCTTTCATCATTGATGTGTCTATCTTTCTCTCCCTCCCCCTTCCTCTCTGAAATCAATAAAAATATATTTTAAAAATATATATCATTGAAGTTCACAACTCTAAGTTGTCATTAATCATTTTCCTGTGTGTATATTTCTATTGTAATGTTAATACCTTTCTTTCAAATAGATTCATTAGGGGACATTTTCTTACCCCCAGCATTCTTCTGTTGAAGTTGTTATTTTAGCTCCTTCCCTTTGGTTTAGACGTCTTTTTTTTTTTTTTTAATCCTCACTCGAGGGTATTTTTCTATTGATTTTGAGAGAGTGGAATGGAGGGGGAGAGACAGAGAGAAAAACATTGATTGGTTGCTTCCCGCACACACTTTGATGGGGGCTTGGGGATTGAACCTGCAACTAAGGTACGTGACCTTGACCAAATCAAACCCACGACCCTTTAGTCCTCAGGCCAACATTCTCTCCACTGAGCCAAACTGACTAGGCCTGGTTTAGACTTATCACCATCATCTTCCAAAAACATTTGGGATGTGTTTCCAGGTAGAAGAGAAGAATTATGGGAGACTGGGAGAGAGCCCAGTTACTTGGCTATACTTTTTCCTTTCCCATTAGAGGACATATAATTCTTGTTGTAAATTATCAGATATTCTAGGAGGCTGTCCAAATGTTCATGTGGTAACAATTTTTAAAGTTTTTATTTCACCTAATATTATGTTAGGTATTGTCCAGAAAGAAATACATCTGTATTTCCTAGCTTCTGCAGATTTATCAGAATCGACTGTACTGACATGCCAAGAGAATAATAGCATTAACCTAAAACATGGACATTGAATTCATATCTTCAAGCCTATTCATGTATAATAACTAAAAATAGAGATTCCATCCTCTGTTTCCTTACAGGCTTTTTGTATTCAGCCACACCAGGAGCAGATATGTGCTTTGCTCGACAACACAACATTTTAGACAGTAACAACCAGTGTTTCCTAGGAGCCAATGGGAATATTTTGTTGCATCTCAATCCTCAGAAACCAGGGGCTATTGATAACCAGCCACTAGTAACTCAAGAGCCAGTAAAGGTAAGTAATTTGACAACTACTTAAAATCATTCTCTTTCAGATTGCTTATAAGTTTTATTCTAGAGGTTTTAGCACATAACAAAACACTCCCCCCAATGGGGATTGAGCCTGCAACCTGGGCATATGCCCTGACTGGGAATCCAACTGTGACCTTCTGTTTCATAGGTTGATGCTCAACCACTGAGCCATGCCAGTCAATTGGGCTTAACCCTCCTTAGTGGTCATTTAATTAACCTGTTGTGGATGGAAATCTTTTTGCATAGTATATTTTCATGAGAATATTTTATGATTTAGTACTTGCACAGAAGCAATGTAGTGATCCTTGGAAATATTCTCAGTCATAGAACAGCTACTATGAAAATGTAGTTTCACATGCCTGTGGAATTTTCCCCCCAAAATAATATTTTATATTTTCTGAGAGAAATCTGCGAAAATAAGTCTTATTATTACCAAATGCTCTGATGATTTTTTTCAAATGATTTGCTTTTTGAGTTTCCTTTCTTAGTTTGTTTTGAAAGTTAAAAATAAAAATCTTATTTAGAACATGAAACTGAGTAGTGACATGTGTGTTTATTCTTCTGTGTCTAGTCTACAAGAGACTGTAATATTAAAAATCAACATTTACATTTTATTCTTCTAAGGCTACATCATTAACACTGGAAGGTGGTCGATTAAAACGAACCCCACAGCTGATCCATGGAAGAGATTATGAAATGGTCCCAGAACCTGTATGGAGGGCACTTTATCATTGGTATGGAGCAAACCTGGCTCTTCCTAGACCTGTAAGTATAGCCAATAGTGCCTTATATAAGGAGCAATCATAGATGGGATCTTCTGTTACTTTTATAAACATCACTACAATTTAGTTCAGTGATGGCGAACCTATGACACGCGTATCAGAGGTGACACACGAACTCATTTTTTTGGTTGATTTTTTCTTTGTTAAATGGCATTTAAATATATAAAATAAATATCAAAAATATAAATCTTTGTTTTACTATGGTGCAAATATCAAAAAATTTCTATATGTGACACGGCACCAGAGTTACGTTAGGGTTTTTCAAAATGCTGACACGCCAAGCTCAAAAGGTTTGCCATCACTGATTTAGTTCTTACTTATGGTAGTAGAGTACTCAATACCTGTTCAAATCAGTTGAACAAATTTTGGGTTTCTTCTCATTCATTCATTAATTTTTTCATACATTTATTGAGTGCTGTATTAGGCAACAACCATACAATGACGTGCCTATCGGAGTGGGTGGCTTTTATGGAGTGGAGGAAATAATCACTGGGCTAAATAAAGTCAGGACATAATTAGCTAGGCTATTAAATAAGTCATCCACATAAATGCAAACATTAGGATAATGCATGACATAGGCTGAAACAGAAGTCTGAGAGCCAGTTCTTAAACTTATTAGTTTAGTAGGAGAAGTGGTGCATAATTTACTTCTGAAACTGCTTTTCCCATTAACTACAAAGGCATCCAGTGAGGGATCAGGTTTATTTTCTAGCTGTTGGTGGATTTTTGTGGTTAGTCTTCTGGAAGGATAATAGGAATTCAAAGCTAGTAAATGACTTCTGATTGGTGCCATTACTAGGATGAGTCATTTAGAGCAGTGGTCGTCAACCTTTCAGACCTCACGAACCACCAGTGGTCAGCAAACCACCGGTTGGCGACCACTGCTCCAAAGGTTTCCTTAAGCCAGCGGTCACCAACCTTTCGGACCTCACGACCACCAGTGGTCTGCGGACCATCAGTTGGTGACCGCTGATTTAGAGCATAAGTAAAATTCTCTGAAGTAATTAAAGGACTTAGAGAATATAATACCAAATTTTAGTGATTTAACTATGCAGCATCATTTGTTGTGCTTATACAGGTAAACAGCAGGACTTGGTACTTTTACTCGCTACCCTCAGCAGGACTCGTAACATTCTTATACCAGGAAGGTTTTGCATAGATAAGATATGTTAATCACTTCCATTTACACAGTAGAACATAGATAGTAAATATTTATATAAACTTTTTTTATCCCCACTACTAACATAGGAAATAAAATTTTAAGTAAATGTATAGTACTCTTTATATGTATTCAACCAACAGAGTATTTTTAAATGATGTTGATAAGATTTTGTGAGAGTAGTACATTCATACATTTCTTGGAATATTGTAAATTACTACACTTTGGGTGGCAATATGACCAATTTAATTAATGGCATGAATACTTCCATACTTTTGACATGTAACTTCAGTCCTAAGTATTTGCCCTTTAACACATTAAGCGCCCAGTCACTAGTAACTGACACTATACTTTCTGTCCGAAAGACAAAACAGGCTGGGCGCTTAACGTGTTAAAAGACCATCATTTATATATATAAAATATGTAAAAGTGAAAAGAGTTATGGTGTGAGGGTAGTAAATTGTAGATAATATTTAAGTTTTTAAAAATACATATATTTGTATTGATTTCAGAGAGGAAGGGAGAGGGAGAGATAGAAACATCAATGATGAAAAAAAATCAGTGATCAGCTGCCTCTTGCATGCCCCCTACTGAGTATCAAGTCCGATACCAATCCTCGACTTCCTGGTTTATAGGTCAATGCTCAACCACTAAGCTGGTACACCATTTGAACAATATTTAAGTTTTTTTAATTTAATTTTGATATTACTGATTTTAAATGAAAGGGGGAAATACCAACCAGGAGTTCTAATCTTAGAAGATAGATTTAGAGCAGAAACTTGGGTGTTTTTAAATCCATGTAATTTAATTCTATGAATTTCTTTAATCTAATTGAAAAATAAATAGCAAACCTATTGAACATTTTAGATTTTAAAACTAAATCTCAGAAGTTAAATAAAAATTGCAAGTTTTGTTTCTTCTTTTACAGTAATCACTTTATATCTTTTAAAACAACAGGTGATCAAGAATAGCAAGACAGAAATCCCAGAGCTAGAATTATTTCCTCGATATCTTCTATTCCTGAGACAGCAGCCTGCCACTCGAACACAGCAGTCTAACATCTGGGTGAATATGGGTATGATGAGCCTGAGAATGTTTCCTCAGCATTTACCAAGAGGTAACTTAAGAATGCAGCAAGAATATTGTGCATTTTCTTAAAAAAATAAAATAAAATAAAATTGCTCAAAGTCTGGTGCCACTGTACCAGTAAATCCTTTGTGGGGCTTAGATCTATGGTCATGCGCAAGACTAGATGAGGTAGAGGGGAAAATCTCAGCAGCAAACTGGGAAGGGTCGTTTTCTTTCCTGGTTTGTAAAATATACAACCATAATAAATAGAAATATATTTTACACACCTTCTTTGAGAACAAGCCATTGTAAATTATTTGCTTGACCTGATTTAAAGTCAACCAGTCAATGATTTCTCTTTTCAACTACACTCAAATTTTTCAAAGTGATTTCTTTGGCAGTATCATGTTTGTTTGTTTTTAATATTTCTGGTGTATCTTGGGTTAGTTTTTTTGCGGTTTTATTTTACTATATAAAACATGATACATTTTTCATGCTCAGTCTTAGGAATCTGTATCTTATGAGACACAGATAGCAAAGGATATATTTTGAAAATAAATAAAGCCTATCAAAATGACAAATAAGTTCCAATTTTAATGTGTTATATATAAATAGTTCCCCTTTGATTTATCTATAAAGTTGTTTTATTTCATTTTTTAAAATATGATTTATTGATTTCAGAGAGAGGTAAGAAGAGGGAGAGAGGGATAGAAACATCAATGATGAGAGAAAATCATTGATCAGCTGCCTCCTGCATGCCTCCTCCTGGGGATTGAGCCCACAACCCGGCTATGTGCCCTAACCTGGAATTAAACTGTGACCTCCTGGTTCATGGGTCAATGCTCAACCATTGAACCACACTGCATAGGCAAAGTTAAGTTTTATTGATAGGCAGGACTCACTCTATGTTTTTGCTTTGCAAATATTTAAAATTGTTCTTCAGCAAAAATAATGAATTCATCCATTTACACAGAGCCTCAGACTTTGTGCTAACAATTCCACAATGTTATTAAAATTAATATAACTTGATATGCAAGAACTACCTATGAACTCAGACCAACTCTACCATCCCTCCTTTGAAATCAAGTAAGATTCATTTAAAGCCTTCCTTAAAGGTTATATTCAAATAATATATGGAGATTCTTACACATATATTTTGGTAAGAATTATAGCATAGCAGTGGCCTCTGCCTAACCAAACTTTGTCTTTGGGGAAAACATCAAAATCAAGGAACAGTGAAATAGAATCTCTAGGAAACTTTCTTGATTTATAATTTTCCAAGAATAAAAGTATTTGCCTTGCCGAACCGGTTTGGCTCAGTGGATAGAGCGTCGGCCTGCGGACTGAAAGGTCCCAGGTTCGATTCTGGTCAAGGGCATGTACCTTGGTTGCGGGCACATCCCCAGTGGGAGATGTGCAGGAGGCAACTGATCGATCTCTCTCATCGATGTTTCTAACTCATAAAAAAAGTATTTGCCTTGCTTTCATGGCACTCATAACACACACCTTTTTCAATTCTCCTTAAAAGATAACATGAGAGGCAAAATGTGTTAGTGCGCTTTAGTAAGTAGTCTTTGCAACTCTTGTGCTGATCCTAGATTTTTGCTGCTCTGTAAATACCACTAGATGTGTTGATGCTATTCAAAAGCACAACATTTTGTATAAGTGGCTGCATACTTAATGAGCTATGCTATAAAAACTGTCTAGAATTCAAATAAATTTCTTATGTTGCTTAGGACAATAGAAATTGACTTGGACACTACATTTTCAAAAGCCTCTGAATCCTAGAACTAGGTAGTTATTATGCTCCAAATTTGTTCTTAATTTGAAATTTTATTCCTTACTAATTAGTTGTGAAATCAATCAGTAATCATTTTGAAGTTTATGAAAATATGCTTTCTTGCTGTAATCTTATAACTAATCCTCTGATGTATAATTAGAGAAATTTGCTCTTTTGTTTTATTTTAGTGATTGTCCTTTGCTTGCTTATAGTAAAAGATTTGCTTTGCTATGGGTTTAAAGTTGATCATGGTTGAATTTTGCTCTGCTTTCTCATTACTCTATTTATTATAGCTGTTTACTAGACTCTTTTATTCCTTTTAAACCTTGCCACAGTTATAATGACTTAAACATAGCCTTTTTGACAGACATTGCTACAGAAGTCATTGTTTCTTAGATGATTTTTCAGCCTATTTTATGTAAGTGAATTCTTTTTGGAGCTCTAAAAAAGCGGATGATGCTTATACACTTCTCTGCTTTACTTAGTAGGTGAAGACTCAAAGTGCATTTAATCAGAATAAAACTAAGTCACCATTGAATGTGTGGAAAACTACCTGGAATGTATAATTGTATCCTAGATGGGTTATATCTATATGTTAAGTTTATTTTATTTTTGGGTTTCTCAATAAGCTATAACTTCCCATTGACAAAAGATGACCATTTTAAGCTGTAGCTTTGTCTCAACTTTTGTCTAAATAGTTTAACGCCGGTTTAGCAGGTTGTTTTAGCAACCTATCTTTTTTTATTATTTATTTTTTATTTTTATGGTTTTTTTCCCCTTTATTGAATAAGATATTATAAATGTGTCCTTATCCCCCCACAACCTATCTTTGATTTCAATAATTTCTTATTTTATCCCCCTTCTCTATGAAGTATATGGTGAGACTTTGACATATTCTTCCTTCACTCTTCACTCTTTCCCCTTATTGCCCCTCTTTCTCTTTCTACCTAATGTCTTTCAGGAATTCAAGGTCATGTCTATTGCCATTTTATTTGGCAGACAGGTCATATGATTTTATGATTTTTACCCCCTTATGCCTTTTAATAGGGCTTTTTTTTTTTGGTCCTAAGAAGCTTTTTTTTTTTTTTTCCAAAAATGTCTCACAAAACAGCAGAATATATCTCTAAAGACAGGAGGAAAAATAATGCTAGCTCTGTGAATTGTCTCCTTTTCTCGTGTGAATCCATAAACTGCCACAGAGCGCTAGGAAACTTCTTGAAGCTGCATTTGGTCATGTAGAATCTATGCCTACTTAAAATTTTAAGTAAAATCATGTAATTGTATCAGTGTGTCAGGTATTTGAGCCACTTAATGACCAAGACTGATGGAGTTAATAATTCAAAGAGTTTATTTGAAGAAAGTGGATCAGGTGAAGCCAATTATGTATCTGTGAAATTCAAATCTAGTCTCATTTTATCTTCTCCATTTGTATGCTGAATTTTTCTTTTGCTATTGAGTGTGACCCAGCTGAGGGCCTATTGTTTGTTTATATTTACCACTCTTCTGGGATCTGAGAACTACCAATTATTTGGGTCTTTGTGATTTTTTTGCCTCCTTTCAAAGTTAAGGCTTTGGACTCACTCTAAGATACTTGGGTCTCCTGTCTTCATCTTAAAGCTTATTAATTTATAAAATTATTAAACCTCTAATTCTCATTTTTCATCATTATTTTCTAAAATACTGTGGTCACCATTGCTAAAGGGGTGCTTTTATTTTTTTTACTTTTTAACATCTATCTTTTACTTATTGTGATTACTATGACTATAGGAAACGTACCTTCTCCAAATGCACCATTAAAGCGGGTCTTAGCCTACACAGGCTGTTTTAGTAGAATGCAGACCATCAAGGAAATTCATGAATATCTATCTCAGAGGCTGCGCATCAAAGAGGAAGATATGCGCTTATGGCTATACAACAGTGAGGTAAGAGGTGTCTCAGAGTCATGAAAACATATCCATGCAGCGATCAAGTGTTGAATCCATAGTTCATGAGCATAGGCTTTTGTCTACGTAATTATGCTAAAAACCATTCCAAGGATCTCAGTGAAAACTTCATCTTTTATTTTATTATACACACACACATACACACACACACACACATATATTTTAATATATTTTTATTGATTTCAGAGAGGAAGGAAGAGGGAGAGATAGAAACATCAATGATGAGAGAGAATTATCGATCGACTGCCTCCTGCATGCCCCCTACTGGGATTGAACCCGTAACTTAGGCACGTGCCCTTGACCTGAATCAAGCCTGGACTCTTCAGTCCACAGGCTGATGTTCTATTCACATAGCCAAACTGACTAGGGCGAAAACTTCATCTTTTAAATTACTATATGCATACATGTAGTATGCATATAGTAATTTATGCATAATACCACTTGATCATCATGGACAGTACCATCTTATAAGGATTATTATTATAAAGTGACAGAAAATACATTTTTTCAACTAAATAGAGTTTATTTTCTCCAAATTATAAGTTTAATTTCTATTTGTTTTGAAGTCACATGCTCATGTTCAAAAAATGCAAACAACACAAAAATATGTAGTTAATATTCTTCCTTACCATTCTCTGGTCCCTCCATTCTTTTCAGAGTTGGTGCTGTTAATTGCTTAATATGCATTGTGTTTTCAGATTATAATATGAAATTGGATTATAAGTAGTTTTAACCAATTCTCTATTCCCTAGTTCCTTCTTTTTTACATCCTCCTTTGGTCACCATTGAGAGGCAGTATAGTATAATAGTTAAAGAGCATGGGCTCCTGGAGCCAAACTGCCAGGGATTAAGCTTGTTATATAACTTGCTAGTTATATAACCAAGGGAAAGTCACTTAACTCTATCTCTATTTTCTCATGAGTAAATGGGGGGAATAATAGTATCTCCCTTAGGGAAGTTGTAAGAATTAAATGAATTAATTGTGTGAGCATTTTAGACAGGGTGAACATAAACAAAAATGTATAATCCTACTACATGACATTTGGTTTCACATTTTTAGTTCCCAGTAAGTGGTCAAGTTCCATCTTGATTACAGGCACGTTTACTGAATTTCATACTAGGTTTGATGTGTGATGAGTCTTCTGGTTCCCCCCAAATTCTATATAATCTTGTTCTAGAGATAAAAAGTACATGTTTATGAAGTATACATTGGTTTTCCCTCATCTTACCAGCTAAATTATAAGTATTTCTGAACAACTATAGTATGCCTAATATCTGTCACATAGGTTATGTGACTACAAGGGCATTTTTAATTGTTATTCATTTTTATTTCCATACTAGAGGTTCGATGCATGAAATTCGTGCACTCAGGGGGCAGTCCCTCAGCCCAGCCTGCGCCCTCTCCCAGTCCGGGAGCCCTCAGGGGATGTCCGACGTACATCCTTAGCGCTGCCGTGGAGGTGGGAGCATGAGCCCGGCTTTCGGCTGAGCGCACTGACCACCAGGGGGCAGCTCCTGCACTGAGCGTCTGCCCCCTGGTGGTCATACCAACTGGTCATTCTGCCATCCAGTCGATTTGCATATTAGCCTTTTATTATATAGGATTTGTTACAATTTTATTACATTAACAGAAACATTTTCTGTTCCATACACAGAATTACCTTACTCTTCTGGATGATGAAGATCATAGATTAGAATATTTGAAAATTCAAGATGAGCAGCACCTGGTAATTGAAGGTATAAGAAAGAAGCATGCATCTGTATTAGATTTTTAGGGGAACAATTTAAAGATTTAGTTACTAATAAACCATTTCGTAATTTTTCTTAACTTTAATTTGGTCATTATATTTTTATTTCTTTTTTAAATTCTTTCTGTTTTGATCATTATATTCTTTATTAGCGGTGGTCCGCCGGACCACTGGTGGTCTGTGAGGTTTAAAAGGTTGGTGACTGCTGCTGTATAGTAAAGAATATGCATTCAACCCTTATATAATCCCACATACTATTTAGATTACTTTAAAAGAAAAATATGCCTACATTAATTGCTTAGCAAAGGGTGGAAATAGTGGGTATTCAGTTATAAGTTTAAAAAGTGTCTTAAATTTTCAAGGTGCCTCTTGGAGTTTGAAGGAGACTAATTTTCTTGCATAGTTAGTGGCATAGGCTTTCATTAGTCATCAACACTGGTCTCTCACCAACAGAGCTTCCTTGTACATTCACACATAGATTTATACACATCATTGAAAACTAATTGCCTTTGTATTAAAATGAATAGATTACTCTCACAGTTGTCGCTATTTAAGAAAGAACTGCAATAGTTCTAATGTATTAACTTTAAGAGCTTTAATTACTTCTCTAGATGGTTGAGTATAATTTTACTTCAGGTAGGTAATTGAGGGAATAGCTTACTAATTAATTCTAACTAACTGACTATAAAGTCTCCAATATAAAGAGTCAGAATTGGTTTCAGGATCAAATACTAAAAATAACTTGATTTTTTTTTAATAGTTTCTGATTTAGAAATAACTTTTTTTTAACAGAAGTAGTTGAGCAGGTGTGATTTCAGTGGATAAGAAATTAACACATTCCTATCTGTCTTTCTAGTTCGAAACAAAGATATGAGTTGGCCTGAGGAAATGTCCTTTATAGCAAACAGTAGTAAAATAGACAGACACAAGGGTAAGTCTCTAGTATATTATTTTCAAATAGGTTATCTTAAATTTATTCTCCCCCCCCCCCCCAACAATTGAAGTATTAACAACTTTTGGCTTTCTAGTTCTTATTTTTCTTTTTCCTGATGTATCAAATCTCTTTCTAACCTTTCAATTACATAATTTATATCTGTATATTTTTGCAATGCAAATGAACATTTATTGAGCTCATACTAAATAAGAAATGGTTAAGATATGTCCCTCCCCCAAACCGTGTCAACTTTTCTCCACTCAGCCTAGGATCAATGCCTTGCTGTTTCTCTTAGGCTGAGAAATTCACGCTATGTTTCACTAGTTTTGAAAGTAGTGAGTAGTGTAGTGGTGGACACTGCTAGCAAAACATTTGTTTCCTTTAAAACAAACACTGAGATGAACTCGTTGGTTTCCATGGAGAAGCTGGACTCATCTGGTGTTCTAGTCATGCGCTCTTCTGAATAATCACCAGTGACACTTGCTATGGCCTCAGTGACTTCTTTTAAAAGCTAGTGTTGTGCCTTCACTGGTTTGGCTCAGTGGATAGAGCGTCAGCCTGAGGACTGAAGGGTCCCAGGTTCGATTCCGGTCAAGGGCACATGCTGCAGGAGGCAGCCGATCAATGATTCTCTCTCATCGTTAATATTTCTATCTTTCTCTCCCTCTCCTTTCCTCTCTGAAATCAATCAATAAATATATCCTATATAATAAAAGGGTAATATGCAAATTGACCCTAACAGCAGAACGACTGGGAATAACTGGTCACTATGACACACACTGACCACCAGGGGGCAGATGCTCAATGCAGGAGCTGCCCCCTGGTGGTCAGTGCGCTCCCACAGGGGGAGCTCTGCTCAGCCACAAGCCAGGCTGACAGCTGCCAGTACAACCGTGGTGGTGGGAGCCTCTCCCACCTCCTCAGTAGTGCTAAGGATGTCTGACTGCAGCTTAGGCCTGCTCCCCACTGGCAAGTGGACATCGTCCAAGGGCTCCCGGGCTGCCAGAGGGATGTCTGACTGCCAGCTTAGGCCCAGTCTCCCGGGGAGCGGGCCTAAGCCAGCAGGTGGTCATCCCCCGTAGGGTCCCAGACTGCGAGAGGGCACAGGCCGGGCTGAGGGATTCCCCACCCCCCAAGTGCACAAATTTTTGTGCACCGGGCCTCTAGTGTGTGTGTGTGTGTGTGTGTGTGTTTGTATTTTTTTTTTTTTAAGCTGGTGTTTAATTTCACATCAGTAAAGAAATCAAAATCCAAGATGCTATCCAAATACACATCAGTGGTCGAGTCTAGGGCAGTGGTTGACTCTTGGTCTGTATTAATGTCTAGGTCATTGATGTGTGGGAATGATGCAGGGAAAGTCACAGTCAAGATGAAACAGGTAAAGAAGATGAGGGCCTTCTTAATCATGGTGCAGGTAATCATTAAGAGTTTCCAAATTCTGGAGGGATCAGGCAGGGAGAAAAATGTAAATATATTACTACCACTTACAAAGATATAATTTACAAAATTGCTGTAAGATGAACAAGTTTCCTTATATTTAAACTAGTCCCAGTGCACAAATCCAGCCTGGCCTGTGCCCTCACAATCTGGGACCCCTCAGGGGATGTCAGATAGCTGGTTTCAGCCTGATCCAGACAGGAGGGAGCCCGATCCCCGCAGGCCTGATCCAGACAGGAGGGAGCCCAATCCTGTGCGTTGAGTGTCTGTCCCCTGGTGGTCAGTGCGCCTCATAGTGACCGGTTGTTTGATCATTCGGTCGCTTAGGCTTTTATATATATAGATAACTTTTAAAAATTTCCACCGTTTTTGGAACTCTCTAACTTTTTCTTCTGCCTTTCCATCTTATCAAGGGTGTCTTAAAGGCCAGTATTTTTAATACCAGTATTTTTCCAACCCCAAATTTTTTCAACTCAAGACATGCACTGTTTGGCCAATAATGATAGGATTTGTAGCAACTCTACCAATAAGCCTTTTATGACCTAGCTAGAGGAGCAAAATGCTTCCATAAAAAATGCAAAGCAAAGGATACAGCCCTCATAGGTCCAACAGTTCATTCTCAAAGATAGCCTAAGAAAAATCTAATTTATGTGTGTGTGTGTGTGTGTGTGTGTGTGTGTTTACATATATATGTATATATATTTTTATTTCAGAGAGGAAGGGAGAGGGAGAGAGAGATATAGAAACATCAGTAATGAGAGAGAATCATCGATTGGCTGTCTCTTGCACACCCCACACGGGATCAAGCCCGCAACCCAGGACCTCCTGGTTCATAGGTTGATGCTCAACCACTGAGCCGGGCTAATTTATATATTTTTAAAGACATAATACTAGGGGGTGGAGGAGGCCAAAGAGGGGGGAACAGGACATCTGTAATACTTTCAACAAAAGGATAAATTTTAAAATATAAAAATAAAGAGAATACTAGGAGAGAATTGTTTGAATTTTAAAAAAACAAAACAAACAGCTATAGCAATTATAGAGAATCATTGCTGCTTCTAGATTACAAATGAGCGTGGATTGTCAGGATTGCCAGTGACACTCCTCTACTTCAGCATTGCAAGACTAAATAGAGAAATATTAGCTTCATTTAGCTGATCTAAAAAGTCATAAAAATGTTGCATTGAATATAAGTAACTGGTCTATGACATTTTACTACAGTTGGACTTCGGTTCTCATATTGTTTGTTCCAGTTCCCACAGAAAAGGGTGCCACAGGTCTGAGTAACCTGGGAAACACATGCTTCATGAATTCAAGCATCCAGTGTGTTAGTAACACACAGCCACTGACACAGTATTTTATCTCAGGGAGACATCTTTATGAACTGAACAGGTAATCTTTCTTGAGTTATTGGCCTCTTAACTTTTTATAATTATATGAACTCAGGATTACTTGAATTTCCTCTTTCTTTACCATGGTAAAGAAAAGTCTTACCTTATTTTCTCTATTTAGTATTAAATAAGGGCCAGGGGATAAGTCTCTTATTTTAAAAAGATGTTTTAATGTGAGAAAACAGATAACTAGGCATTTTTATGCCCACATGATTTTTATTGATTAGAATCTTTGCCAACAAATTTTCCTTTCAAAACTTCTAGGACAAATCCCATTGGTATGAAGGGGCATATGGCTAAATGCTATGGGGATTTAGTACAGGAACTTTGGAGTGGAACTCAGAAGAATGTCGCCCCATTAAAGCTTCGGGTAAGCAGTTAAAATAACATAAACGTTTTTAACCCCTAAATTATTGTTTGCGTAATTATTTTTCTCTACATATTTTGTATGTTTAGCTTTTTTTATTTTAGTTTAATTCATGTTTTTGGATGATTCACATGGCATAAACTGGATATCATATTCTTTGCTTGTTTAAATATATGGAAAATACAGCTATAGAAAAAAATAAAAGTACAACTATAGATGGAGTGAGTGGGTAGGGAAATATCTAAGGCACAATCTAAATTTGATATGTTGTTTCTTTTACTAATTCGTCAAATATCTTGCGTATATATATATATATATTTATATATATGTATTAAACCTTTCTTTGTTAATCTATCACTATTAGCAATATTCTAACTGCAAGATAGACCTCTGAGTATAATTAATGATATTCAATACATCTTTAATATTATTGTGATAATAAGTTCTATTTGTAGAATTTTTTAAAGTAGCAGAAAGAAAGAATATAATTAATGGGTAAAATTTTATATTAATGTCATTTGTAGTGAATTTTAGTGAAGTTAGGATTGTTTTCATCTCTATTTTAAAACAAGGTAAAATCTTTTTAGATTAAAAATTAATAATTACAATAGCTAAAAATTTGACTACCACTTACTAGGCACTGTTCACATTTTATGTGTAGTAACTCATTTAATTTTCTATATGGCCCTATAATACAAAAGCGATATTATTATCCCCATTTTATGGCTGAGAAACTAAGGCTCAGAGCAGCTAAATATCCTGCCCAGGGTTGCAAGCTAGTTTGTAAGTCCTCACAGTTAAACATGAGTCTGTTCTGCCTCTAATAATAACAGGATGCAATAAGACCAGAAAAGTTATCTGTAAAAGAAAACTTACAAATAGTAACTCTTATTGTGAGCAAATGCTATTTTAATATTTCTGCCTTATCTGTTTTAAATAACATCTGAGTATCTAAAGAACTGTTTACTGAACTGGAATATAATATTGGCCAAAATACATTTTTTTTCTTTTGGTCATTTGAGATTAAGATTAGAAAGCTTTTATGATTATCCAAAATATATTTGCTGAAATAGAGACAGATTAAATACCATACTATTTACCTTCTTATAATGCCTCTGGTTGAATTATGAGGCATGTTCATTCCAAATATTATGGGGTAGCAAATAATTTGTTTACTTCCAACTCTTATCTCTAGTGGACCATAGCAAAATATGCTCCCAGGTTTAATGGGTTCCAGCAACAAGACTCCCAAGAACTTCTGGCTTTTCTCTTGGATGGTCTTCATGAAGATCTCAACCGAGTCCATGAGAAGCCATATGTGGAACTGAAGGACAGCAATGGCCGGCCAGACTGGGAAGTGGCTGCAGAGGTTTGTCAGTTTTGAGTTTCTAATGTAAGCAATAGATTAAATGTTCTGGCCACAAATGTATGTTGCACAACTTAAATTCTGTGATCAGAATTTTACTATGAAAGTAAAGGAACTTTTATTTTTCTTCTTTGTTTTTGTGCAGTAATGCCAAAGCAAAGCAGCCTTAAATGAAAACAGAAAAATGTTGCCTTTTCACATTGTACACTTTTGGGAGAGGATATTTACTCAGTAACTTCAAGAATCTCCATAATTGCTAAAGTAATGTGTGCAGTGACCAATAGGCACATTTTATTTCCTTTTTAATGGACAAAGAACTCTAATAATCATCATTGTTACCATGATAAGAACAAAGAAAATAATAGGATTTTCCATCTGAATTTAATATTTTATAGTTTGAACATAGAGAATCACATTTTTAATTTTATATCTGAATTATGTTTGTAGGGAGAAAGTTTTTATATTTTTAATGACTGTGAAGGATTATGTTCTTGACGTTTAAATCTCATTTAACTGCTAGTAGTTTCTTTGAATTTGTGTAGAAATACTATTCTTTTGAATTTTCAAAAAAATTTTTTTTCTCTAATCTTTTTTCTTGATAGGCCTGGGACAACCATCTGAGAAGGAATAGATCAATTGTTGTAGATTTGTTTCATGGGCAATTAAGGTCCCAAGTCAAATGCAAGACATGTGGTCATATAAGTGTCCGATTTGACCCATTCAATTTTTTGTCTTTGCCGCTACCAATGGACAGTTATATGCACTTAGAAATAACAGGTAGGTTACAAAGTTCTGAAAAAATATTTACCTTTATTCAAAACAACCTGAATTTGTAAGTATGGTCATTTTGTTTATGCATTCTCATAAAAATTGATAACCTGTTATAATATAGCAATCTAATTTCAGACATGATTTAAGGTTTGAAAGACTTGGAACATGGGTTCATTTTTGTGCCTATTGACTCCTCTTTTAGTTTTAGATATGCCAGAAACTCTCTTTAAAATCTTGCAAAACCACTCACACTTCCATATCAGATGAGCATTCAAAAACATAAAACTATTTTAATATAATCCCTAAGTATCATCTGTTACAGTGTTTGCATATAAAATTAAAATTCTAGATTGAAATGTTTGTCATTTCCAAGTCATAGACACACACACACACATTTTATTGATAATAGATCTTTTCTCATTACTAGTTATTAAGTTGGATGGTACTACCCCTGTACGTTATGGACTAAGACTGAATATGGATGAAAAGTACACAGGTTTAAAAAAACAGCTGAGTGATCTCTGTGGACTTAAATCAGAACAAATCCTTCTTGCAGAAGTACATGGTTCCAACATAAAGGTAATATTAACTATTCTTGTAGGAAACCCTTGATTCTATCCTTCAAAGAGCAGTTTTCTCCATTAATTATGATGTTAAGTGACTGAGCGAGATATTAAAACGCAACAGCTGAACAAAAAAATTTGTCAAGTCTTTTATACCATTCTCTGGAACATTTGAGATCTTGCTCCCCAACATATTTTGTCAGTTTGGCTTAAATAAGCTTATAAAAATTTCCCCCTCCCCCCAAAAAATTTCCATCCCAGAAATTTAAAAGGGTTGTCTGCCAGAATAAAGGAGTAATAATCATGGTGGTATTTTTAAAAGAAGGGAATTATGTAAGCCAAGGCTGCCTATATAGAGTGACCTAGCTGTGTTACGACAGTATAGATGTCCTCCAGTGACTGCTGCTGCTGTGCTTGGCAGCTCTTCTGTATTACCAATGTCACTAGAATTATCCTAGGTTAAAGTATTTTATGTATTTATGAATGTATGTTTTTAGTATTTATTTATGAATATATTTAATTGGCCTTTAACACACTAGGAATTTAGAGATTAAAGATAAATTGACACAAACCACTTCCTCCTGAATACCAGCTGGAGAAACAAGCAATTTAATAAATATATTGCCAATTCTAAATTGAGTTCCTACCATTAGTATTACTTATATTTATCTTTGGGGTTTCTGAACAAACTCCCCCACCTTATTGACATTTTGTTCATGTGTAATGCAAAGGTGAGAGCTCTCTGAGGGTGTTGGCTTTAGATGCCTGAAGTGACGGACAAAACTTAAAAACCAGTTATACACAACATACTTTCTTTCTGTGGAAAGGGATAGATAATGATTTTGTCAATGAGGTTAACTTATCAAGCTTTCACCTTTTAGTTAGTTGAGACATATTGTTCATTCATCTTGTTTATTTAGTGATAAAATCATCTAAGACATTCACTTCAAATATATCACAGAGTTCATTTTCCATCGTATCTGAAACATCTCCTCTTACCTTGTCTCTTTTTCTATAGAATTTCCCCCAGGACAACCAAAAAGTACGACTCTCAGTGAGTGGATATTTGTGCGCATTTGAAATTCCCATCCCTGGATCTCCAGTTTCAGCTTCTAGTCCAATACTGACAGGTATGGTAGAACTAGAGTTTCTTTTCATGATTTCAGCTTTAAATTCTGGGCTAAGAGTTAGCATCCTTTTTATATTTGTTTGGGCTGAGGATATTAGAGCAAAAGAATTTTGGAGGCTGAAGGAAACCTTTGTGATAATTTGGCTCAAATTCATTTTATAGATGAGGAACCTGAAATTTAGAGAGCCTAAGTAACTAAGTTAAGTTAAGTAGATGAGTTATGAGTTAATTTACCACTGGAATTCAGATCTCTTTTTGCTCTTTTATCTAATACTAACATGGCAATAGCTGGTGTGAGAAGAGTATACTATCAGAAAACATGATAATTAATATGACTAAAAAGGAATTTGTTTATCAAATATTTGCATATAATTTAATATGGTCATCTAATGAGTCTTTTGGCCATTGATACGGTTTGTTTATTCTTTTTTATACTGTTGATAATTAGGTCCATTCCCCAATTATAAAGCACTTCTCTGGCACTAAATAGATAAGACTGATGGGTAAATGATTTAATAATGCTTTTTTGTTTAGGTCTTCACTGGCCAATAGAACTCTCTGCAGTGATGGAAATTTTCTGTAATCTTGACCATTAGTCAATACAGTATCCATTAGTCACATGGACTGTTGAGCCCTTGAAATGTGGCTAATGAGACTGAGGAAATATATTCCATTTTAATTTAAAAAGCAACATCTGTCATCATTTATAACAAATGTACCACTGGTGGCGGGATTATTAGGGGGGAGGCTATGCATGTGTAGAGGCAAGGGATATGTGGGAAATTTTTGTACCTTCTTTATTTTGCTATGAATCTAAAAACTGCTCTAAAAAATAAATTTTTTAAAAAATGAAATAATTAAAAGGAAAAGTCTCTATCTCTGGATAGAGACTGTCACACTTGACAGAACATTTTTAGAGGAATGGAGAAATGAATTTTTAGAGGAGAGGAAAAAGAAAACAAGTGCTAGAACTGTTTGGGTGCCACAACATGGTGCTAGCAAAGGTTTCTGCAAAAATTCGACTTACGCTTTCCAGAAGTTAATCTTTCTTTGCCATTTAGTCTTAAGTGTGAGTTATAGAAGTAAAATCTGAAATTAAAATCTTCTGATCAATCTAGAATTATTATTTGAACTATAATTTCTCCTTGTCCTTTGTTAAAAGAGACTACTATCAGTAGTTTAGATCCTCACAATATTTGAGAAAAAAGTTGGAAGTACCACATGCTTATGGTGCTGTATTTATCTTTGAATTTGTAGATATCTCCTCTTCCCCATCCACAAATGGAATGTTAACCCTAACCACCAATGGGGACCTGCCCCGACCAATATTCATCCCCAATGGAATGCCAAACACTGTTGTGCCATGTGGAACTGAGAAGAGCTTCACAAATGGAATGGTGAATGGTCATATGCCATCTCTTCCTGACAATCCCTTTACAGGTTACATCATTGCAGTCCACCGAAAAATGGTTAGTTTGATGTTAGGCAAGTTACTGCTGGTCTTGCCAGTGTCATTTGTGAGACAGCCATTTTCTGTCTTTGCAACATTTTGATTTTGTGCACTTTCAATGTGTTATGTATGCTATTGTAAGGGATCATAGCCTGTATATGAAATGATATTTCTCACTCATTTTTAAGCAGCAACAGGATGGTAGTACATACTATTTTCTTTTAACAGTGTGTGTCTCTTATATGTTCATGTAGGCAAGTACATCTTCTCTACCATATAAGTATGGATGTCTTTGGAGAAGGTTTTGTTTGTTTGCTTGGGGATGGAAGGGCACCAAAAATGTTCTTGGGCAAGATAAGTTGTTTCCTAGGACTGCTATAACAAATTACCACAAACTTGGTGGCTTAAAACAACAAATTTATTCTTTCACAGTTCTGGAAGCCAGAAGCCCATAAAGTCTCAACAGGGCTGTGCTCCCTTTACAAGCTTTAGGGGATAATACTTCAATACCTCTTCAAACTTCCTTTAGATGGAAGGAAGATTTCATAATGGAAAGGAAGCAAGAGGGAGGCTTTTGGAGTGTTGGTTATATTCTGTTTGTTTACCTGACTCGTGGTTACACAGCTATTTGATTTTTGCTAATTCTTTGAAATGTACTCCCCCCTCCCCTTTGAATTAGTAACTCTTGACTAAAGTGAGTTTCTGACTTATGTAGATGATGTTCTATGGACCATGTTTTAGACAGGATTGTGTGAGTGGACAGCCTATAGAATTACAGGATACATTTGTGACTTGAAATTGTCTTTAAGCACAGCTCCTACTGGTCCCATTAGCTAAAATAATTGGGTGATTCATGCATTTCCCTACCTCTTTTTTTTAATATATTTTTTTTATTGCTTTCAGAGAGGAAGTGAGAGGGAGAGAGAAACATCAATATCAATGATGAGAGTCATTGATCAGCTGCCTCCTGCATGTCCCCTACCAGGGACCTAGCCTGCAACCCAGGCATGTGTCCTTAACCAGAATTGAACCTGGGACCCTCCGATGCTCTAGCCACTGAGCCAAACCGGCTAGGGCTTTTGTTTTGTTTTGTTTTTACCAAGTATTATCAGATCATATATTAAGAACTCTGAGCTCCGAGGGGTTTTGGATTGGAGAGCGTGCAGGCCGGGCTGAGGGACACCCCCCTCCCTCGTGCACGAATTTCATGCACTGGGCCTATAGTAATAATAATAATAATAATAATAATAATAATACCAACACATGAAATAGAGCCTTAAAATCATGTATTTAGCTAAGCTTAATTGAATAATTGCAAAATAAAATGCTTGAGAATCAGAAATAAAAGTCTTTTCGGGTTGAAACCAAGATGGCAGCATAGGTAAACACCGGAGATTGCCGCCTCGCACAACCACTTCAAAAATACAACTAAAAGACGGAACGGACATCACCCAGAACCACAGGAAGGCTGGCTGAAGGGAAATTCTACAACTAGAAGGAAAGAGAAAAGCATACCGAGACTCAGAGGAGGCGCAGTGCGCAAAATACAAAGGTGCGGAGACACAGCTGATTCTCACAGCCAGTTGGCCTGGAGGTCCAATCCCCCCCCCGCCCAGTATTACCTACAACAATCAAGGCTTAACTACAACAAGACTGCGCACAAAGACCACAAGGGGGTGCACCAAGAAAGCATAAAAAATGCGGAGACAAAGAAACAGGACAAAAATGACAGAAATGGAGGATATAGAGTTCAAAACCACACTTTTAAGGTCTCTCAAGAACTGTCTAGAAGCCGCCGATAAACTTAGTAAGGCCTTCGAAAAGACTGGTGAGACCGCTGATAAATATAGTGAGATCCTCAAGAAATCTAATGAGACCCTCGATGTTGTGATAAAGAACCAACTAGAAATTAAGCATACACTGACTGAAATAAAGAATATTATACAGACTCCCAGCAGCAGACCAGAGGAGCGCAAGAATCAAGTCAAAGATTTGAAATGCGAAGAAGCAAAAAACACCCAACCGGAAAAGCAAAATGAAAAAAGAATCCGAAAATACGAAGATAGTGTAAGGAGCCTCTGGGACAGCTTCAAGCATACCAATATCCGAATTATAGGGGTGCCAGAAGATGAAAGAGAGCAAGATATTGAAAACGTATTTGAAGAAATAATGACAGAAAACTTCCCCTACCTGGTGAAAGAAATAGACTTACAAGTCCAGGAAGCGCAGAGAACCCCAAACAAAAGGAATCCAAAGAGGACCACACCAAGATACATCATAATTAAAATGCCAAGAGCAAAAGACAAAGAGAGAATCCTAAAAGCAGCAAGAGAAAGAAACTCAGTTACCTACAAGGGAATACCCATACGACTGTCAGCTGATTTCTCAACAGAAATTTTGCAGGCCAGAAGGGAGTGGCAAGAAATATTCAAAGTGATGAATGCCAAGAACCTACAACCAAGATTACTTTATCCAGCAAAGCTATCATTCAGAATCGAAGGTCAGATAAAGAGCTTCACAGATAAGAAAAAGCTAAAGGAGTTCATCACCACCAAACCAGTATTATATGAAATGCTGGAAGGTATCCTTTAAGAAGAGGAAGAAGAAGAAAAAGGTAAAGATACAAATTATGAACAACAAATACGCATCTATCAACAAGTGAATCTAAGAATCAAGTGAATAATCTGATGAACAGAATGAACTGGTGATTATAATAGAATCAGGGACATAGAAAGGGAATGGACTGACTCTTCTTGGGGGGGAAAGGGGTGTGGGAGATTCGGGAAGAGACTGGACAAAAATCGTGCACCTATGGATGAGGACAGTGGGTGGGGAGTGAGGGCGGAGGGTGGGGTGGGAACTGGGAGGAGGGGAGTTATGGGGGGGGAAAAAGGAACAAATGTAATAATCTGAACAATAAAGATTTAATTAAAAAAAAAAAAGTCGCCAAAACCAGTTTGGCTCAGTGGATAGAGCGTCGGCCTGCGGACTGAGGGGTCCCGGGTTCGATTCCGGTGAAGGGCATGTGCCTGGGTTGCGGGCACATCCCCAGTAGGAGGTGTGCAGGAGGCAGCTGATCAATGTTTCTCTCTCATCGATGTTTCTAACTCTCTATCTCTCTCCCTTCCTCTCTGTAAAAAATCAATAAAATATATTAAAAAAAAAAAAAAAGTCTTTTCACTTGGAAACTAGCTAACCCTTTGTGAGTTTATAGGTTGTTGACTTAGCTTCTCTAACTACTACATAAAGGCCAACCAAAAGAATTAAATGTCTAAGTGCTTAGCAGCTTTTTAAAATAATCCTGAACTCCTAACAATCTATTATACTAAGTTCTTGTTTTATTAAGCAACCATTTCCAAGCTAATTCTGTGCAGTATTTTTATTAAGGAATTTCAACTTAACATACTCAAAGCAAATATTTTTAAATTTTACCTTACTTTTAATTTGTCACATATTTTAAAAAATTAGCCCTAACTGGTTTGGCTCAGTGGATAGAGCGTCGGCCTGCGGACTGAAAGGTCCCAGGTTCGATTTCGGTCAAGGGCATGTACCTTGGTTGCGGGCACATCCCCAGTAGGGGGTGTGCAGGAGGCAGCTAATTGATGTTTCTCTCTCATCGATGTTTCTAACCCTCTATCCCTCTCTCTTCCTCTCTGTAAAAAAAATGAATAAAATATTAAAAATATATATATCATAGCCATTCAGCTACTTTTAGGAAGGTGGATAAATTGTTACAAAATTAAAATGACTGGTTTCATAAGTCTCCAAAGGTCTCCAGTTGTCAGCAGCTTATTTTCTGAAAATTTTATTTTGAGGGAGTATTGGTTTATTGCCATACTTTCTAGAGAAAGGGTTTTAATTGCTTAAAAGCCTTGAGCTACAAAACAATTACTAGTTTTTACATATGATTCAGTGTGTGTATGTGAAATGTTTATCAGAGAAAACTAGTTTGAAAATACTAAATGCTGAAAATCCAAGCTTGATAGATAGCCACTCTGAAATTGGCAGTACCTCAACCTTTCAGTGATTCCACTGTAAATTTGTCTTCATGTTAGTAAAGAGTAGTAGTGACTAATTTGAAATTGATAGTAATGCATGTTATTGGTAGTTGTAGAAGAACAAAAGGGAGGAATGAAAGGCCTCTCTTCTCAGTTCTCTCTTCTCTTGTTTATACTTATAGATGAGGACGGAACTATATTTCCTGTCATCTCAGAAGAATCGCCCTAGCCTCTTTGGAATGCCACTGATTGTTCCATGTACTGTGCATACCCGGAAAAAAGACCTGTATGATTCAGTTTGGATTCAAGTATCTCGATTAGCCAGCCCACTCCCACCTCAGGAAGCTAGTAACCACGCTCAGGATTGGTGAGTTCAGGGGATCAGCTTAGACCTGTGGTTTCCAAACTCCAGAAGAATGTATAGGAATTCTGTGTGACTTATAGGACCCATTTTATGTAGGTTTAAACACTCTTTGAAGAACCATCCAGGGAGTATATAATTCATCCTTTGGTTTGATCTTTTCAGTAGGAGAGTATATACAGATTCCTTTCTTCACTGGACATTCTAGTGTCTAATAATCCTTTTATTCACTAATCCCTCCTGCTGCTATAAATGCTTCAGGTAATATTCTTGACTTCTTTTCTGCAAAAATGGAGTATGAATTCACCAGGGAATTTGTATCATCTCAACCCTCTGAAAATCAGAATGGGAGCAATAGTGTGTATATCTATACGTGAATTCTGAAAAAGCCTCATGCCATAACAGTTGGATTGTTTCCATACCATGTAATTTTAATATGGAATAATTTCACAAGAAATTATTATATTTCATAAGAGTAATTTAAGAATAAACACCTTCTGTTTTCTTTCTATTCCTCCTACCACTGTTCTATTGGATTACTAAATGTATTTACTTCTAACAATCATTGGGATTGTAGTCCCTTATTTATATCTCAGTTGAATTGTAGATCATTTTCTTGCTATAATTGTGCAAGTGAGAGTTCTGCCTCTTTGTGAACTGAGTAAAGAAAGTAAAGAAGTTCTATTAGCTAAACAGGGATTTGTTATGGTTTTGGGTCTTTTGATGATTAGATAAGGCTTAAGGTAACAGTGAGTCCTTATCATGGCTTCATTACCATCAGCAGCCATGTAGTAGCCACTACCAGTTGCCAACTGAGCCATAAAGTATACTGCTCTTACGTTATATTCCTTGCGTTGCTTCTTAGTAAGTATACATACATTTTTTTTTAAAGTTGAGACCTCACAAGGCTACCTTATAGTTAAAAGATGTTACTCTAAAATTAATGTTACGTAGTTTATAGCTTTGAGTAGTTAAGACAAGGGAAAAGGGTTACCTAGCATGTACCACATCAGGGGTTCTGATTAAAGAAAGCTTCTAAATATATAGTCAACTTCTCTAAAAACCATTATGAGCCCTGGCCAATTTTCTCAGTGGTTAGAGCATTGGTCCTCTGGTTGTAGGGTGGAGGGTTTGATTCCTGGTCAAGGACACTTACTTGGGTTGCCGTTTGATCCCTGGCTCTGAGTGGGGCGAATGTGGGAGGCAACCAATCAATGTGTCTCTCTCACATCGTTTTTTCTCTCTCTCTCCCTCCCCTCCACTCCTCCTTTCACTCTTTCTAAACACAACAAACAAAAAACATGACCTTTCAGCCTTCTGTGGTATGTCAATATTCTTGCCATGGAAAGATCTAATTATTTTAGTCTAATGTGAATTAAGTCTTCTGATAGGATTAGGGCTGAAGGATAATTGGCGTTTGATTAGCTTATCCTTCCACATGGACTCTCTCAGAGACTCTGGCAGTCTAGTATGTCTACACTTCTGTAAGCAGGGATACAGCATGGGAGCCCTGTGTGTGGGTGGTACAGGGCCCAGCTAATGGGTTAGGATAAGCAGCATGGAGCTGTAAATGTGAGCATGCTACTATGACAGATGCCCCTTCCGAGGATTATTTCATGGGAAGATGAAAAGGAGTTGAGAACTCAAATCAGAAATGTTTCTTACACTCTTTGGTTTATGTTCTGTTTCAGTGATGACAGTATGGGCTATCAATATCCATTCACTCTACGAGTTGTGCAGAAAGATGGGAACTCCTGTGCTTGGTGCCCATGGTATAGGTAAAGTAACCTTCTGCAAAAGAAAAATTTTAGTAGAATTGTAGCTCCAGATATTATACCTTTATAATAAGATTTCTCAGTTTTAGACTGAGAAGTTGAAATAAACTTGGGAATTGTTCATTCATCTCTTCCTTGTGAAGTCTGTATAAGTTTTACTCTTGAGACATCTGGTTTTTTAAACTCTATACTTGCATCAAATTCATAGTTTACGATCAACATTCATTATTCTATGCCTTCTGCTCATTAATTAGAAATTAATATAGCAATTCTGAGCCCAGTAGAACATAGTCTACATACTAGACTTTGCTGCAAGTCTGTTTTAGTTTTTAGAAGATTGACCAGTATTACTCCAGGTTGGAAAATGCTTGAATACTGAAGTCAGCCTTCAGAAAACTGTAATAGACTTACCAAACTGAGTTTAAAATAGGCATTGGAACCATGGCTTTGTCATGGTCCCTCCCCCACTCCATACATTTTTATATACATTTATTTAATGTCCCACTTTACAAACAAGGAAATTGGGTATTGTTATACCAGATAAATTACCCTCAGAACATTAAATAACTGAATTTAGAGTGCCTTTAGTGGTGTACTCTCTCAAATATCCAGTTCCCATAGTACTTCTTTGCTACAAAGTTATATAGTTTATATGAATTAATAAATGGTTATCAAGTACTTTGAAAAGCCAAAGACTTGAAAAGTGATAAGCATGATTCCCTGAAATACTAATAATGATTAATATATATTCGTGCATTTATTAGTTTGGAGTAAGAAGCCCAGGACAAACTGTGAACCCAAGAAGGAATGTAGAAAGGGAGAAGAATATTTCTGATGAAATATTCTTCATCAGAAGAAAAATTTGATTCCTTCATAATTATTCCTTTCTTGGTATATCTTTTTTCTGCCTTTAGATTTTGCAGAGGCTGTAAAATAGATTGTGGGGAAGACAAAGCTTTCATTGGAAATGCCTATATTGCTGTAGATTGGGACCCCACGGCTCTTCACCTCCGCTATCAAACATCACAGGAAAGGGTAAGTACCCAGTGCCATCCCAAGGTGGTGGTTTTTATATGTAAAATTTGTCGTGGTTTAACTATGTTATACCATTTCTGTTGTAGACAATTTAAGTACAGCCAGAAAAACATTCATTGGCGTTCTCTGTGGCACTTCATATATTGACATGATTACAAGGATGTTTCTGTTTTCCCACTTCTAGAGATAATTGTATTGGAGCTATATTAAAAAAATTTTCCTTTACTGGTTTCAGATTTTGGATGGGAAAGAGAAAAAGAGAGAGAGAAACATCAATTAGCTGCCTCCTGAATGAGCCCCAACTGGGGATCAAACCCACAAGCTGGGGCCCTAGCTGGTTTGGCTCACTGGATAGAGCATCGGCCTGGGGACTGAAGGGTTCCAGGTTCGATTCCAGTCAAGGGTATATACCTTGGTTGCAGGCACATCCCCAGTAGGGGGTGCAGGAGGCAGCTGATCGATGTTTCTCTCTCATCTTTCTCTCTCATCGATGTTTCTCTCTATCCCTATCCCTTCCTCTCTGTAAAAAAATCAATAAAATATATTTAAAAAGACAAACAAACAAAAAAACCCCCACAAGCTGGGTATATGCCCTGACTGGGAATTGAGCCCACCACCTTTTGGTGTATGAAACGATGCTCCAGCTGGGACCGGTTTGGCTCAGTGGATAGAGCGTCCGCCTGGGGACTGAAAGGTCCCAGGTTCGATTCCAGTCAAGGGCATGTACCTTGGTTGTGGGCACGTCCCCAGTGGGGGGTGTGCAGGAGGCAGCTGATCGATGTTTCTCTCTCATCGATGTTTCTAACTCTCTATCTCTCTCCTTTCCTCTCTGTAAAAAATCAATAAAATATATTTAAAAAAAGAAAAAAAAAGAAACGATGCTCCAACAAACTGAGCGACACTGGCCAGGACTATATTAGAACTTTAAAGTTAAAAAATACTAATAAGTAAATCTTGTAACAAGATTTTAGGTGTAATTAAGAAGTTATATTCTCTAGCCATGACATACCAATCAGTAAATATCTCACTGCCTGTTTATTAATTACTAGAGGCCCAGTGCACATAAATTTGTGTACTCGATGGGGGGGGGGGTCCCCTCAGCCCGGCCTGTGCCCTCTCGCAGTCTGGGACCCCACGGGGGATGACCACCTGCTGGCTTAGGCCCGCTCCCCGGGGGACTGGGCCTAAGCTGGCAGTCAGACATCCCTCTGGCAGCCTGGGAGCCCTCAGACGATGTCCACTTGCCAGTGGGGAGCAGGCCTAAGCTGCAGTCAGACATCCTTAGCGCTACTGAGGAACCAGGAGAGGCTCCCACCACCACTGCTGTACTGACAGCCGTCAGCCTGGCTTGTGGCTGAGCAGAGCTCCCCCTGTGGGAGTGCACTGACTACCAGGGGGCAGCTCCTGCATTGAGCATCTGCCCCCTGGTGGTCAGTGTGTGTCATAGTGACCAGTCATTCCCAGTCATTCTGCTGTTAGGGTCAATTTACATATTACTCTTATTATATAGGAGTGCCTGGCCAGCCTCTTTGAGGGGCTAAGGGCCATTTTCAGGCTCGCGACACCCCCTTCAGGGCGGGGGAGTCCTTCTGGGGTGCTGGCCAGTCTGGGTGAGTGGCTGATGGCAGTTTGTAGGCTGGCCAAGCCCCCCAGCAGGGACCCTCACCCCATGAGTGTGTGGCCAGCCTGGTGAGTGGATGATGGCTGTTTTCAGGCTGGCCACAGCCCCTTCAAGGTGGGGGTCCCTTCTGGGGAGCCTGGCCAGCCTGGGTGAGGGGCTGATGGCTGTTTGCAGGCTGGCCACAGCCCCTTCAGGGTGGGGGGTCCTGCTGGGGTGCCTGGCCAGTCTGGGTGAGGGACTGAGGGCCATTTTCAGGCTGGCTAAGCCCCCCAGTGGGGACCCTCATCCCATGAGGGTGTGGCTAGCCTAGGTGAAGGGCTGATGGCCGTTTGCAGGCTGGCCAAGCCTCCCAGCGGGAACCCTCACCCCATGAGGGTGTGGCCAGCCTGGGTGAGGGGCTGATGGCTCTTTGCAGGCTGGCCACAACCCCCAGCCACCCAAGGTCCCAGTGGAGGCTGGCTGGAAGCAGGTATCTGGGATTTATTTGTCTTCTATAATTGAAACTTTGTTGCCATGAGGGGAGGCCATAGCCGGCTCAGGGCAGGCAGGAAGCTTGGCTTCCTCCATCGCCTGGGCAATCAAGCCTCCTGCTTGCTCCAGCTTCCTGGCTGCCGGCCGCCATCTTGGTTGGGTTAATTTGCATATAGTCGCTCTGATTGGCTGGTGGGCCTGGCTTATGGCATAGTGAAGGTACAGTCAATTAGCATCTTTGTCTTTTATTAGTGTAGATTATTGAAACTGCAGCATTTGATAACCAAAATTACTTAGCTCACATGCATTCCAGGGCTGTAGCTGCTACCTTTAATGGGTATAGTGAATAGAAAATTAGAAAAAATATTGAATGTTTCAGTTCTGGACAACTAAGATTACATCTCAATGGCTTTTACCTTGGGATTCCTCTACTGCCACTCTTTGGCTAGAGCAATTTTTAAATTTTGAAAATGTTACTTCAAAAAAGAATACTAAAACAAACAAACAAACAAATAAATGGAATTAAAAATAAAAAGAATATTGCCCTAGCCGGTTTGGCTCAGTGGATAGAGCGTCGGCCTGCCAAGTGAAGGGTCCCAGGCTCGATTCTGGTCAAGGGCGCACATGCCTGGGTTGCAGCTCAATCCCCAGTAGGGGGTGTGCAGGAGGCAGCCGGTCAGTGATTCTCTCTCATCACTGATGTTTCTGTCTCTCCCTCTCCCTTCCGCTCTGAAATTAATTTTTAAAAAAAGAATATGAACTCCATACCCAAATATGTTTGTCAAATGCTATTTGAAGGGTCAATTGAGCCCTGATTGGTTTGGCTCAGTGGATAGAGCGTCAGCCTACAGACTGAAGGGTCCCGGGTTCGATTCCAGTCAAGAGCACCAAAAACAAAACAAAACAAAAAAAAGGGTCAATTGAGTACGTAGCTTATGGGTAGAGATAAGAAGAATCTGATGGAGAGAAAAAAAAAAGCAATAGAATCAAAGGAGTTTCTTAGTTACATGAAGAATTGTAGTGGCTTTTGCGTTTATGTAGCTCTTGATGGAAATTTCCTTTACTGTTAGAGTGTTCCCTTTAGATAGGTGAGTAATGATAACTGTCTTTTTGTGCTATTGAAGAATGAGGAAACTACCAATTCCAGACCTAGTTCCCTATTTGGATCCCTCAATATGTCCCCACACACCCTGAGGCTCCTGGCAGCTCTCACTAGCCACGGAAGTGTATAACTTGTGGATACTTGCCCAATGAAAGATTGTTGAGCTAAAGGAAGTTGAGAAGTTGATCTGGTAGATCATGCTCACTGTAGCAAGGTAACTCAATAATCTCAGCCATGCTTCCTTTGAAGAGGGAAAATTTTAGCAAATGATGAAGATTCCTGAATCTTTGTCAGCACAAAATCTGACAGGACATTATTGTGACAAGACACTCCTGTCAAAGATGAAAAGTGATTTGGCTCTGAAAATCTCTGTTTTTTAACAAGCTGAGTGTCAATTTGAAAAGCTCTGGAGGATATTCTGCTTATAGGAAAAAAGCCTAAGTGACCTGTTCAATCTCACCCTGTTTTCACTTTCAGGGATGCTCTTAGGACACCATGGAAACCAAATTACAATTGAGATATTTTGCCTTGTTAGAGAGAGGGGCCACATGACTCATTTTTTCCCTACGTAATATATCTTCCCACATGTGGTTTCTGTGTGTGCTTGAAGAGTCACATAGATAAAGGAAGATACCATGGTTTTAAATTGAGATTATTGCCCATATGTTTTATACTTTTTATTTTTTAAATTTTTATTGATTGATTGATTTGAAACAGAGAAAAGTGTGTAATGGTTAGCACTCTGGACTCTGAAACAGAGAAAAGAAACATTGAGGTGCCTTGACTGGAGATCAAACCTGCAACCTTGGTATATTGGGATGATGATCTGACCAACTGAGCTACCCAGCCAGGGCCTCATATCTTTTATACTTTTTATTCCAGTGATTTCCCTTCTAGAGATTTAGCCTAGGAAAATACTCTGTAATTTGCTGATAAACCTTCATCATGGCATTTTTTAGTATAGTAAAAAATTAGAAACAACTTATATTTGTCCCACATTAGAGGAATGATTAAGTAAAGCATGGTATAGTAATTAGATAAAATTTTATACAGTTATTGAAAATGATGATTACCAGGAGTTTTTGCTGGCATATATGGGAAGATACTTATGATGTGTTGTTTTTTTTAAAAAGCAAAGTAGAAAGTTGCATATACTGAAAAATCTCTTAAATATGAAAAAATACTATTTAGGAAAAGGAAAAAAGAAAATCTGCCAATATTTTGACATGTTTGCCTTTGTATTAAGAATAAAAAGGTTTTCTGCCTTTCTACATTCTCCTCTGCTTTCCAAAATTTCTATGTGAATGTTTTCAGAAAAAAAGTAGAGAGGAAATTGTTTTGTTTTATTTTTTTTTTATTTTATTTTATTGATTTTTTTTACAGAAAGGAAGGGAGAGGGATAGAGAGTTAGAAACATCGATGAGAGAGAAACATCGATCAGCTGCCTCCTGCACACTCCCTACTGGGGATGTGCCTGCAACCCAAGGTACATGCCCTTGACTGGAATCGAACCTGGGACCCTTGAGTCCACAGGCCAACGCTCTATCCACTGAGCCAAACTGGTTAGGGCTGTTTTGTTTTATTTTTCCTCTCTCCGTTCAGACCTCACATTTCTTAATAGAAAATTAAACTTAGGTAATTTCTTAGAGCTCCCTCTTTTCTAATCCTATATAATAAAAGGCTAATATGCAAATTGTCCCCTCTACTGGGAGTTGGACCAGGGGGTGGGGCCGGCTGGCCAACCGCCCGAGTCTCCTCCCCTCCCACTCCTTCCTGCCCCCCACTGGCCCATCCAATCGGCCCCAATCAGGGCAGCCCGCCGAACCTCAGCTGTGAACGAATTCATGTACCAGGCCTTTAGTAGTTTTATCATGTATGAACACTGTTATTTTATTCCTTATGTTTTGTGTTAAGGATGAGTTTTCAAGCAACTTAGAAAAAAAAGGAAGAGGGTGCCAATAGTAATTTAGACTATTTGAATAATAGTAGAGAATCTGTCAATGGATCTCAAGAAGTAAAGGAAGGGAATCTCTGTGATTTATGGAAATTTTGTTGATAAATAAAAATTATTGTCAGTCCACAAATATGTTTTTTTATTGGTCTTTCTCCCTGTCTCCATCTAGTTCTACAGCCTAGGTGTTCCATAGAAAATACAGTCAATAAAAATCAACATTCTTTACTAACTTACTGTAATTTGTGGTTGGCCATAAAGCATCCTTGATAGAGATAATGTTTAACTTGTTATAAGAAAAGAGACACTACTGTATTTGATACACCTCTTTTCCTACTCTGATTCCAACAGCCATAATTCAGTATGGGATTTTTTGTTTGTTAGGGGATTTTTGTTTGTTTTTTTTGTTTGTTTGTTTTTTAGAAGAATGTCAGTTTTTCTCTGAGATGTGAACAGCTCTAAAGTTGATAAGAATTATTAGTATCAGAAAAGAAATCAGTGACCCCAGGTCAAGCTATATTTTCCTTTCTGAAAGAAAGGATTTTCCTCAAGTTCCCTTTTTTAAATGAATTCTTTTGAAATGGATGGTGTTACAATGCTAAAACCCTTAATTGCACGGTCAACCTCAACCTTGATATTTCTTTTTCTTGTTTTTTTTTAATTTTGTTTTATTTCTTAAAGTATTACAAAGAGTATTACACATGTCTCCTTTTTTACCCCCCTTGACATTCCCCCAGCCTCCCCTACCCCCCAGTGTCTTGTGTCCATTGGTTATTTTTTTTTTAATATATTTTATTGATTTTTTACAGAGAGGAAGGGAGAGAGATAGAGAGTTAGAAACATCGATGGGAGAGAAACATCGATCAGCCGCCTCCTGCACATCTCCCACTGGGGACGTGCCCGCAACCCAGGCACATGCCCTTGACCGGAACCGAACCTGGGACCCCTCAGTCCACAGGCCGACGCTCCATCCACTGAGCCAAACCGGTTTCGGCCATTGGTTATTTTTATATGCATGCATATAAGTCCTTCAGTTGATCTCTTGCCCCCCCCCCCCCAACCCTCCCCAGGCTTCCCACTGTAGTTTGACAGTCTGTTCAATGCTACTCTGCCTCTGTATCTATTTTTGTTCATCAGTTTATATTGGTCTTTATTATCTATAAATGAGTGCGATCATGTGGTATTTTTCTCGGCTTCCCAGGGGCCGTCGCAGGGGCCGTCTCAGCCTCACAGGGCCCGTCGCAGCCTCACAGGGGCCGTCACCGCCTCACAGGGGCCGTTTCAACCTCACAGGGGCCGTCCCAGCCTCACAGGGGCCGTCTCAACCTCACAGGGGCCGTCTCAACCTCACCAGGGTCAACCTTGATAGTTTATAGAAGTATTTGGCAGCCTGTAATTCAGCCATCCTCTCGTTTAGGAAAAATGTCACCCCTGAAAAACTGTTGTAAACTGCATGTGTTGAGATGTGCCTGCTTGTAATTTAGGGAGCCCACTGCTCCCATTGTCAGTTTAGGAAGGGAAACCTGAGAGAAATTGCCTCAGGCAAAGAGAACCAATTCACCTTTGGAAGGGAGGTTTAATAACTGGAGTGATGAACATGTGTGTGACCTTTGCCAGAAAGAGAGGCATTCAGTTTTCGACTTGTATTCCAAACTCCACCCTGGAATAAAAAGGTCCCTGTGTGAACTCTCGCAGTAGCTTTCATAGTCCTCACACTATGCCTCACCCACCATAGTTCTTAATTGCTTATTAAGTGACAGCCAAGTATTGGAGAAAGAAAAATTACTCCTTTTCTGTTGCATTTTAGGCCCCTACTTCTCTCCCTCCTCCTGATCACACCCCACCTTCAACACACATCCTTACTGGTACATACCTACCCCCTTTGCTGTCTCTCCTTATACTTACCATCTTCTTGCTCCAAAGCCTAGTGTGTTGGTTAATGGAACCATGGAGGTTTGGAAGGTATTAGTGTCCTTCTCAACAAAACCTGGCTCTTTTTAGCCTACTGTTTCATTGCAGTCTCAGATAAAGAGGCTTTGTGAGGCAGGAGATAGATAATGACACACATGGTATTCTGAAAACTTTGTGTTACATGGTGTCAATATGCAACTGAGTTGTTTCCTGTGGGGTTTAACACTCTGATGTGTTGTATTCTCATGGTGAGCTTTTCTTACCTTTCTTATTTAATTCAGATCTCGCATCTATTTTCCAGTGATATTATTTCTCCTAGCCTCTGTAAAGCCTGCAACATACTAATAATGTGCTGTCTTTCTAGTTAAAAAATTAAAAGACTTAATCTGAACACTCCTGGTTTGAAGGCCAGCTCACATGTAAGCTGTTTTAGAATTTCAAAATTGTAAAATAAATAGGCAATTCCTTGTTTGTTTTTGTAATTTCTAACCATTCAGAAATTTTTCAAGAGCTATGGTCATATAAATAGAAATTTGGTCCAGGATATTATTGATGTGATGTTTGTGAATAAATGTACAGATACTGTATTTGCTCAAAGACTTTTAGTTTGGATTGTATTTTCTTTTTCTTCGTGTAGAATAAAATGAGTGTGAATCACATAGAGAATGATGCATAGCCAGGTGACCATTTTAAACTTGCTCCCTTCCCCACCCGCCTTCTCCCCCCATTCTTCTTATTCTCTCCACTTACAGGTTGTCGATGAGCATGAGAGTGTGGAACAGAGTCGGCGAGCACAAGCTGAGCCCATCAACCTGGACAACTGTCTCCGTGCTTTCACCAGTGAGGAGGAGCTGGGGGAAAATGAGATGTACTACTGTTCCAAGTGTAAGACCCACTGCTTAGCAACCAAGAAGCTGGATCTCTGGAGGCTTCCCCCAGTCCTGGTACGTTATAGTCCTACCTCTGAGAGAGCAAGAGTCTGGCAAAAAGGAAAAAAGTCATGAACAAATAGTTTTTGTTATTTTTGAGAATAAAATCCTCCCCTCAGCAATGCTTAAAACACTTTTGCTGTGCAAGATTTTTATGTTGCACACAGAAATTAATTGTTCTACAGGTATTTGCTAGTTCTTGTTCCTAAAGAGCAGACCACTAAAAAGGAGAGAAAAGTAATATAAAACAGTAACTGCCATTCCACACAAGGTATAGGAAGGGTCAAAAGTACAACCTGCTGAATTTGAACTGCAAAAGAAAATGAAAGCACTTCTGGCTCTAGGGAGAGAGCAAGCTGTAGCTCATCGTTTGTGGATTGTAGAAGAGCAGCTGAGCCTGGAGCTTCAGGTTCCATTGTGCTTGATCACATGGCCACAGCACACATGTGCAGTGGGGGTTTATGTGTTCTTTTGAATTTTATTTACTCTGCCTTCTCCCTTCATGGATTAGGAGACTCTCCTGTTGTTTGTCAGGTGAGTTTGAAGTGACAGTTTTTCCTATTCATTTAAGAAAGCCTTTTCCTTAAGAGTGGGGATATCATAACAGGTGTAACTATAAGGCAGTGGTGTGTTTTAACCAGATCTTATCTGCATTTTTTTTATTCAAGTTTTCCTACTACTCTGTAAAACTGTGAATGTAGGTGGTTGTTTTTATTTTATTTATCTAGAACAACTAGGGAACAATTCACAAGTAATTAATAATTTTGGCTAGCTAGCTACAGGGATAAGAGCTGAGGGAAGGGAAGAAGAAGGCCAGAGCAGGCTTGGGGACAGGTAGGTAGGAAGGGGGATAGTGTTTTTTTGTTTTGTTTTAATTGAGTTATAATTAACTCAGAATTAAATGCATAGATTTAAAATATTTAGTTGGATGAGTTCTGACAATTATATATATTCATATAACTATCACATAAAACATATCTTGGACATGTATTGGAGTGAAGGCATTTATAAAAGCTATGTTTTTGAGGACTTTAAAAAATGAGTCCAACCAGCATAACTCTGTGGTTGAGCGTCAACCTGTGCAGTCGGAGATTGGGTAAATTTCATCTATTTCAAAAACTCCATTTTTCTTCTATGATATTGGAGAGAGGTACAGTTCAGTGTGGATCTCAAACTCAGAAAGCATAGGGGCCGAAACCGGTTTGGCTCAGTGGATAGAGCGTCGGCCTGCGGACTGAAGGGTCCCAGGTTCGATTCCGGTCAAGGGCATATACCTGGGTTGCAGGCACATCCCCAGTGGGAGGTGTGCAGGAGGCAGCTGATCGATGTTTCTCTCTCATCGATGTTTCTAACTCTCTATCTCTCTCCCTTCCTCTCTGTAAAAAAACCAATAAAATATATTTAAAAAAAAGAAAAAGAAAGAAAGCAGAGGGATACATGCAAATATAGGCTCCAAGGATGTTGAAGAAATTGGGAAAGAGAGTTTCGGATATACAAAGGATATGAAATTAGGGAGATTACCATGGTAACCATATAGCTAAAGGGCAGTGGCCCTACTGATAACTGTGTTACATAATAAAATATATTTTTTTGAAAAAATGTTATGTTCTATATTCTTGAACATTCACATTTATTAGATCTATTTTGTATCTTTGGAACCCTCTAACCCTAGTGTTTTCTACCTTTTCTTCTCCAGATTATTCATCTTAAAAGATTTCAATTTGTAAATGGCCGATGGATAAAGTCACAGAAAATTGTTAAATTTCCTCGTGAAAGTTTTGACCCTAGTGCTTTTTTGGTACCAAGAAACCCGGCTCTCTGCCAGCGGAAACCACTCACACCCCAGGGGGATGACTTCTGTGAGACCAGGGTTCCGACAGGAGAGGTGAAGAAAATGGATGCCCAGAACTCCGCTGGGGAAGAGGATGTGCGCCTGAGCAAAAGCCCATCCTCGCTCAGCGCAAACATCATCAGTAGCCCTAAAGGTGAAGAAGCCTAGGAACCTCCTGAAACCCAGATAGCGCCCTGAGGGGAGCTCTCCCAGGACCCCTGTAGACTGCATGTTTTCCTGTCCCTTCCACTCTAGAGCAACAGCTTAATGAGATGGAACAAACTTATCTAGAATCAGACCTATCTAGAATTGAACTATGTGACTTTTAGCAAGAGATATAGCCTCCCTGCATCTATTTTTTATGTAGAAAATGGAGATCATACTAAGTTCACAGAGTGTGAGGATTTAATGTCAGGAGTAAAGCATGAATGGTAGTTGTCATTCTTGTTCCCTTACGGCAGAGGTTCTCAAAGTGTGGTCCAGGAACCCCTATAGAGTCCCTGAGGGCCTGGAGGGTTAGAACTATTTTCATAAAAATAATAAGATATTATGTACAGCCGAAACCGGTTTGGCTCAGTGGATAGAGCGTCGGCCTGCAGACTGAAAGGTCCCAGGTTCGATTCCGGTCAAGGGCATGTACCTGGGTTGCGGGCATATCCCCAGTAGGAGATGTGCAGGAGGCAGCTGATCGATGTTTCTCTCTCATCGATGTTTCTAACTCTCTATCCCTCTCCCTTCCTTTCTGTAAAAAAAATCAATAAAATATATTAAAAAAAAAAAAAGATATTATGTACCTTTTCACTGTCATTCTCTCACAAGTGTATGGTGAAGTCAGATCCAGCATGCTGTGCTAATATCGGTGAAATATGTGCTTGTATATTATTTTTTAGATTCCTCCATTTTAATTCCTAGAATGGTAAATATTGATAGATATAACCCATAAAAGAAACGTTCTAGAGGTCATCAGCAACTTTTAAGGGTATATAAGGAAGTGGGTGGGGCTGTGACCAAAAAAGTTTAAGGCTCACTACCTTACAGGTTTGTTGTGAGAGGTGAAGATAATAGAGAGTTTCCAATACCATGCTTAGCAATAGTAAGTGCTTAATAATTAGTGATTGTATTTTTAATCTAAGTTTACATACAAGACAGAGAAGAAAATACATTTGTAAAACTCCTTGGGGCCTTAGTCTAATAATATTGTTTTAAACTAAATCTGACCTGAATCACCTTTCTGCTATTTTCTAAGTTCCTACATGGTAATTTACATTTTCAGGACATTGCTGCATTTTCAGGGCTTGTATTTGAGGAAGACAAGACTGTAACTTATTGACTACATAATAGGAACTAAAAAGTAGCCAGTCAGGACTCCCAGTCTTTATACCTTTATGTGTATACTTGTGAAGGTGGCTTCAAAGTTACCATCTGGTGGCTAGCTTAATTTGTGGCATTTGGGTTTTATGAATCTTTCCTTCTCCCTTTGACAGGTTCGCCTTCTTCATCAAGAAAAGGTGGAGCCAGCTGTCCCTCCAGCAAAAACAGCAGCCCTAACAGCAGCCCACGGACTTTAGGGAGGAGCAAAGGGAGGCTTCGACTACCCCAGATTGGCAGCAAAAATAAACTGACGAGTAGTAAGGAGAACTTGGATGCCAGCAAAGAGAATGGGACTGTGCATGTTTGTGAGCTGGCTGATGCCTTGAGCCAAGGGCACATGCTGGGGGGCAGCCAACCTGAGCTGGTTACCCCTCAGGATCACGAAGTAGCTTTGGCCAATGGATTTCTTTATGAACATGAGGCATATGGCAGTGTCTGTGGCAATGGCTACAGCAATGGTCAGCTTGAAAACCACAGTGAAGAAGACATCACCGATGACCAAAGAAAAGATATTCGTGTTAATCCGATTTATAATCTATATGCAATTTCGGTAAGTGGTTTATTGTATGGTTTTCAGAATGGCCTACATTTTTCAGTGATTTGTTCATCATTCATTCATTCATTCATTCATTTTTTTCAGTGCTTGCTTATTTCCTAGGCATTGAGCTTGGTGATAAACAAAGTTAGCAGTAGGTATCTTGGCCTTCCAGATAAAACCCAAGATGCTCACAGAGTAAATGGTTATAGTCATGTAATTATTATTACTGGAGTCACAGGTTTGAGTTATTCACAATTGTGTGCTCCCAAGGGATTTTTGCTTTCTAACAAATAATTGCAACTACAAAATATTTAGATTTGGGACTTTTGAATTTTGATTTTTGGGAAAAAGATAGATGATTCCCAAACTTTCCTTCTTGACCACCTAAATGATTAATGTTTTCCTGATCAGATCCTAGTAGTGTCCCCTGACCAGTTCTATCAACTACTAACATACCTCCACTTTCTTCTCTTACAGTGCCATTCAGGAATTCTGGGCGGGGGCCATTACGTCACTTATGCCAAAAACCCAAACAGCAAGTGGTACTGTTACAATGACAGCAGCTGTAAGGTAGATATCCCTAATCTTCGAATAAAGGAAAACAAAAATGTCAACAATTCTCAGAGATATTTGTTTAAATAATGGACTTTCTCCTAAATGGAATAGATATTTCTGTTAGAAACCATATACAGATGCCTTTAGTATTTTTTGCTTGTTTGTTTTTTTGTTAATCCTTATCTGAGGATGTTTTTCCCATTGATTTTTTTTAGAGAGAGTAGAGGAAGGAGGGAGAGTGGGGGTGGGGAGAGAGAGAAAGAGAGAAACATCGAAGTGAGAGCGACACACGTGGATTGATTGCCTCCCACACATACCCCAACCAGGGCTGTGGTTCAAACCTGCAGCTCAGATACCTGTCCTTGACCAGGCATCAAACCTGTGACCCTTCGGTGCATAGGCTGAGAAACACAGGCGAGGGCTAGATGCCTTTAGTATTAAAGGAACAAAAGTGATATGCAGAGGAGAGAATGAAAACATGAGTAATTGCCCAGCTGGTATGGCCCAGTGGTTGAGCGTCAACCCATGAATCAGGAGGTCACAGTTGATTCCCAGTCAGGTCATGTGCCACTGTTGTGGGCTCAATACCCAGTAGGGGGCGTGCAAGAGACAGCCAATCAATGTTTCTATTTCTCTATTCCTCTCCCTTCCTCTGTCTCTAAAAATAAAAACACATTAAAGAAAACACACATGAATAGTAAGGGGAAAAAAGTATTGTTTAATGATTAAAAGCTCTTGTCTTTTGAGCTATTAGAATTTGATGGGGGTGGGGGGGTATTGGTTATTCTTTTTAACGTGTCTGTAGTCAGAATATTTTCCCTAAAACAAACACTAAAAATAATGAGGCTTATTTTGGGGGCAGGTATGAGACAGCCAAAATGTTAAGCTAATTGGAAGCAAACATGTTTAGTAATTGAAGAGGCTTGGTCTTCACTTTCCTGGCAAGGATTAAGAGCCAGTAGAGTGGTGGTTTTTTTATTATTAAAGACTTTTCTTATCCCTTTAGGAACTTCACCCTGATGAAATTGACACCGACTCTGCCTACATTCTTTTCTATGAGCAGAAGGGGATGGACTATGCACAATTTCTGCCAAAGGTTGATGGCAAAAAGATGGCAGACACAAGCAGCATGGATGAAGACTTTGAGTCTGATTATAAAAAGTACTGTGTTTTACAGTAAGCTACCACTCTGGCTGCTAGACAGTCTGGTGGTAAGGGAGATGACTCCCCGTAGCTAACATTTGGCAAAAGTGTCCCTGAAAGGCAAGCTAACTAAAGGTAGTTATTTTTATCCTGTGACCCTGAAGCACAAATAACAGTCCTAATTAAAATAGCAGTTAGCATAACAGTAGTAATAGTTTTGTTTGAAAATATCTCACACAAGTTCTCTGGTAGAGAACTTTCAGGCAGAGTCCACCATTAGCCTGTAAACAAAAGGGTTTGGCACCAGCCACCTGGGACCAAATAAGAACTAAATTGTGCTTGTCCAGATGTGAACAAATAGGTAGTGAGTATAGAGTTTACCAATAATTATAACAAAATACTAAGAATTTCCTTGGAGTCAAAGTAAAACAAAAAGTTATAGTGTTGTCTCGGGACGACATGACATGCTACCTCCTTTTTCCTAAAGTTTTATTCCATTATATTGACAAGATGGAGAAAGCAAGATCATGAAGGTGTGCAAAGGATTCTTATGGCATGGACACAGATTTTTCCACTTGTTTTTTAAAGCATTTTCCCAGTCTTTTTATGTCTTTTCTTGCTTTTTATTTTTGTTGTGTTTGTGTTTGAAACACAACCAGTCATGGTGGCAGAGCCATATATAGTAGTCAGTCAGTCTAAGAATCTCTTAAGGGCTGTGTGCCTTCTACCCAGGGCCTTGGTTGGAAGACTCTATAAAGAAAAAGAAAGCATCCTGGGAATCCAGCTAAAGTGGCCCTCTCAGATAGAGGCATCTTACTTTGGGGGATACTTTACGTGTCCTCAAAAATGTGCTCCACTCCTGCTGCTGAGTATGGTGGGCAGTTGCCAATATTTGCACCATCTTCACTTGCACGTGTTGCACAAAAAGCTTCTGAGAAGGAAATGGCATCAAAGCTAAATGGTATTTCACAATTAGTGATTATTTTTCTTTGTTTCTTTGTTTTGCACTTTAAAAAGGAGAGAGTACATACAAATGAACTTTTCAAGACTTGTTTATATTTGATGGCTATAAGGGCTATACATTAACTTGAATGGGGTGTTTTCCCCCATCATATTCAGTTTAAAAACAAAATACATCCCGTTTCTTGGTAAGTTGTCAATGAATGTGAAATCCTAGCCCCATGAGATTCAATCTGTTTTCAAACATTGATAGTGTGTATTTTTAATGAAATTGGTGGTTTTAAAAGTAAACTTCTATTTTGTTTGCATGTCCAGTTTGTTTTTTTTTTGTTTTGTTTTGTTTTGGGGGTTTGTCTTTTTTTTTTTTTTTTAAATTTCCCAGTAGTAGTCTTCAAAAGTTTTGTTTCTTTGCTCACTTTATTTTTTCCTCTGATAATTCAAGACTGGAACAAAAATGTAAATGTTATTTATTTCAGGCAGCATCGTTTTTCATGTGTTGTTATAAAAATATATATTCAAAGTAAATATTTCACTTTTTTTTCTTCAGTCTTTTTGTATTCATATGGACCCTGGAAGTTGGTTCTCATTAATTGTCAGATTCCATTTCCCATTCTTCCTCATAAGCAGTAGGTACCAAAGTAATTCAGCATTTATGTTCTGATATCTGAGGCTAGTTATTATCCAGTTCTCAGAGCAGTTGGAAAGGTTGTCTTAAACGCCTTCCTAAGTTGAAACCCTATTCAGAGACTATAATTGCAAGTTGGAAACAGTGGCCTAAATGGAATAATGGGATGAAGTCAGACAAAATACATACTTTATAGTTTCATGATTTTCAGTATATAAAATCTGCCCATTCCTACCTGGACAAGTCCCATGAAAAAAATGGAAGATTTTAAATAATTTCCTTACAGATGTTTTATTTAAACAGGTAGCACAATCTACTAATGTTGTTTGATCTATGTTTGTTATATTGGTTGTAATTAATTTTTTTAATTCATGACTAGCGGAAAATTTATTAAATTAACTATTAACTACATTCACCTTGTAAATTACTGTATAAAACTTGTTGACAATGCACTGACTTTAGAAATATGTTAATGTACATAGAGTGTAAATAAAATAGTGTTGATGTACTGAAATATGAACTGTATAAAAAAGTATTGGTAATTATATATGGAGTGTATCTGTTTATCTGTAACTATTATCCAAACAAATTAAATACTGTGGCTGCATTTATGTGCTATTTTTCCTCTATATAAGTAAACACCAAAAAAAAGTCCAATCCTTCAGCCTTTCTCTCTTTGACCTTGTTTTAACTCCCCTACTTGAATAATACCTGACTTAGAGAGTAGATACTTCATCTCTGAAAGAATGGAAACTGTGGTGGAGGTAGAGCAAGGTATCTACACTGTTTTAAATTTGGCTCACATCCCTGTTAGGAAATTATTTTGAAGATATGGAAGGGTGTTGGGAGAAGCATAGACAGCAGGTGAACTGAGAATTGATGAAGGAGGTCTTACAGTAGCTTCATGCAGATTAGGGGATAAGGTGAAGAAGAGTAAGACCTCTTATTTGTATAATGCCTTGAAATGATCCTGTTTCCAGGTAGTGCTGAGAAACCAGGAATGTCCCTGGTTGTCTCTGGAAGGTCTCCAAAGAGGCATTCGGCAGCATTGAGAAGGGTGGAAGATTTGGAGCTGTGGGTCCTTCAACATCAGCCCCTGTTTGTTTACCTTTAAAATTAGAATACCTACCTCTCAGGCTTATATTAAGTAAATGAAGTATATAAATGGCTGGCGCCGTTTCTTGGTAAGTTGTCAATGAATGTGAAGTCCTAGCCCCATGAGATTCACTCTGTTTTGCAGAGATTTATTTTTTTACTTGCTTGCTATACTGATGCTACCAAACTCTCTGCTCACATTCTCCAAAAATGGGAATACACATTAAAAATTTATAGAATGAAACATGTTGAATCAGCAGCAATGGTAGCTTGTTTAAAGAAACAAACAGAAAAGGGATCCAAAAAGTCATCAGAAAGCACATCTTCTAAGGTGTCATCCTGTGTCCCTGGCTTTTTAAATGCAGCCTTGGAAAGGACCAGCTTGTGGAGATGGGTAAGCATTTATTGCTTATTTCTGAATGGCCTTGTAAAGTGAGAGGGAGCGTCCATCTCCCAGCTTCTCTGGCTGAGGTGGCACTTACCCACGGGATCTCCATCCCTTGGCAGCATTGCTCACTATAGATTCCTTCATGGCAGACCCCATTGAATTGAAGTAGATTAATTGCCATATTTTCCCCAACTATTTTAAAGATGAAATACAGACTTTTACTAGGCCAGGGCCAGAATGTGTAGTTTAAGGACCAAAGATCCCAGTTTTCCTTGATGTACCAGCAGGTTTCTTAGTATTGAAATTACAGTAAAAAATGCACACACCTCTGTGATCAGAGACCCATACAAGACAGAACAAGTAAAGGGGGCTGTCTGTAGGTTTACCAAACTTCCTGAACAATGAGAAGCAGGATAATAAATAAGAGTGAAAGGGCCTCAATCTCAGAGGCCTATAGGGACCAGGCTGGGAACAAAGTGTAAGAGAAGCAGGCCCAGCCATGGATGAGGATGGGGGCTAGCGGGGACTCTGGTGAGTTCTAGTCCACATCCATCTAAAGCAGCGGTTCTCAACCTGTGGGTCGAGACCCCTTTGGAGTTGAACGACCCTTTCACAGGGGTCGCCTAAGACCATCCTGCATTTCAGATATTACGATTCATAACAGTAGCAAAATTACAGTTATGAAGTAGCAACGAAAATAATTTTATGGTTAGGCCACAACATGAGGAACTGTATTTAAAGGACCAGAAGATTGAGAACCACTGAAAAGGCTCCACTTAATTGTTGCCATACAGGAATGTGGACCCCAGTGTTACCAATCATTTTTTTTTTTTTTGGTCCCCTTAAGAGAAGCCAGAAATCCAGCTATTAATACAAAATATCCAATTTAGAAATGTTGGCCATTAGTTTTTTTTAAAGGTTAAACATTGTACTGTCCAAATAAAATGTATCTGCAAACCAGATACTATAAGCCACCAGTTTTTGCCGTCTGGTAAGAAGTCAGATTCTAGTTCTGCTGTAACCTAAAACAAGTTCCTTAGACTCAGACTTCTCATGCCAATAAGAATACCACTTTGTTCCTAAAGGTTATAAGGAAAAGAGAATGTATGTGAATAGCCACAGAGCCTGACACCTATAAGGTATCAGTAGTATTCCTTCCTCAGGGAAACAACACAGGTTTAATAAAACAATACTGTTAAAATCAAATTCATTATCAGCCCAGAAGCCTTCAGCTACCGTGTGAGCACATTATAGGTACAGAGCTTTGTGCTAGATTCTCTGGGAGCTGCAGTTTCCAACCTGGCAATTCATCTGTATCATAAACTGTTTGTTAAAGGTGCTGGTTCCAGGGTTCCACCCATTGTTACATTACACCTGTGTTCTGTGCCTATCCACACCCAGATTTATGAGCTCATCTTCCCAAGAATCTGCATTTTAATGAGTTCCTCAGGGGAGATCTTTGGTAGCCAGTTTGCATTTATGGAAACCACTGCTCCAGAAAATGAATCATTACTTCCAGTCTAATTAGGGAAAGATGATAAGCATATGCATATGTGTAAGGAAGAGTTAACAGTAATTAACTAAAGCTCCCTAGATATAATTGTCTCTGATGAAGTGCTGACTGAGGACATTAGACAGTCGGCTGTTGACAGAATCCTTAGGGAAAACCAACGGGAAGGGAAGTGAGTGACACCATGCAGTGAGGTCAGGATTTTGTCAGAAGCAAGCAGAACCATCTAGCAGTCTAGGCTCATATATGTAAACAAGGCCTGCGGCCCAGCGGCTGCGAGTTTGACATGCTTGGACTCTAGACAAGGGAGCAGAGGTCTCGCCTTGCAGAGGCTGTGCAGGCCTGTTAGAGCTGCATTGAGGTGAGGTGGAGCATAGTAGAAGATAGAAGATAGAAGTAGAAGCAGGCAGAAACCTGGTTATGAAGGCTTTTGAAGTCAGACCAGTTAAAATAAGTGCTTCACATTGCCAAGTGCTTTGGTGTGGTTGTGAAACATTTTCATATGGCTTACTGAAGTACACCCTAATCTATGTAAGACCATTTTATTATAAATAAGTTTTTGTTTGCTATAATTTAACTTTCTCTTTTTCATACACACAATCCACTTTTGCTGAAATTTCTCTTGGTTGATATTGTGGCCTTACCACAAGCCCAAGAGAAACACAGATGGATACCAAGCTTAAAGTGCTCCAAGGTGATCAAGTAAGTGGACGGAAAACAAAAAAGGAATCAGGCCGGAGGTGGGAGAAAAACTAGAAGGGCCTTGGAAAGGGATAAAGCATGCCAGAGAGAGGAGCCCCGTCCTGGATGAGGTGGCCTAGAGAAGAGAGGAGAGGAGGGCCCAGGAAGGTGAGTGGGCTTGGGAGCCGCAGGGAAGGCGTGGGGGGAGGGAGAGCACTCCTTCAGTTCACAGCAGGGTCCTCTGCTGATCATGGCTAAATCGTAGTGCTCATTGTGATTATAGATCCGGTGGGAAGAAGAGGACTTCCAAGCTGGGGATGAGGAGGAGGTCTTCCAGAAAGGATCAGGAGATGCCTGTGGTCGCCAGAGGCTGCTATAGCCCCAATTTCGGGGCAGTCATGACCCCACAGAAAGCGGTAGACTAGAAATATAGCCTGTAGTGTTGGGTCTACACCTGCAGAATTGTATGACCTTGAGCAGGTCAGTTGTCTCCTGTGCACCTGAGGCCCCTCTGTGAATAATGAAGGGGTTGCATTTAGGTCAGCTTTTATTTTGAAACAGCATTGGGACTGGATCCTTTCTTCCATCTACATTTTATCTGAAGGACCATTCCTAAAGCAGACGAGGTTGGAGTTGCTCAGGTTGAAGTAAGAGTTGAGGGCGGTGTGCTGCTTGATCAACCTATGAGGGCTCTCGCTCAAATGGCCACTACAGTCGCTTGGACCTCCAAGCATTCAGAAAGTCGGTCATGCAGTGCTGCTCCTGGCCCAGAGCTCTCGGACAGTTGTTCCAGCAACAGCAGCGATTCCCTGTGGTCTGCTGGGAGTCACGTTGGCAGCAGAGGGAACCTTTCTGAACCCATTGTGCTGCTCTCAGTGCATCTAGATGGGGAAGAAAAGTCAGCCAACTACGGTGAAGGTCAGTCAGCCTCCCTCCCTGCAGATGCCACAGTAATACCTGGGCCTCTGCAGGGAGCCAGCCTAGGGCCCGTGGCCTTCCACTGTGCCAGCTGGAGAAAGTCACCGCTGCCACTCCCTGTTTGCAGAGCTCCCTGGGCTTGGAGCTGTAATAAACATCCTCTCACTATGGGAGGTAGGGGAAATGGAGAAGGGAGAGGTAATCACTCATATATCAAACAGTTCGTTGAGCACTGTCCCTGTAAGAACTGTTCAAACCTGTAGAAAAGTTTTATGAGTGTATTTGAACCAGAGGATATGCCTGGAAGCAAGATCTCAACAGACTGAGAAAAACGCTTCAGGCAATGACATTGCAATTTCATTTATGCATCTGGAATTAAGGAGGGTATGTAAGGAAGATTACATGAAGGTGGGAGAAAGCAAGGTGGGGATTGGATTACAGCAGCAATTTTCAACCTTTTTCATCTCATGGCACACATAAACTAATCACTAAAATTCTGTGGCATGCCAAAAAAATGTGTGGTTTGTTTTTTGTTTGTTTGTTTTGCTAATCTGACCAAAAAAAGAGATATAATTTTTTAAAATATTTTTTTATTGATTTCAGAGAGGAAGGGAGAGAGAGAGAGAGAGAGAGAGAGACATCAATGATGAGAGAGAATTATTGATCGGCTGCCTCCTGCACGCTCCCCACTGGGTATCGAGCCCACAACCCGGGCATGTGCCCGGAATCGAACCTGGAACCCTTCAGTCCGCAGGCTGATGCTCTGTCCACTGAGCCAAACCGGCCAGATCCAAATAGATATAATTTTGATTCATTCACACCAGACGGCTATTGTGTTGGCTGTTGTCATTTTTTTATTTGATAATCTAAGGCAGTGGCTGGCAAACCGTGGCTCACGAGCCACATGCAGCTCTTTGGACCCTTGAGTGTGGCTCTTCCACAAAATACCCTATGCGGGCGCGCACGTACAGTGCAATTGAAACCTTGTGGCAGAAGTCGTTTTTCGGCCTGGGCG